TCCACCTTGTCAATTTCCCTGAGAATTTTGTACGTTCTTATCATGTCTCCACTAACTCTTGTCTTCCAGGGACGTGAGGTTTAGCTCCCGTAGCCTTTCCTCGTAGTCATACCTCTCAGTTCTGGGACTAGTCTGATGGCATACCTCTGAATCTTTAGCTTTGTCTTGTGTTTAACTAGGTATGAACTCTAGGCTGGAGCTGCATATTCCAGGTTGGTCTGACATAAATGGTATACAAGATACTGAACGATTCCTTACACGTTCTTATGTTAGCCAATCAAGCATATGCCGCTGATGATATCCTTCTGATGTGGGCTTCTGGGGACAGGTTCGGTGTGATATTAACCCCCAGATCTTTCTCTATTTGACTCTCGCATGATTTTGCCTCCCATATGGTACCTTGTGTTCAGCCTCCTGCTCCCTTCGCCTAATTTCATTACTTTACACTTTCCAGAGTTGAATCTTAGTAGCCATTTTCTAGACCATTTCTCCTAGGGGCCTGACAGCTGAGTGGACAGCGCTTCGGATTCGTAGAACTGAGGTTCCGGGTTCGATCCCTAGTGGAGGCGGAAACAAATGGGCAGAGTTTCTTTCATCCTGATAGCCTGTTCACCTAACAATAAATAGGTACGTGGAAGTTAGACAGCTGCCACGGGCTACTTCCTGGGGGTGGTTATCTTGAGATGATTTCGGGGCTTAGCGTGCCCGCGGCCCGGTCCTCGACCAGGCCTCCTTTTTGTTACACACCCCCAGGAAGCAGCCCGTAGCAGCTAACGTCCAGGTACCTATTTACTGCTAGGTAACAGGGGACATCAGGGTGAAAGAAACATTTTGCCCATTTGTCTCCGCCTCCACCGGGGATCGAACCCGGAACCTCAGGACTACGAATCCGAAGCGCTGTCCACCCAGCTGTCAGGCGCCCGAGGTGTGTAACCAAAAAGGAAATATAAAAGCCTGCTGACATCTGTGACTCTCCACGGGAGACATCTCCCGTCACGCAGGGTGCAGTCGCACCTCCACAGATCTCCAGTATCAGCTCTTGATACTGGTAATGGCTCAAAAGGGCCACCACTTACGGGCTATTCATGCCCGTGCCACCTTTTGGATGGTTTAATCTTCATCATCATCATGTGACTCTCAACAGTTACGAGACTGTCCTGGTATCTGACTTGGTTATTAAATGTTGACCTGGATTATAATTATCAAAATAAGGCACAGAGTGTTGACCTCACGGGTCAACGTGCAATAAAATCCTCTACAAGGGACGTAGTGAGGGAGGAGGTGGTGAGGGAGTGAGGGAGGTAGGGAGAGAGGGAGATAGGGTGGTGGAGGAGTGAGGGAGAGAGGCTGCCCACACTGTCAGCACCTCAGATAAGGGGCCATCCGGTGTATACCTCGGTATCATTAGTGGGAGTGAGGCGGACCTCGCCTCCACTATCCCACTCAATCTCCATCCATCCATCCATCCATCTATTCATATTTCTAGTAACACAATCTACCCTTACATGCGTCTCCTGATTCCCCATCCATCCCATCTACTCCCAGGTCCCCATCCATCCCATCTACTCCCAGGTCCCCATCCATCCCATCTACTCCCAGGTCCCCATCCATCCCATCTACTCCCAGGTCCCCATCCATCCCATCTACTCCCAGGTCCCCATCCATCCCATCTACTCCCAGGTCCCCATCCATCCCATCTACTCCCAGGTCCCCATCCATCCCATCTACTCCCAGGTCCCCATCCATCCCATCTACTCCCAGGTCCCATCCATCCCATCTACTCCCAGGTCCCCATCCATCCCATCTACTCCCAGGTCCCCATCCATCCCATCTACTCCCAGGTCCCCATCCATCCCATCTACTCCCAGGTCCCCATCCATCCCATCTACTCCCAGGTCCCCATCCATTCCCGGTAGTACAGTCAGATTCGATCTCGACTCGCAATCGAGAATTCAGAGTTCGAATCCCGGGCGGGACAGACATGGTTGGGCACATTTCCTATCACCTAATGCATCTGTTCACCTAGCAGTACGTAGGTACTCAGGAGTTAATGAGTTTGTTGTGGAGTTGCATCCTGGGTGGGGTCAGTAATCCTGGCCCCCATCCATTCTATCTACTTCGAGGTCCTCATCCATTCTATCTACTCTTTTTGGCAATTTAATAAATTAATTTAATTTTGCCTAGGAGGGCGAGATTATTGGTCAGCGTCACTCATCCTGTGAGTGAACACACCGCCATAGTGCAGCATTGGGTAACGCCACTCATCCTGCGAGTGGACACACCACCATAGTGACAGTATAGGGCAGCGTCACTCATCCTGTGAATGGACACACCACCATAGTGACAGTATAGGGCAGCGTCACTCATCCTGTGAATGGACACACCACCATACTGACAGAATAGGGCAGCGTAACTCATCCTGCGAGTGAACACCACCATAGTAACAGTATTGGGCAGCGTCACTCATCCTGTGAATGGACACACCACCATACTGACAGAATAGGGCAGCGTAACTCATCCTGTGAGTAAACACACCACCATAGTAACAGTATTGGGCAGCGTCACTCATCCTGTGAGTGGACACACCGCCATAGTGACAGTATTGGGCAGCGTCACTCAACCAGTGAGTGAACACACCACCATAGTAACAGTATTGGGCAGCGTCACTCATCCTGTGAGTGGACACACCGCCATAGTGACAGTATTGGGCAGCGTCACTCAACCAGTGAGTGAACACACCACCATAGTAACAGTATTGGGCAGCGTCACTCATCCTGTGAGTGGACACACCGCCATAGTGACAGTATTGGGCAGCGTCACTCAACCAGTGAGTGAACACACCACCATAGTAACAGTATTGGGCAGCGTCACTCATCCTGTGAGTGAACACACCACCATAGTAACAGTATTGGACAGCGTCACTCATCCAGTGAGTGAATACACCACCATAGTGGGTAATGAGATTATCGTCATATGGCGATTTAAACAATTACTGCCTGGGTTTTACATATACAAATAAGGACGGAATAGCTCTCTGTGGATGTAATGGAGTTTACCTTGACACATGAAAACAATCCTGCTATCGTTTCATGGTTACATGTGAATGCAGTTTTCGCCATGGATGTTGGTGAAATGTCATTGTATAAAATTCCATCATAATTGCATATGTACACCAATTATGTTCATGTGGTTTTCACAACATACGTATGGTCGTTATTAGGCGTTATGTGCACGAGGAGCGAGCCGTGTGGCACAGCAGTGTCTTACGCCTTATATTTCAATCTATACTCTTGCCCATGTTGTGCCAATGAGGCCATGTAATTACCTAAGTGAAGTTACAGGATGAAAGCTACGCTCGTGGTGTCCCGTCTTCCCAGCACTCTGTGTCACCCCCCCGAGTCCAACACCAATGAATATTATGCTCATATCGTCGTCGTCGTTGTTTTTTTAGATTTAGCTACACAGAACGAAATGTCCATGTAGCACGGGCTATAGTGAGACCGTAATCGAGTTCGGTTATTCGCGATAACATTGTTACTGTGAAATTTGGGTCAATTGTTTAAATGGAAGTGGAGGTTCCTCCTTTTCCTCTGTTTCTTTTTTGCTTCTGTTTTAGTCTTCCTTTTCACTGCTCTGTATGTGTGACAAGGTTAATGACACTGTTGACCACACCTGACGCGTTTTTCTGTGTTCACTCGTGGAAGCTTGTGGTCTCATTGGCTTAAGTGGTGTCCTGAGTGAAAGTGACACGTAGGGTAATATGTGTTGTTATACATTTTTGTATATAATTGCCTATACAAAGTATTGAAGTACATTTGGTGATGGTTTGTCTAGTGTTGTTTAATCCCCCCCCCCTCTCCCTTTTTGGTTGTCTTTTACTGTTAAGTGTTGATAACTTCTCTCTGACTTGGGGTTAGATCAGGAAGAAAGGGCAACAAGACCCTAGAGAGAGAGAGAGAGACAAAAAAAATACAAGTTACTGGCTAAGAGAGGCCATAATAATATGGCTGTAATGAAGTACCGAGTAAACTAATCATCAACTGAAAAATTTTCGTGTGAATTATGTGAGTTATTCAACACACAATAAAGAGAAAACGGGAGATAAACGATCAGTGAAACACCCAAGAATATAAACAATCGAACACTACCTCCTTCACTGTTTCCGACATCCTAGTGCCAGAGTAAACTTCAAACAAGTATTTATCACACTTAAAATACCCTTTACCATCGAGCATCTATTAGGAGGAGGTGACCACTTGTTACAGGAAAAATATCAAATAGTCAAAGCACTGGTTAAATATCTCCAGTCGACCAAATTGGGCCACATTTGACCCATGCCACATTTATACCTGGCGCCACCAACAACCAAACACAGAAAACAGCTGCCTCGTCGCAGCACCAAGGATCAGCTGACGACATAACTACATCATTCTGCCCTAAGGTACAGCAAGTCTCCTTCTAACACGCTCCTCTGTTTTAGTCCCACTCCTCTATCTACAGCACAATGTAACAATCAAAATTCTTGTCAGTCTCAACATTAACATTCTCCCAGCATCTATTTTTTTTATTGTACTCACCTAATTGTGCTTGCGGGGGTTGAGCTTTGGCTCTTTGGTCCCTGTACTCTGTACTCTGGTCATCTGTACTGGTGCAATCATCGGAAGGATAAGCCCTTCATCATACAAACTGCACCTACCATCAAGAAGAAGAAGAAGAATATAGGGATTGTGTCTCACATACCTCAATGTCAGCAAAGTTGGGCTGGGTGTATTGACAGATGCCAGACCACAGCCAACTCAACCTTTCAGAGTGCTTCTGCCCAGTAAAATGAGTAACATTCACTTATAGACATGTTTTTCTTACATTCTGCATACAAATTTGCCTTTGCAAGAATGTAAGAACACCAGTGTTATGTACTCTCAAAACCTAATGCAGCTTGTATATAAATAAATAACAAAAATAAAATGAATTAATTCTAAAAGGAAAAATTATTACTTATTTTTTTTTTAATTTTATTGCACAGACAGAAATTACCATTTTTCTACAGCTGCTGTCCATGGGTTAAGAGTGTGATTTAGTCCTCGATGAGGTTGATTCCAGTGAAATTTAGAAATCATCTCCGAGTCAGGGACCCGCACACACAGAGATGTCAGATGTTTGGTGAATCCTGTCTCGGTGTTGTGGCAATGTCGGTCTGCCAGTTCCTCAAAGCATTGGTCAACCCTGATTCCGAGGTCTTCATCGATGTTGGTATGTAACCATTGGTCTAAATCATCCAGACGCTGCATTTTGTAAGCTCTGATTTCATTCTCTGGTTTGTGTATCTGATGTCGTATCAGATCCTGGCAATGGCAATGCTTTTATTGCTAAGCAAATTATCCAGATCACTGTATCTGGAATGGTATCTTCATATTGTTAGCAGCCAGAAGTGATGCCAGTGTTGAGAGAAATGTCTCTGATGGAGTCAAGTCCTCCTCTTGCATCATGGTCCACAGTGACAATGCTTTGTCACCTGCACTCTGCACATCTGCCAAAGAAAATGGAACCAGAACATTGGACATTATAGGACCTACCAGGACCTACACTATAGTGAAAAGACATAATGCAGCTCATCAGTTACAGCTGGTAAATGTTAGTGAAAACAATGTTTTTAAGTGAAATTGAGAGTAAAGTCGGGGAAGAATTTGCAGCAATCAAATTTCTAGGCATGAAGAACAAAATAATTAGAGATGCAGGGATATGTGCAGGAATGGTAGTAGCAACATCTACGTAGAGACGTAGAGATGTAAAATGCATGTAGCACAAGGATAATAAATCAACAGTTAGAGCTGTATTCATAGAGAATCTGAAGGACATTTGTGGTGTTAGGAAGAATACATAAAGTATGTAATTATTAAAATTAAGACAAAGCCCAGATTATATAGCAGTGTTTGCATCAGAGAATATTAAACAATTCAGATATCATTCAGTATGCCTATAGGAGAACAAAATAGACACAAGATGAGTGATTTTAAATGTAAAATCAGTAGTAACTTGGACTTTATGGAACCAATAGTGGTGATCTGAGAGAGGATTGCAGTGTTCCTGGTGCTTTCGGAACTTTTCCATAAGGATATTCAAACATTTTTGGCAAAGTAAAAGTGAGGGCACTGGAGTAAAAGCTGCAATGGAGTGGGTCACTTTTCTTTCAGATAAAATGAACAAAAACTTATTTACAAGAAAATAAAGCTTTAGAGGGTAAATAATAATAATAAAAAAGGCCAAGTTAATATATACAGTACAGTATATGAAAGCTCATAGACACACCAATTTTACACAAGATAACACACCATTTGAACCACACGTTTCTTTGCCGATTAATGTTTCCTTTGCCATTCTTATGGAAAGGAAGTCTGTTGGACTCACCGAGGGTCCTGTAGGCTGACAGATCTATTCCATGAATTAAACCCAAAAGCTTTGCCTAATTGCTTACCAAGTGAAGTTGTTTTAATCCTTTGCAGCTGATGGTCTTATATATAAGTTTGAACCTAATTTGGTTTCATGTTAGTGAATGTAAATTTATCCAGGTCTCATTTTCCAAGTTTGTTTTAATCTAAAAAACTTTTTGACTTGCATACAATTTCAGAATTAAAAATAATTTTTGTTAGTGATTTATATAAATCACTACAGTTGAACTGAATAGGTGTAAAACCTTTATGCTTACAATTAAAGTGATGAGACTTTGCAAAACATATATCTGTATATATTTTCTGGTGGAAAGAGAAATGTGTCTTATCCACCAGAAAATATATACATGTACAGATAAATGTTTTGCCAATATGTCTCACCACTTTAATTGTAAGCATAAAGGTTTTACACCTGTTTACTTCAACTGGAACTGTAATGATTTATATAAATCACTAACAAATATATTTTTTTAATTCTGAAATTATATGCAAGACAAAACGCTTTTTAGATTGAAACAAACTTGGAAAATGAGACCGGGATAAATTTACATTCACTAACATGAAACCAAATTAGGTTCGAACTTATATATAAGACCATCAGCTGCAAAGGATTAAAACAAGTACTTTGAATTATCATACTGTACGTAAAATTTGTCGAGTTCTCTCTTGACTCTTCTCAAAATTCATATAACTTTTGCCATCTTCCATAGCCTTGACTTACTTGCATTCTTTAAGCACTGCATGACTCATAGCACCTTCAGTGTCTTATATATAAATGTACATTTTGTATACAAATATTAATATTGAATATTGTGTATATTTTGTGTCTTCATATATAGTATCATATATTTCCCCTACCTTGAGGTTACCTTGAGGTGATTCCGGGGCTCAGCGACCCCGCCGCCCAGTCGTCGACCAGGCCTCCTCGTTGCTGGACTGGTCAACCAGGCTGTTGGACGCGGTTGCTAAACAGCCTGACATATGAGTCACATACGTCAGGCCTACATAACCACTTCAAAATTATCAATAAATGCATAGTGAAATATACTAAAATTGATGACCAAACCACACATAAAAAAGTGAAGAAATTAAGTTTCAGTCTGTCCAGGACACATTATCAGGTCTGTATACTAAAATTGTTTTCTTCCACCAGATTCCTGTAAAATACATGTGTGTTATGTGTCAGCAAATATGGTATACCAATATCAATACTGAGTATAATATAAAAAAAAACTTACAATATATATTGAGAAGAGAATCACAAATCTTCTGACGGTTTACGGCAATATTTCCTTTTGAAGCCGTCAAAAAGTGTGTCAAGGTATTATCTTGCTCAGTTTTTGAGTACCTCTCAAGCTGACGATACACTAATTTCAAATCCAACTCTTTGCCCAAATTCTGCAAGAAATAAATACAAGTAAATAATTAAACATTTATACTCTAATACATATCATTAACATGGAGCATTCACAAAATTATATATCATACAATCATGTCAAAAATGAATCGGTCATATATAATTATGAATTTATCTGCTGTACATGCAATTACTGTACTATGCAGGTTATTGCATACTCAACAATATGTCTAATAAATTGCAAAGATTTAATAAATCTTTGAAACACACTAATTTCATCCATTTTTTTTAGGTTTAATTTTATAATTTAATAAGATTGGTAATTAAACCTTATGGTGCAATGTATTAATTGACAAAAAATATGACAAAATGCCAGCATTGAATGTATGGAAATCCCAATTACTGGGTGAACCTCAGAGGCTCCCTCAAGCTATTACACTGATTTGGTGCCATACTATTTGGCATCATCAGTCTCAGAGTCCTTATTCGTCCACCGAGGACAACGAACTAGAATCTGGCCCCAGAGAGGTGCAGGGAGCGGTGGCCTATGAACACTTTAAATGTAAAGTTTATCATGTCTGCAACCACCTAGGAAAGCACCCAGAAAGTCAGCGAAACAAAACAGAATACTTCATGGTGCATACCCTACACGACTCTGGGTCGTAGGCGTCTTTGACCTAATAGCTGGTATGACGGAGGCAGAATGAATGATTGTCTCCCCGTGGCACAGACAACAAGCAACTGGCAGATATGCCCAAGGCAAGAAGAGCTTTGGAGATAATGTGCACAGCTTCAAAATTACAATTACAAACAATTACATATTACAAACCCCATTGGGGATTTTCAGGGCTTGAAGGGTAAACACCCAAGCACTGGGTACATTATACGGGAATTAAAATTAAGCCGACACAGCCTGAGCTAAATGACTGTGATGGCTGATCTCAGCATGCCATATATGTGAGCATTCGAGCCACTAGTGTCCTCTCACCAGCCAACACTCGTTCCCGACCCGGGTCAAGACAGAGGAGCAATGAGACCCCTGACTCACCCAAGGGGACTGCTACCCCAAGCAGGAAAGACCTCTAAAGGAGTGAACTACCAAACGCACCAGAGAAGAGAACTGTCGTGCTGAGGAAGCATTAGAGAGCACTTGGGGAAAGTAATCCTGAGCACATACAGCCCTAAGCACTCTAAAAATCCAGGCCTATGCTACACATATGCTATGCTCAACAAAACAAAACAAAAAAAACAGGATGAAGTCCAAAGAGGCACTTAGCCAAAAACCACTTGGCCAGCCACAGCTTACTGATGAAATGAATGCCGTAATGCACACGTGTTGCACGAGCTGCATCAATGGAAGAATTGGCTACTCAAGCCAGTGGACAGCATGACCCCTGGCCCCCCTTCCCTCCCCAAATGAGTGGGAGGCATGGGGCAAACAAGTGCACCAATTTTTGAGACAGTTTTTAAAATTAGTTTACTTTAGACAATCTGTGATGCTCCATTTTTTAAAGCAGTAGAGGTTTGTATAGGCACACTAACTTTCTGGGTGCCTTCCCAGTGAGATAGTGAAGTGTCACCTGCTTCCTGTGCCTCTGTGAGGAATGCCATGTTCTGGCATTGGTTCCTGGTAGGCCAGACTGAGTGCCAAAGTTGATGGGATCTAGTTGTTGTGAAGAGAAGGAACTCCCATCCCTGGACTCCCTCAGCACACCCATATTCTCTCATAAGTACATCACATTCTTGCAGTGCCATTGTATAAATAATATGGTAACCAAAACACAGATTTTAGATTAAAAATTAAATCTCATTAATTTGATAACAAAATATAATGGATACAGTATGTCCATGTATGGAATAAGGAGTAATATCAAGAAAATGCAGATAATGTACAGTATTTTGAAATAAAAACACAAGCATTAGAAAGTGATGTTTTTGAGGCAAACTCTGTAATGTAGAAATGATAGATCCTATAAGTTCATGAACCTGTACACCAGTTGATGGACAGTCGAGAGGCGGTATCAAAGATCCGAAGCTCAACCACCACAAGCACAACTAGGCGAGTACAACAAACCTGCATCACTTTTCTTGCATCAAGAGGTTGGCCCGCTTCTAAACACGCAAACAAGAGGTCATGTCGAGCTTGGCTCAAGCCACGACACCGCACAATGATGTTTAGCATCTGTTCCAGTAGATCACTGGCTGGGTTGGAGCTGTCTTCACCCCTTCTATACAAAATCAAAAGGTTTATTACATGGATGTTGTCTTCTAATAAATACATAATGCAAGTATTTTCTTCATTAAAGTACTCCTAAATTACTTTTAAGAATTGAAAGCATGGTGGTCTTTAAAGAGGTTTGTCATAAAATTTATTTAAGATGAGATATTCCAAGACATTTCAAGATACCTAAGGAATTTTATGACATCTTGAGAGCAAGAGTAGAGATGGGAATAATTAGTCAAATCAAGTCCAATACTGACCTGAAGAGATCAGACAAATTCATCTTTTCACTCTGGCATTTAGAATGATGAATAAGGAGGATAAGGATTTCAATCCTCATGGGAAGACATTTGTAGTTTTCATAGATCATCTCTGCTTCCTGCACTGCTGCTAAGAGACTGCCGCTATTAAATAAAATGAAATTACAAATCGTTATTCGATATTCATAGTTTATATCTTCATTGGATACAAACATAGTTTTTGGGGGGAAGCCCCTTGTGGGTCCCTGAAACTATACACCGAGATGTTACCATCTAGTAGGTTGCATCAGCCAACAGGTTCTACAGGTCTACTAGGGACCAGAACCAGAACCTGGCCCCCGCTCACACATGTGCAGAGACTTCTTTTTTTTCCACCTCACCAGTGAAGGCAACCAGAAAGTCAGCGAGACAAAAGAAACGACTGCTGGATGAAGAGAGATCGGAGCCTGAAAACCCACCTAAGAACTCCCCTAAATATGTAAACAAGAAATAAGTCTCTCAGCACTAATGCAAGCTCATTCAGCCCACCTCCCCCATTCCTTTGGGAGGAGAGTGGGGAGGTAGCTCACCACCTGCCGAGGTCTGAGCCCCCAGTTCCATTGCTGATGTAGCGTACCGGGTCTCTCTTCCATGCTGGCTCTAGTGTTCTGCAAATTCAGCAAAGTGGTGTGGTGTTTGCCTCTGGTGGTGTTTTGCATAGTAGTTGATGCGACTTATAAGTGTGGAGCTATCTCAGTTCACCTAACAACAGATAACCACCATTCAGTCCCTCCAGGAAGGCGGGACCTCAGGTGATATCTAGCAAGCAAAAACTAACAAGCATACCCGTAACAATGCAATTTACGCTGCCTCGCAATATGATAACAAGAGTTAACTCCAAGGCCCGAGATGAAGGTGGTTTTACATCATCCAGAACTGAGAAGTCGAGGGCCGGTCTCCCTCCTACCGCCTAGAGGGAAAGTTGAGCTGACTAGCGGGGGGTCTAGTTTGACAAAATTTTGGCCGTTTGTTTTCTTTTAGGGGAATTCCTTTGATATTTTATGGGTTTGTGTCTTATCTTAAATCATGCAGTGGTTTGTTTTGATATGCCTACCTTTATGGGTGCTTCTCTGATGATGGCAGAAATGATAGGCTTTAAATGTACAATATAGTGTTCATAGGCCATCACTCCCTTCACCTCTCCGAGGGGGGCCAGGTTCTCGTTCATGGTCCCTGGTAGACACACAAGAACTCTGCGACTGATGATATTCAAGTAGTATGGCACTTAATCAGTAAGCTTGCTTCAGAAAGCCAACAGGGCTACCCCCAGAAAATTATAAAAGCCCCAAATTATACATTTATATTGGTAATAGAGCAGCTATAACAGTAAGCAAGTACTGAGGGCTAACCTATTTAGTCTGCACTTTACTAGGGCACCCAAAGAAAGGTTTTCTGCTTTTACAAGACCCTTAGAATGCAGCATATGGAAGAGCTGATGTGTCAGCTCATAGTCACCAGTTGTTGCAGCAGCCATTAATAAATTTCTACAGTTTCTTCTAATTTGTGTAGTATCACCATCACCAGCCTGGTTGATATTCTTTAAATATTTTCTGAGTGTTACAATTCCCTCTGAAAAAAATAAATAAAGCCTATATAGTACAGTAAATAAGAAATATCATAAGTACATATAATATATAGAGTACAGTATACAATACAGTACTGTATATACAGCACAAGTTGAACTTACAATACCAGACATGGTCGAGTACCACACCAGCTGACTGATGTCTTACTGTTGGAGGACACCAAAGCATGCATCACCACTTCTAAGTGTACATGCGAGGTACACAGTACTTTGTGAACATGTCTTATAATCATGACTCGTGGGAGGAGACCTAGCATATTGGGAGTCTGCTGGTAGCCCTCATTGCTCAGAGTAAGGTTATCACATGAAGGCCATTGTGTACCTATTGACAGATTAACTAGAACCAATTGAAACATTTGTACAGTTGCGAGGCCTAACGGATGACAGTCATCTACTCGGTGTTGAATGGGAGTTTCTGTCTCGCACAAAATGAGAAGTGACTAGCTTGGGTTAGCTAAGGCAACAGTCACAAGCAAACAATTGTCAACCTATGGGAAGCTGCATTTATCACCCGAGAAGATTTAGCCGTAGTTCCGTGATGTGGATATTGCCAGACTCGGCCACAGTCTCATTCATCCTAAACTATACAACAAGATCATTTGAATAGTTTCTTGTCATGGTGGGGTGAAAAATCGACTATAGCCTGGCATGTGAGCTACGTCCTGATTGGACGTGGGCTCTGAATAGCTAACAGACATAAAAACTAGAAAAATAAAACCAATGACAAGAAAATCAGAATTAAATGTAAAAATATTCTTAAAATAATGTATTTTAAAATTCTGACCTTCACTTCTGCCATCTTGAATCAAAAGTGTACAAAGATCAATCACTTTGAAAGAGTCCAAGGAAAATGATGGATGCTCCTCTTGCAAACTAGCATAAATATCCAAAGCAGCATTAGCATTTCCATTGTTGACATATGCCATGAGGATGCTTGCCATCATTCCAGCACTCAGTTTAATCCCATCATCTGTTGCCTTCTGTTGAGCAAGATGTTGAAAATGAAGATCGTGATCATACACATATTAAAACAAACTTTATAAACATCACAATGCTACATATAAAATAAGTACAATTCAAACAAAATTTGCATAATTTTACATTAGCAGTAATACTATGGGCTACTTGTAATTACCCAAGTACTGTATGAGTTTAAGTAAAGTTCTGATAATTTTCTTCACCATATCCGCACAGAAATCCGGATAACTGAGGGTAACAAATTTTCAAAAACTGCACATTTCAAGATCTACAGAACAAAACAAGAAGACAAACTACAACAAGATAAGCTGAAGGTTCTCTTGTAAATTATATTTCCGAGGGAAGCCCTGTCAGCTTCCTGAAGCCGTCACACTGATTAAGTGCCATCAGTCGCAGAGTTTTCTTTGCCTACTGGGTATCACAAGCCAGAACCTGGCCCCCTCTAGAGAGGCACAGAAAGCAATAGCCTACAATCACTTTACATTTCAAGATTATCATCTTTGCCACCACTTAGGGAAGACACGCAGAAAGATAGGCGCATCAAAGCAGACCACTGCATGGATAAAACGAGACCACAGCTCCAACCCTTCCCAACAACAAAAACAAACAACCATAATTTTGTGAAACCAGTTCCCTGTTAGTTTGCCCCGCCTCCTCCTGTTTATTTATGTGCTTCTTGAGATATAGGCACCATACAACTGCCCAGTTGGATGCCCTAGATCTGCCTCATTTGGTGTTTAGGGATTTGGATCTGGGGGTGTTTACATATTTCCAATTTTACATGTACTGTAATGAGAGGTCACCTCCTAATATACGCTCAATATTAAAAGGTATTTTAAGGGTGATAACCCAGAAAAATTTACCCAGGATAAGCAAACCAGGAAAAAGAAGACTGCAATTTCCTAAACTGTCAAAAGGCATTTGACACTGTTCCTCGTGAAAGGTTCATGTAAAAGACAGAGAAGCAAGCTGGAATAATTGTGAAGACACTAAACTGTGTAAGGGAATACCTGAAGGACAGAAGACAAAGCGTCACAGTCAGAGGCGAGGTCTCCAGCTGGAGGGGTGTAACAAGTGGGGTCCCACAAGGATCGGATCTAGGACCACTACTGTTCCTAATTTATGTTAATGATCTTCCCGAGGGAGTGAGCTCGTACATATCAATGCTTGCAGATGATGCCCAAATAATGAGGCATGTAAAAACAGAAGAGAACAGCAGAATGTTACATAATGACTAACAAACTCTAGGAGTGGACAAACAAATGTTTGCTGGAGTTCAGTCCTAATAAGAGTAAGGTATTGAAAATAGTGAAGGGAGAAAGACAACCAGGTGTCTACACCATTAATGGAAGGCAATTGCAGGAATCAGAGAGAAAAAGATTTGAGAGTGGATATAATTCCACCCCTAACACCACAGGTACTCACGGGCAGGGTGACATTAGCAGCATAGGGACACTGGCAAACATTAGAACGTTGCTTAGAAACATAAACAGGCTGCGTTCAAAGCAATCTAAACAGCTTTTGTTAGACCAGTGCTGAAATATGTAGCACCTGCTTGGAATCCACACCTTATGAAACATAAAACTAAAATTGAAAAAGTGCAGAGGTTTGCAATTAGATTAGTGCCAGAACTTAGAGGGTTAAGTTATGAGGATAGGCTGAAGGAACTGGATCTCAAAACCTTGGAGGACAATAAATAGTGGAGATATGATAATGATATACAAGATACTGAGGGTAATAGACAAGTTGGACAAGTCCAGCCTCTAAGTTGAGAGACAGTAGGACGAGAAGACACAGGTGGAAGCTGGAATTGCAAATGAGTCAAAGAAATGTAAGGAAATACTGTACTACTCTTACTCTGTACAGGTGCTAAACAAGTGGAATGCACTGAAAGAAGAAGTTGTTGAAGCCAATTCCATCCACAACTTTAAAAAGAAACATGATGAAAATGTTAATGTTGAGAGGGGTTATTAATGTGCTAGTATGAACAGTATTACTACCAACACTGGGGAACACAAGTATTACTAACAATATAAGAGAAAAGCATTACTAGCAACACTGGACAACACAAGTATTGCCAGCAACACTGGCAAATAAAAGCAATGTTATTAATATTAACTGTAATACCTATCCCAACAATTAAAAACATCAAAGGATGCTACTCGTTCATTTTGAGAATTTAAGATCACACATTACTTGCTTACCTTCATGAGATTTAAAACACTCTCGGTGTCATTTTTTGAAGCATGGTGAAGCAGGAGCCTGCGTAGGGTTCCTCGCACATTCAAACCCTTTGACTGAAGTTCAGTCATGTGACCGTCCAATTCCTCGGATGTCATACTCTTCTGTATAAATTGTATATTAACAATTATTTAAAAAATTTGTAGAGAATAAGTTACAGTAATGTAGCTGAAGCAAAGCCCAAGTCACATAGATGAAAAGAATGGCAAGTCCATCCTGGACTGTTATCAAGTCACAGTTGCTACTTGACGAGAGTCCAGGACAGGCTGAAACGTCATAGCCTTCCTTTCTTTTCATATGTATAATTTGGCCGATTTATTTTATTACATAACATTAATTTACTTTAATAAGTCACATTCTCCAGATGCTGGTTGGTATTTTTTGTGAAAAAAATCATCACTTCATTCCAACTTTCATAGGGTAGGCAGGCAGCAACCTGCCGAAGCAGAATTTAAACTTTCTGCTTCCACAATGAACATGTCTTATGCTCGTGGGTCCCCTGCAAAAATTTCTGAATTGTAACTACATTTATTATATGTACATTATTTACAATTAGTTACAGTATATGATTTCCCCAAAGATATATCCCACAACAGCTGCCTAACTCCTAGGAACCTAATTACTACTAGTTGAACTGAGGTATCAAGGATCATGAAACATGTTGCTGTGTGTGAGAATCGAACTCTGGTCCATTCAGAGATCCAACTGCATTGAGCACTGCACCACAAGACATGCTGCAAAAATTACAGGGCACTTACAGGATGAGGAAGAATGTTGTACTCCTGTTCCTTAGGAGGATGACCCATCTTAGGGTTTAGAATAATGTTGATATTATTTCTGATTGCCTCTTGTATATATCTGTTGGATCGGGTCATCAACAAGTCGGCAGAATTTTCTGATATTCCGATCCCATTCTTCTTTAGTTCCTGGATAATTAAGAGTTTAAAATTTATTAATGGAAATTACAAAAGTAAGTATAATATGTTACACAAGCCTCCAAAGATTTTTAAATCAATTTACATATTTTAAAGGATATTCATGAAGAAAAACAGTTATCTTTTCCATTTTTCACTGTGGTTTTCCTGCATAATTATGATCAGTGGTTTTTAATCATTATTGCATACTTATAAGGATATATAAATCTACTAACCTTAAACAAAGGACGAATCCGCTCAGCATTAAGTCCAGCTCTTGAAGTACCTAAATCCAGCAGAAATTGTCCACCCCAGTCATCAGCATCAAGCTCATTTTCTACCACATTCTAAGATAAAAAAAAAAAAACAGCATTGAATGTAATGAAATATCAATTTTGGGACGAGGCCCAGTGGCTCCCTGATGCTATCTCTCCGAGATGCCTACCAACTACTAGGTCAGGTCGCATCAGCCCAGGAGTTCTTAGACTTCCTTTAGACTGGAGCCGTCTATCAACTCACCTGGCAAGGAATCCAGAAACTCTACAAACCAAAATAGACAGCCACTGGATTTAAGAGAGACCAAAGTCTCACAATCAACCTAATAAACTTCCACAACGATGTAAACAAATGATAGAATTTCTTGAAACTAGCATGTCCTCATTTACCCCAGCTCCCTCACTTGTTTGGGAGGGTGGGAGTTGAAAGAGACCACACCATACACAGGCTAGAGTTCTCAGTTCTGGGCCAGATACACACACAAACCCCTCCACCTGATGACCTGAAAGGGAGGAAGGGAATCAGGAAACCACTGGGGCTCACCCAGAAATTGGCATTCCATTACATTTAATGCTGGTTTTCTGGGGAAGCCCCTTGTAATTTAGTGACTAAATTAAGCCCCATTGCCTTAAAAATGAAAAATAATGGGGCTGAAAAATAAGCCCCATTTAAGAGCATTGTAACAAAATATTTAGCAAAGTGGCTGAGCCGGTGGCTGAGCGGACAGAACACTGGACGCATGATCCTGTGGTCCCAGGTTCGATCCCAGGCGCCGGCGAGAAACAATGGGCAGAGTTTCTTTCACCCTGATGCTCCTGTTACCTAGCAGTAAATAGGTACCTGGGAGTTAGTCAGCTGTCACGGGCTGCTTCCTGGGGGTGAAGGCCTGGTCGAGAACCGAGCCGCGGGGACACCGAAATCATCTCAAGATAACCTCAAGAAAGTAATAGACAGACAAATACTAAATTAAACTGTAATTTTCTATAAAGAATTGTAAACATTTGTCAAAAGTAAGTAATTATCAAAAGAATGCCAACAAGCCTGGAAGACTGCTTAGCATCATCTTTTGGCACTACTACTCTCCAAATATGAAAATTATTGGGTTAAACAATTAGGAATTAAATCCTTTTGAGGAATTTACCTCTTTACTCTTCTCAATGAGGAGAGCTAACAAGGAGATGATGGTTCTTGGGTTGGCTGACCAAGCTGAAGCTAAAGTGGTAGTTATGTCACGAAGAGAAAAGGAAACCTTTGTCTTCTTCACTGAAATAAAAGTTAAAAACTTTCAGGACATCAATTTAAATAGCACACACAGATTATTACTTCTAACTTATATTTTAGCCAATATTGTTGTATTAGACCCACTTCTCCACTGTCAACATGACCCCCCCCCTACAACCTAACTACTTGCTACATTTGCAAACTATTGCACCCTCATGGCATTAGACCCACAGCCGCACTTCCCATTTGAACCAATCCACACCTATCTAGAAGCCCTGTTTGGAAACTAATGCACCCTAATGGCATTACACTCGCATTTCCACTGTCTACTTAAACCAGTCCACACCCATCTGCATGCTCTGTTTGCAAACTAATGCACTCTCATGACATTAGACGCACATCCCCAGAACCCACACGAACGAATTCACAACCATCCACATGCCCTGGTTTACAAACTAATGCCATGATAGTGTGTTAATTTTTAAGCAGGGTTTGTAGATGGGTATGCAATAGTTCACATAGGTGGAGTGAGGATGTGGGTCAAATGCCAAGAAAGTGCATTAGTTTGCAAACATAGCATGTAGATGGTGTGGGTTGGTTCACATTGTCAGTGGGGATTTGAGTGTAATGCCATGATGGAGCACTAGTTTGCAAACATGGCATATAGATAGATGTGGATTGGTTGGATGCACATCCCCTCATGTAGAGGGGATGTGCATCTAATACCACTAGAGTGTGTTAGTCTGTGTAAGTAGAGCAATTAAAGTACAGTACAATTAAATGCTCTTCAGTAAATCCTACTGTCAATGGAAATCTTACAGCCAATAAAAGATTATTAATAAATATTTTTTAGTAAAAACCAATAATTGATTAAAAAAATGTTGCTCACCAAATTCAAAGGCTTGTTTAAACAAGTTATTTTTTATAAGCACAATGAGTAAAGGTGTCGCAGCCGTGGTTACCGTCAAGCCAGCATGCTTGAGCATCTTCATGGTTAGGTCTGGGTGGTTTACAGTAAGACCAGGAATAATGTAATCCTTCAGCGTCTCCAAACCCGGAGTCTCTCCCAGTGTGATCATTTCACGCACACACTCTAGTAGCTCTGCAACGATAAACACAATATATCCACATTCAGTCAATATATTTAGATTTAAAACAGGTTGGCTACAGTTGGTTAGTCAACCTTCTATTTAATACGTATATGTTACGTTAATTAAATACGTATATGTTACGATAATCATTGTCACATCACTGGATCAATCTTTACATCATGTAAATCATTTCGTTATTATAAGAAAGAGATCTCATAATCATACCTGTACAATACTTGCCTCTACACATTTCTTTATCATAATGAAAGAGATGTTGTAATAATCAATAAAATATAAGTACCTGTACCAATATCTTGATTTTTTGAAGTTTCAAAATATACAACGTGCAACAAATAAATTGGACACCATGAAGTTACAATGCAAATAAATACAAATACATGCTCCTATCTTATCACCATTCTATTTCTTCACTGTTTACTTATACAGAATTGTAAACTTTCATACATAATCAAATTAACAGTAGTGTTATGTATTAAAAAAAAAATTTTACAAACGAGTACAAGAGAAGATTACGTGTGATTCCTGCTACAGTAGCAGGTTTAAAGCTTTCCCTTACTATACCTCATCTAAAGCCATACCTTACTAGTCTTCTTGCAAATTGACATGTGGGCTCAATCATTAATCTTCGAAGTACTGTACTTGTAAAGAGAAACGTTCTTGTCAAAATACAATTGCACATTAGATTCCTCATCTTATTATCTGTTTTACAACATTAATAATAAAACCTGCGTGTAGCGATGATTCAGCCACGTCTAAATAACGTGGGTGAATCAAACAGCACAACTCACATACATAAAGGGAAATGAAACTGTCAACATTTCGGTACGTCCTGGACCCTTATCAAGTTATGACATACTGAACTCTCTCCCACTCCTGCTATGTCATGACTTGCCAAGGGTCTAGAATGGACTGAAACATTTGAAAAGTAGTGAAAATGACAACATGTGTTGGGTTATTTGTATACCTACTTGTGGGTTCATTAGCTACAGCACTCATGTGGAGCAGAGGCCAAAAGTAGTGTTCACGGAGCAGACTGCCACTTTCCTTAATTGCTTTCATAAGAGCCCATGCCAATTTTTCATTCTTCATTCGCAAGGCATATTCTAAGGCTACGTGGAAAGCAAACCGGTTTATTTCCTTACTCTGTAGTTGTTTGCAAATTTCAACTACAAGACTGGGTTCCTAAAAATAAGAACATGTCTTAATAAGTACAATAACACTGTAAGAGTGACAGACACTCTTTACAAAACTTTAAGTAACTGTATAATGTAACTTACAGAAAAGGGGTCTCAGTATTTATGAGGTGAGCATTTCTATGAAACCTTAAGACAAATAAGACAAACAGTGCACTGAGTGTAAAGAAATATCTCATTCTGTAATTACCCAAGTGTAATAAACACCTAAGTGTAGAGATCAGAGCTACACTCGTGGCGTGTGTTGGAGGCCTGGTCGAGGATCAGGCCTCGGGGACGATAAGCCTCGAAACTATCTCAGGGTAACATCTCAAGGTAGGTGGTGTCCCGTCTTCCCAGAACTTTGTCATATAACACTGACACTATTGATGGTTTTGGCCTTCACTACTTTCTCACTTAACGTGTTCCGAAGGTTGAACACCCTGTTTGCAAACAAAATCTTTCTATTATTTTTTTAGCACCTTTGTTTCCTTATCTTGAGTCTGTGACCTCGTGTTCTTAAAGTTGCTAGTTTCAGGAATTCCTCTTTGTCAATTTGGTAAATTACTGTTATTATTTTGTAGGTGGTGATCATATCACTTTTTTTTTTCTATCTTCTAGCTTTGGCATATTTAATGCTCTATCCCCTCTTTATAACAGGGTTTCCAGTTGCCGGAAGCCATTTTGTAGCATGCTTTTGCACCTTTTCCACTAGGTAAGGAGCACACTAGGTACTCCCAAGTGCACGCCTTAGACTCTTTCACCATGACATGGTCAAAAGCAATGGGATTCAACTGAATCCTCTAGGGGTCCCGAGGCTTCCACTGATATCCAGTCAAGGTTTTACACATTACCACCTCCTCCATGTACTCTGGTTGTGGGCTAAGCTTTCCACCTCCAATGCTTCTCTTCAAATGCACAAAGTAATCAAATTAATGTGATATATCAGTAAGAAAATCAACAGGAGCCATGAGGAGTATTCAAACCTGCACACTGGGTACTCTCACACACACACCATGTATTATTATATTATTGTGAATGTACCTTCTGGAGATCATATGAATGTACCTTCTGGAGGTCAAATGAATGTACCTTCTGGAAGCTACATAAACATACCTCCTGGAGGTCATTCCATTGTAGGAGTCTTCTCCAGCATTTCCTTTACTCCAGCATGATCCAACTGAGTAACTTGAAAACATTCCCTACTGCACTAGGGCAAATTGTTGATCTGGTCTAACAGTGTACAATACTGTCCTTAGGACAACAACCTCACACTTTATGCACTACAATTTTGATGTCAACTACAGGTTCAAAAGTTTGATGATTTAGTGAAATTAAAAGTACCACAATACTGAATCTACCTCAAACTAATGAGTATCAGTGCAAGACAGGTTAGATGGCTTGCCTAGGTTCAAATGCTTCTGGTACATGGTTACAGAGGTCACATTAGTAATACTGTACAGTGATTGTAACTAGTGTACTGGGCCTTTAATTATGCACAATAAGGACAATAATTATATTGGGTTTTGCACAAAACTATATGCTATGACACTTTATTTAAAATACATGTGATTAAGCAAACACAGATCTGTAAATCGCCTACCACTTGAGTGTGAACCACCTCTTGAATGTAGATTGCAGCATTGGAGTAGAGGTGATTGTTATCACGTATACGTGGGATCATGGGCAAAAGATGTATAGCTTCGTGCACATGGCCAGAGTGTATTATTTGCAACACGACCCGGGACAAGTTGAAACCCCTGCCACTTTCTTCTATGAGCTCCACAATCTAGAAATAATCAAATTATATTAGTACTGTAAATGTATGTTATCAAACTCCAAAACATATGTATGCTACTGTATAGTGAATGGTGTCTTTTGTGCAAGATAGTATTGTATCATAATTAATGTACAGTGTATGGTGAAAAATGTGTGGAAAATTAGCCACATTAGGCCCACTTTTCAAAGGATCAAAGTGTGGGAAACCATTACTTTGAATAATCATCTGTTACACTGAAGGCCTCTGCTGCATTTGATTAATGATTACCAATATCATTAGGTAATCATTAGGCTAGTTCATGTGCAATTTCATAAAAATACAAATTTGTTACTTATCTCCCAAAGGCATAGGTAGTACTGCATTCAAAACTGAACCCATATAGAAGTGGTTAAACCTTCCACATGTAAGTCTTCAAAGAAAAATATTTATATATAATTTTCATAGGTGAACATTGTTCGGATAATGCTGAAAACAATTAAAAGTACATTTAGTAATTTAATATGTTAAATGAGAGTAATTTATGATTTTGATTATTGCACATCAAATACCATGGATGTGTTTTCTTAGTGGGTAGTCAGTAAAATTGGCTTAATCTAGTTTCGTGTGATCAACCAGTCACGTAGGTTCAACCTATGGTAAGCGAGAGGGGTCAGTTTAAGTATAGTATATATAATAACAGTGGAAATTTGCCACAAAATGTGGTGTGAACAAGTAACATCAAAAAAAGCTTGAATTACAAGATAATTCAACATTTGCAAGAAAAAAGTTATTTCACTGGAACCCAAATTATCACTACACTAAGTTAAAGAATCAGACTCACACAGTCCATATTCTCGAAGTGTATTCCAGCTTTGACAAGACTGAGCAGAAGTGATGCCAACTGGTTATGAGTTAAGGCAACTCCAGCTTGCTTCATCTGTGCCACCACCTGCTTCATCTCTGAAATCTGCCCAGACACACCATATGCATGTATCATAGCTGCATAAGTGATGTTGGTGGGGGTCATCTGTACACTTCTCATGGAGCTCAATATTGATTCTATTCCTTTGGAATCACTGTAAACAAATTAATAATTATAGGCAATTACGTTTTAAAGTGAGTACAGTATAAGAAAGGATTAGAACAGAGGAAACTGCAGAAGGTATAATGGCCCATATAAGGCAGCTCTGATTTATATCTGCCCAAATTCACATATACGTCTAATTTGCACTTTAAATTGTCAAGCAATCCCATGTCTATTATGTTACCCAATAACATATTCCATAAATGAAACCATTACTCAGAAAGTTAATTTAGATTCAAATTTAGCAATGATGATATCTACATTACAATAAAAGAAAATAGTTCAATACAAATCTTTCATCAATAGTTATTTGTTATAGAATAAAGGTAAAGCCATATTGAGTGAGAAACTCACCCATCTGCGCCATGTGCCATGATGAAGGCGCTAAACACAGTCTCTGTAATTGGAATGTTTCTTTGCTTCATAGCGGTGAGAATGCTGGTGACCCCAGCCAAGTCTCCGCAATGACCCAGTACTAATATCAGCAATTCTAGTATATCACGACTTGGTTCCAATTGGTGATCTTCCAGCAAGTTGAATATCTCCTAAGGAAAATTTTCTTTTAAGTATATAATACAACTTAAAGCAACTGTATTAGCTATAATCTGTAGTATACTGTATATTAACTTCTAAAAATAAAAAATCACTTCTGAGGGCTTTAAAAAATGCCCAAAAATCATATACAGTATATTAAACGAAAAAATTAAATGGCAATCAAGATTTAGGGAGCAAACTGATTACATGTTTATGTTGTGCTGCCAGGAATGTCCTCCCTGGAGTGTTCAGGGATTGCTCATTTAGAGGTCCTCATCGTTTGTGGTGGCCCTTGCCCTCAGTAAGTCAGTTGTCGTTGATTTTCTGTTCCCTTGGGTCTAGAGTGATTTTGGCTGGCGGGGTACATTGAGGTTTGCGAGACTAACTGGCACGCCGAGGACGGCCTTCGCAGCCATGTCATTGGGCTGTGTTGGCCTAATGTTCTCATTTCATAAAAACTATTGAAAGTAGCATCTATACATTATATATATGAAACCAACATAGCAGTACCAGTGCCTGGGCATACCTTCTTGAGGTTATCTTGAGATGATTTCCAGGCTTAGCGTCCCTGCGGCCTGTGCATCGACCAGGCCTCCTTTTTGTTACACACCCCCAGGAAGCAGCCCGTAGCAGCTGTCTAATTCTCAGGTAACTATTTACTACTTGGTGAACAGGAGAATCAAGGTGAAAGAAACTCTGCCCATTTGTTTCCGCCTCCACCAGGGATCAAACCCGGAACCTCAGGACTACAAATCACAAGCTATTTTCCCCTGCAGACCCTGGAAAACCCATGTGGGTTCAGTGGTTCCATGGATATTCCAGGAAACCCACTCTCACTTCACATGAATTTATGGGTTGCATTTCGTTAGTGCCACATGGCGGCATTCATTCTTTCCTTCTGCCTCTGCCATGCTGTCTGCCGGGTCAGTAACAACTTCGACCCTGGTATGTGGGACCTGTTCTCATGTTACTCTCCCATCTGACCTGCCTGATGAGGCCTGGGCTTTTCAGGCAGCTTTTCTGTGTTACAGCCGTCTAGGTTGTGTGCACGATTAATTGCCCTGGAGCTGCCCCAGTTGGTGTTTAGGGATCAAGATTTGTGGGTGCTGTTTAATACAACCACCGTTTTGTCCGCACTTCCTCTTCATTTCCTCGTCAGGTGTAGTTCACCCATCCTCTGGTACTCCTCCCTCTTCTTCCAGCCCTGAAGTGTCTGAGTGGGCCACCCCCTGAACACAGCATTTATCAATCTTAAGCAATTTATAATGAAAAGTGACCCATAAAGGTCACTGGATGTTTTGAAATTAATGTACATATAGACCATACTGGAAGGGTCTATATGTACATCTAAATACAAGGATAGCAATTATTTAATAATACCCAGTATTGCATTAACTTGACTTACCTTGGAAGTACAAGAAGATCCAGTAAGCAGAGTTGCATGAAGAAATATATCAATATGCTCAAGAGTAAGTCTTGCATCTGAAATTATATAAATGTTGAAACGAAACTCTAGAAGAAGTATGGCCTGAAGTATGTTCCTGCTTGGTGCAGTAATGGATTAAATTCGTTAATCGAGGCTCCTCTGTACGTATTTGGAAATCAGGATTTCACAGGAATCTGGATTGGATCCAGAATAATATAACCCAGATTTTGAAAGGTCCACTGTGAGCAGTAATTAAATATAATTCACATAATGTTATCTAAGATTATAACGTAAGAAAAAAATTAAAATCCAAATATGGTGAATTATTTATAGAGACCTTTTAGTTCAATCACTCCTTGTGGAGTGATTAAATTACAATATTACACATGCTATACAAGTATGTACAGCATGTGTAAATATTTCATTCACTATAAAGAAAAAAGTAAAATGTTAGTTAAAACAGATACAAGGAGTGTCAACTAACTTGATCTCTCAGTGCACAACTTCCAAATGCTTTCCACAACACTGGCACAAGAACGATATTCATTCTGCACCATCCTTAAGGTGAAATTCAGCAGCTTCAAGCAATCATGGTCTGTCAGGGCATCCGTTCGTTGTGTCAAGCTACTTACAGCCCTCTCTAAGTCACTCACATTCAGCTGGCCAAGTTTTTCAAGTTTCATCTTCAACATTTTCAAAGCTTCATCCTCGTCTGATTTTTCTCCTAGATTTGAGATAATCTCAGATAGTGATTTATCACTTTCAATCATATTTTGTTTCAAAGGTTTATTTATTTCATCTTTGTTAGTGGATATTGGCTGTGTTTGAAGAATAGTTGTGCTGAAATAGAAACATGAAGGGTAAATTCACCAGACATTGGCCAGCAACACTCAGGATAAATATTACATCACAAGCTGTACAGTAATTGCAAACCTTGACACTTGTAGTAATATTCAGCATTGTCGAACAATTGTGTTAGCAGCTATATCACTCAAGTTTTAAGGAGTTCCATCTTTAAAGTCATTCATAGTACTGTATGTTTATCTACATAAATAAAAATGGAAATGTTCGTTTGTGCATGACCGCTAATCTCCGAAAGCTCTTCACCAATTGCTTTGAAATTTTCACACAACGTTGCATTCGCATCCAAGCAGGTTTTTATATACATACTACTATATATAGATGTCATGTCTGTGACAGTAAAAAAAAAATGTTTTTTCTGAAAAACTGTTTTTACATGTGTTGTTTCATGTGAGGGAAATCTTCGAAACCTCTTTACCAATTGCTTTGAAATGTTGACACAACGTTGCATTTGAATAGGCGCTTTTTTTTATATACTGTATCTACTATATATGTGCCTCACCTGTGACAAAAAAAAAAACATGCTTTTTTTTAAAACAGCGCCATCTGTTCAACGTAAGAGCAACACATGCTGTTATCTCCAAAAGTTCTTCACCGATTGCTTTGAAATTTTGACAACGTTCGAATAGGCGCGTCTTTTTATATACAACTATATAGGTGCCACCTCTCTGACAAGTAAAAACATGTGTTTTTGAAAAACAGTGCCATCTGTTGCACATAATAGCAACATGCACGCTATACTATCTAGTGTCAAGTTTTCATTTATTATTTTATTATATATATTTATTATATATATATATATATATATATATATATATATATATATATATATATATATATATATATATATATATATATATATATATATATATATATATATATATATATATATATATATATATATATATATATATACAGTATAAACAAATGTTCTGAGTGACAAACTTTTCCTGATATACAGTACTGTACAGTACTTAAAAATTCAAAAGTAACTCCAGTTCATAAAAGTGATACAGATGACAAACAATTACAGACCAATATCCAACCTACCAATATTATTAATATTTGAAAAAAAAAAAGTTGAATTTAATGAAATGCCAATTTCTGGGCAAGCCCTTGTGGTTCCCAGAAGCTATATATCTCACTAAAATGGCCCCTAACTACTGGATCACATCAACTGTGGGGTTGAGTTTAGTGTATTAAGGACCAGAGCCAAAAGCAGAACCTGGCCCCTTCACGGAGGCATATGAAGCAGGTAATACTCTGCCACCCCACCAGGGTAAGGCATCCAGAAAGTCAGCAAACCAATATAGATCACTGCTGGGTTGCTGAGTTTAAAGAGACTGAAGCCTCACAACCCACTGAATGAACTCTCAAAGCAATGTAAACATGGAGAGAGAGGAAATCGGAAGACATCTACACCATACAGGGAAGGTAGGTACAGGAATTAGAAAGAGTAATATCTGGGAGTGGATATAGTTCCGACACTCACACCGAAGGAAACACAAACAGGATAACATTGGCAGCATATGGGATGCTGGCAAATATAAGAACATCATTTAGGAACCTGAATCTGGAGGACTTCTTCAAAGCAATCTACACATTTGTTCAAGCAATACTGGAACACGCATCACCGGTATGTATTCCACACCTTGTGAAACAAAGACAAATTGAAAAGTACAAAGGTTCACAAGAAGTTTGGTGACAGAGCCAAGAGGTCAAAGCTACGAACATAGACTAATGGAGCTCAATTTCACAACCCTAGAGGATAGAACAACAGAGGGTGGCCCTCGCCTTGGGCGAGTCAGTGTCTTTGCCCCTCTGTCTTGATCTGGGTCAGATGCTGGGAGCGAGCACTGGCTGGTGAGGCCCTTAGCTTCCACACTTCAGGGTGTCCTACTTGGTTTACCCTTCAGGCTCTGGATATCCAAGAGTTCGACTAGCCATTTGATATTCCCTCCGAACCAGTGGCTGATTTAGTTTTCCGAATCAGACATCATAGTACACATACCTCCATAATTCTCTGGTAGAAGGGATACGACCTTGAAATTCATTTGTATTTTTTAAGGTGGAAAACGTCTGTCTATTGAGGGAATGTCTTATTAACGGACATTTAGCAGCGAGGAGACCAAGTAGCGGGACCCGGCTGGCCATTGTCAACAAAGACAGACAAGATGTTCTTGAGTCCCGTCGCCAGCACACGTTCCTTTACCCTATCCCCACCCACACTATTTTTTTTTTTTTTTACTTCTGCCTCCTATAATAGCAGGCTAAATATAGCTTTTCCTACTCAATAGGAATTATCGGAAGAAAGTTCCAAGTATGTTTTACTATAGGTAAAGTAAGGTGGGTGTCCGGAGAAAGCACCGAGGCAGTATAATAGTTAATAATTAAGTATGGCTAACTAGCACCCTTGGCATTTACGGCTTCGGCTGGTAGGCGGTTCCATGGGTTTATAACTCTATGGATGAAAAAGCATCTCCTGTTTTCTTTCCTACAGTGTGGCTTATTGAGCTTGAAGTTGTTGCCGTTGTAGAAGCCATCGTCGCCTTAACTGTACTTATTATATCCATCACAAGAGTTACAAATGACTAAGCTGATCCCGGTAGTATAGTTGGGTTCGTTCTCGACTCACAGTCGAAAGTTCCGGGTTTGAATACGCCGGCAATCATGTTCGAATTCACCGGACAAGCCGCCGGCTTCCTGTCTTAGTCGAGGTCACTAGTGTTGGTGGCTCTGATTCAGAGCCACCAACACCTAGACGGTCGGGGATTGAACGCCGACCTGCATGAAGCGAGATATAAGCCTAACATGTGCTATATGTAACTGGCTGCCTGTCCCCTGACAATGAATTATTATTGAATGAAAATCCTACATTTACGAAAGAATTAAAGTTTTATAATCTCCGCCACATTAATATCTTATATACTTTGTGAGGAGTCTTTTCCCAAATATTTTGACTGTTCAGAAATATTGTTACTGCAGTAATAAATAACTGCTTATTAAAATGGAGTCCCCAAGTGTGAGTCCTATAAGAACGATGGATGCACATGGCTTTAGAGAAACATTATGTTGTTGCTCCCGGGTGCTGGCTGCTTGCTGTTGTTGTCCCAGCTGTTGGACACAAGCTGTTGTTGGTCGTTGGACACTAGCTGTTGTCATAAGCTGTTATTGTGACTACCTGTTGTCATTGGTTGTTATTGCGACTAGCTGTTGTTATTGCGACTAGCTGTTATTATTGCGACTAGCTGTTATTATTGCGACTAGCTGTTGTCATAAGCTGTTATTATTGCGACTAGCTGTTGTCATAAGCTGTTATTGCAACTAGCTGTTGTCATATGCTATTATTGCGACTAGCTGTTGTCATAGGCTGTTATTGCGACTAGCTGTTATTATTGCAACTAGCTGTTGTCATAGGCTGTTACTGCGACTAGCTGTTGTCATAGGTTGTTATTGCGACTAGCTGTTGTCATAAGCTGTTATTGCTACTAGTTGATGTTGGGGAAGTGCCTGGTGCAGCCTTGACCCTGGGTGGACGCCCGGCTCCTGCTCGGCTTGGGAGCCACCGGTTCACAGGACACCTGACACATTATCTGGGGGTCGACAGATAGTCTTCCAGCTGGTGCTGAGAGCTTCAGCGTTCACATCCTCAGGGTAGGCCAGAGGCTGTCAAGCGTCTGCCATACCAAGGTTACCCGCTGCAGGGCAAAGTTGTCTGTTGCTGACAGGCGAAGTTTTAGCCACAAGGCGTAGTAGAGGTTTCTACTAACAAGGGAATGCCAGGGCACATAATTTCCTGCATTTGCCATCAAATCAACCCTGGCCACTAGTTCATTGTAATTTTTTTGTGATTTCTGTTGCATCCTTGAACAGCCATAAATCTATAAGCCCTAGTTGTGCAGCAGTCACCATAAGGAGACAGAGATTATTTAGTCCTTTATGGTTATGGTTTTACCTCATTAGGCAAGTGTGAGCTTACTGTTTCACAGCTAAGGCAAACAATTTTGTTTAATTACCCTAGTGTAAGGAGAGCAACTGGAGTCTGGAATCATCGAGGTATCAATAGTGAGATTTCTAATTTGATCTGTGTGAAGAGTGGGTCTAGCATCCTCCTCACCAAGAGTCGACAAATCTTTGGTGCATGGCATAGATTACTCCTGGATGCCACTTTATTTTTACCATCAGACTTAAATCTTATTCAGGAAATAAAGCAGGCATCATTCGGACAGAATTTGTTTAAATCTAACAACAACTAGTTAACAATGGCCTCACGATATGGATTTGTTCATACAAGAAACTTATTGAAGTCAGTTAAAAGTGGATGGCTGGATGTATATCCCTCTCAAAAATTTTCTAAGTATGTATATTTCATTTTATAATTAGAAATAAACAAGTGTGAACGTATGAGCATGAGAGAGGCAGCATAGCTAGATTACCACTTCCATGGATTTTAAAGTTCGAGAATTTTATATAAAAATCTCTGAATTGGGGAGTTTATATAGTTTTTGTACTGTATAACTTTACCTTTTCTTAACCTTCTTCTTTTCTTAAAAACTTAACCTTTTTCTTTTTACTTGATCACTGACTTAACCTTTTCCTTTTTACTTGATAACTGATTGATTGTAAAATAATTTACATAAGCACCTTAATATAGAGAGACTTTTTAAAGAGATACTTCTAATCAGTCGAGTTTGTTCTCAACTCACAATCAGGAATGCCAGGTTCGAATCCCAGGTGGGACAGAAATGATTGTGTTTATCCTCATGCTCCTGTTCACCTAACATTAAATAGGTACCCTGGAGATATCAACTTCTTGTGGGTTTGCATTCTAGACTGAAGTGTTTCTCGGGGACCACCAATTTTTTATTTTTTTTTTATTTTTAGTGGAGGGTGGTTACTGTACAGTATTTGTTATTGTTGTTTGCAGTCAGTCTGGTACAGAATATTGCTTTCCTTTGATAATTATATGTTATTGCTGTACATTAATAACAGTTATGTATTATGACCCAACAGGTACGTACAATATGGTTCGAGAAGTAATGGCAATATTGCATATAGCTCAAGACTGGGACAGTCATTTAAGAAGAGTGAATACAACTGTCTCCTTCATACTGTAAGTAAAATGTACCTAAATATATGTTCATACTGGGCTATAATTTAGTGTGACATTTATAAGACATGCGTTCTCATGGTGACAAGAATGTTGTGACGCATATGTACATGCAATTGCTTTTTGTACATTAATTTTGTGTAGGCACAAAACTTTGCCAGTACATTTTCTTCATTTAAATTTTGTTAATGATTTAGCCTGAATACAAACAAAATGGATTGTAAACAGAGTGTGACTTCTGAAGTGCTGGATGATTACTTCCTTGAACATGACGCAAATGGTCTAAATATGCAAGGAACTCTTCGGATTTTACTTCTTTTGAATACAACTCAAAATGACTCCAAAAGCGTATTGAGTCTGCTGAAGGTGAGAGTAATACTGCACTTAAATGTATGTTAGCATTTACCTCAATGTAATTTTCATTCTAAATATACTAGTGCGACAAATATACTAATGTAAGATTTTGTTCTCTTCTTTCATTATGTCCTCACTGTTATGTTAATATTTCAGTCATCAGGAAAAATATACAGAATATCTTAGTCTTATTTTTTCTCTTTTTTTTCCATATTTACAATTTTTTCTTTGACAGAAAGCAAAAATTAATGGTGTAAAACCCAGTGCTGATACAGTGACAAGCATTATAATGGCCTACATCAGAAACAAAAATATTGATGCAGCCGTCAACATGTACTCTACTCTTCAAGTAGATTATCCATCATATACTTTAGATCATTGCAAAATTCTCGACCTTGGTACACTTTTAATTGAAAATGGAAGAACCCAAGGTAAGCACATCAAACATTGGTGTAGTACGCAAGGATTTATCTCCTATTTTCTAATTTTAATCATTCTTCCACACAAAATTCAACACCAAACCTGATTTATCAGTCAACTTTTTGTGAACTAATTTTCTGAGAGGGGGGAACCCTCTGTAACTTCTCAAGCTACTGAGGGGCATCCTGAAATCATGCAGGACATCTTGTGCCCTGTACAATTTCAGGCCTCAGTCTATCCAAACCAAGCTTCAATTGAAAGAGGCACCATGGCCCATTCCCACCATGTAATAGTTCCTGGGGGTTTGGAACTTTCCAAACCCCCAGGAACTGAATGGGGGTTTGGAAATGTAAGGGATATAATCTACCCCTTGCGTAGAAAGTAGATAGTAGAAGACGAAATGCTGCCACCATCCATTCATGATCATTACATACAAGACAAGGAATGGAACTTGCCTGTCTAAAAATATTCTCAAAAGATGTTATTAGCAGTTCTTTATTAGTATGTTCACTATTTACCATGTATCAACTCCAATCATGTACTAGTTAATATCATGAAAACAGTAACCACAGAGGCTCTCTCACCTCAACTCAAATCTCTAGGGAACAAAGTTAAACACAATTTAAATAATACATTCAACAATTATATTTCACATGAAGTATCATAATTTAGCAATTCAATTAAAATGTTCCAGTTTAATATGCAAAGTGAGTCATCATCCAAGAATTCGAGAACCCTACAACTTGACTGCCCCTGATCATCACACAACATATGAAAACACGACCAAGTCACCTAAATGTTCAACTCACCGAGGACTGAGTCTAAGTTGAATAGAGAGGGGGGGGGGGGGTCTGTAGCTTGACAGAGACTGTCTCGCCCCTGCCGGCCGACAGCCTCCCTGGTAGGGCTGTCTTCTCTGCTTCTGCTGACTCCCGTTCTGTCTGTTCAATCCCTATGCTGGATAGCTCTCCGAGTTTATATTGGGGAACCTAGTAGCTAACTCCGCCCACAAGTAGATAGCCTCCGGCACTACCAAGCCACTCCTTAAACGTCGGCATGTTTGAAGGCTACCAGACTACAATTATAAGCTTAGCGGAAGCAAGGTGAAATTCTCATGATCTGACCTCAGGTCACTTGAGGTCATTAACGCTTTGAGGTGTGAGATCTCAGGCAGACAACTGGCGCCTCTCAGATCCTTGTCTGTGACTCATGTACTCTATGTATGTATTAAACTAACCCAAACACTTTTACAGTGTTACATCTCCCCTTCTCCCCGAAATAAAGTTTTTGCAACACTGCTAAAGCAAGCTAGCTGTGTGCGACAACTTTATTAAGGAAAAAAAAAATACATCCTAGCTAAACAAATATACATCATCCTACTCTAAAAAATGAAATATATAGACAGACGTCCATTGTCTCTGGCTGGGCGACGTCACTGCTTGGTCTTGTAGATAATCCTGTACCACATTTCTTCAACACAACTGCCTCCGTCGCTTCTCCGTCGTTAACGCACAACAACACTTGGTCAACCCGAAAGCCGTTACTACTTGAACTGAGCACAGGACCGTGGAATTCGGTTGTCCCAGCTGATCTGTAATTGGCCCTACGTCAGTCACCATGAGAGACGTATATTGGGGTTCTTCACAGCTATAGGGACTACAAGTTTCGAGACCTTCATATAGTTGCCAACAGTAGAAATCCCATCCTACTCTTCTTCCTCCCTGTTGCTCCAGCACGCCTCCTTCAGAGAGCTGCTTCTGACAGCCACATCAAGTCCGCATGACACAGGAAGAATCACTCAACAGAGCAACATGCTTGTAGGAGGGGCGGCCAGTTAAGGCAAACGATCCTGTCTTGCAATTACGCTCCATGCAATGATGCTGACACCAGCAAGGGACACTAGGTATCGTGTCTCAGCTTGTCTTATCTTCTTCTTTCTTCTCTCTTCTTTTTTCTCTCTTCTTTCTTCTCTCTTCTTTCTTCTCTCTTCCTCCTCCCATGGGTCTTTGACAAGCGACCTGGGGTCCATTGGGGTCCGTCCTGGGTAGACCGATGTTGGTGGGACAGACTGGAGTCGTTGTTCCTCTTCCATCTTTACTGGGTCGTCTGGGTTCGTCTGCAGAACGACCTGGGGTCCACTGGGTAGACCAATGTTGACCGACCGAGAGGGCTGCATCTTGGGGTCCCCTGGGGTGGTGGTGGTGGTGGAGCCATGACCTCCAGGTAGTGGGCTGGTCGTGGTGGTGGTGATAAACGCCCCTGAGTGTGGTACATAGCAGCCGTCTCCCTCTTTTGTATGTGCGTCTCTCCTCTCTTCTGGCTCCCACCTGTGGATGAACAGAAAGGCGACAATATCGTGCTCCCAAGATATTTGTGTGACCCTGTAGTTTGTATAGGGTTACACAGTCATATCATAACGCTCTCCTCCTGGCAACAACTACACTTAAATTTTTAAAATAATCCAATTAACACTGAATGATATTGACTTGGTGGAACATAAGACAGTAACAGAGGAAAGTTAGAGAAGAGAGAATAAGGTCATCACTACCTTTAACTTGTCACAAAAAAAAATCAACACTAATAGACAAACACTAGCCTAACTTAACTATACCTTTCCTAATCTTAAGTACATAAACCGCCGTTACTCCCACCCTTAACCTACAGCCACCTACGTGACCCAGAGTGTTTTCCTAGCTTCTCCGCCGGTCAACAACTCCCAAACTGTTGCCACCCCTGTGACCAGACTATCTAACGTCGAGCGTCCCCAACGTGAAGTCTACTGACATACTAAGGCTCCCCCTAGCATGCTGTACAATACCAGTACACCTCGGGTTATTGCGTTCAAATGGAGTAAAACAGTCGATCGCAATAATCTGAGCAGAACCACCACTAAATTCTACTTAAGAACTACACCTGCCGCTCCCCAACTGACCTGGAGACCAGCGGTGGCTGGGTGTCCCCGTGGGACATGCGAGGTCACCTGTCACACTCAGCTGACCTGCACTACCAACACCGCTAAGTTCCCAAATCGCCAAATCTTATTACTAACATAAATCACTACACACGCAAGTTCTGGTGAACATTCCCTGAACTACACAAAACTCACAAAATCACTAAACACAACAACAGAGAATCACTATCTCCTAACCTGAAAAAAGCTCGCTAAATCGCGAAAGTAAAACACCTGTCAAGATCTCCCTGATAGCGCCTGAGCGGCATAAAGACACGTGGGACTGAACAATGTTCAAAAGAACACCAACATAAACATTGTTCAACACCGCTGCCATCATTGTAACGGGGGGTGGGGGGAAATAGCTCTATCTTGTCCATTATTCCACCCCCCAGTTAACTAACGAGGCCGGGGGAAACAGCTCTCTCTAGTCCGTTATCCCGTCCCCAGTTAGCTAACTATTCTAGAGTACTCCCAGAGTTCCTAAAGCAACCTCTCTCGTTCAAAACCTTGTAACCTAGGTATTTGACTACCTAGGTGCTAAGACTACAAGGCGCCGTCACTTGATCAGTTACCCGAAACTCTAGAGAGAACTCTAGAATACAGAATCATTGCCACAAACGTATAAGAGAAAACGAGAGGAAAGAACTGAATAGTGAAGTAATTAGTGAGGGCTTGGGGGTGAGAGGGAGAGAGGTGGGAGGAGCGAGGAGGGTCATTAGTTGAAAGTGAGAGTTTAGAGAGGGGGTGGAGGGAGAGGTGTAGATAGGTAGAAGTAGAAGAGTAGATAGTAGAAGTAGAAGAGTAGATAGAAGACGAAATGCTGCCACCATCCATTCATGATCATTACATACAAGACAAGGAATGGAACTTGCCTGTATCAAAATATTCTCAAAAGATGTTATTACCAGTTCATTATTAGTCCCCAAGGTGTCTAACTCGCCCTCTTCCCTCTCACTCCAACTCTTACTCCACTACTTGGGTGGCCCAAGTAGTGGGAGTCTCCCACCGTAGTAGGAGTCTTTTCTCATTGATTGTCTCATTTGATTGAGTGACAGACATACATAGCAATGATCTCTTGAATCAGAAGAGGGCAAGGATCCATTCAACACCAAATATGAACATATAATTGGATCATGAATAAGAAAGTTACACATTGCAAGCAGAATTTACCTTTCCTTGGATAAAAGATTGGGCTAGAAAAATCCACCCCTCTCACAACTGCTGTATAATCTTTTAATATTGATTTAGGAAAGAAAGGGGTTTCTGATTTACAGGCATGTTATTTTTTTGTAAAATATTTGCTAAATGCATTTGTTGTATTCATCTAGATGTGCTTGTAGGACTGAGCATTAGCTTCCTTGCCTCACCTTTCCAACCTCTGATCAATTAATGTAGTGAATTTTATTCCTCGTGTTTCTCATCATATTTCCTTTTGGAAATTTTCATATTCAGGTCATCTCAACAGTTTCATATCATAGACCATTCCACTTGTAACTCATGTAATGAAGAAATAATTTCTAAGCGTTTTCTGACATATCTCTGGCTCGTGTGTGTGTGTGTGTGTCCAGCTTCCACCCCATTTCACGGATGATCTACGAATACTGTTTGTAGGTTATATGGGCTCATTAAAATATGATGGTACTGTAAATAGTTTCCCTTGTTTGGTGCCTTCTTTTGATAATTACTTACTTTATTATGTTCAAGTAGATTTGCAACTGTATGATTTTTTAATCATTTTACTAATAAAATTTTTGTTTTCAGAGGCAGTTCAGATGTTGAAGGGACATTTGCAGTCAGAGGTTAAAGAGAGTTTTGATATGAACCTAATCAGGAAAAATTGCAAAAATCTCTTGATAGCATCAGCTGCAACCTGTGATTATGAGTTAACAAAACAGCTCTTCAATATGCTACTGTCTGGGGGACTTGTGAAGCCAGACAATTTCATTGTAGTAACATTATTACAATGTAAATTGAATAGGTTGGTTAAACTGTTTTAAGTTATGTTCTGAATTCTAACTGTTTAATTTCATAATTAATCCTACTTTAATTTTGAATTTGAATTTTATTTAAATATTTTCTAGTGCTGATTACTGTGTCCCCTACCTGCGACTTTCTCTAACATCTGCTTTGCACACCTGTTTCATATGACTGCATATGATACCATGGGGCACACAAAAAAAGGATCAGATTTTTTCTTTCTAACATTGTTGAAATGCATTCCCTGATCATGGGACAAATTTCTGCAAATTTGGATCACGTCTGGAACAATATAATACAAATTTTTTAGGCTCCCCTGTATAGTGGTTACTATTTGTGAAGATATTGTTTTATGACTGTGTTGTATGGACAAATATATTACGGTACTAAGTAATTTTACACAAATATATTTATCTAGAATGCTATTTGTTGTAAACACTGTTATCTTGAATAACTGTCAACCTCATTGCAGTGAGGAAATGTAGATGTTTATCTCTCAGAATATTTGGTAATATGTTTATAGTTTGTGATGTGTTTATATGTATGTATTAACACGATGGTCTGAACGGGGTGAGAATAGCTTGAGCTACCTCATCCCTTTGTGTGTATTTTACCTCGATAAACTTATTTCAATTTCAATTTCAATTTCATTGCAGTGGAGATTTAAGCGGTGCCATAGATGTGATAGAAGATCTTTATGAAAGCTGTAACCTTCTTCCAAGAAGGATGGAAATGCTTATTCTCATCATCCGTCATTTACAAAATTCAAATCAAAATATAGAATTACCTAATTTTGTGTGGTGAGTATAGTGCTTGACATCAATATTATTTAATGTAAGACATTAAAATCATTTAACAGCAGCAGTCTCCGTGGTGTAGTGGTAAGACACTCGCCTGGCGTTCCGCGAGCGCTATGTCCTGGGTTCGTATCCTGGCCGGGGAGGATTTACTGGGCGCAATTCCTTAACTGTAGCCTCTGTTTAACGCAACAGTAAAATGTGTACTTGGATGAAAAAACGATTCTTCGCGGCGGGGATCGTATTCCAGGGACCATAGGATTAAGGACTTGCCCGAAACGCTACGCGTACTAGTGGCTGTACAAGAATGTAACAACTCTTGTATATATCTCAAAAAAAAAAAAAAAACATAATTGTACATAAAGGCATAAAATCATTGCTAATATTATTAAGAATTTGATCAAATACTGTTTTAATATAAAAGCATTGAAGATTTGATAAATGAAGGTACAGTATGTGAGATAATTTATAAGATTAATATAAATTTGTGTATTTCAGCAGTGATAGTGAGCAATCTGTACCGGCCAGTGGTCTTCTGGAACGCATGTTTAACCTTATAGTTCAACGCAACAACTACAGACTAGCCCAACATGACTTGATGTTTGCTTGTTTGGAAACGGGGCAACCTGATGAGGCTAAACAAATCCTACAGGCAAGTTTCTGAACACCCTCAGTGGCTAATTTGTTGCTAGCTCTCCTAGGTTGTTCTACACATATCATGTCACACCAGGCACTTGTGAATCATTAAAAGCTTATCAGAGACCAGAGGTCAAAGAGTGGGCCACTCAGAGGCCAGAGCGCAGGAGATGCTAGATCACCCTAATCGAGAAAATGGCCACCAGAAAGGAAGAGCCAAACAAAATGCACAATAGCAAGGTAAATTTGAAGAGATCTAAAAATGAGACACATTGTGTGGGTATAAATTATTTGTAAGATGCTTGAGAATCATTTAACAAAAAGAGTGTATAAGGGTGAAATAAATGGATCATACGGTTGAAGCAGATGACTGGTTTCTTGGATGGAGTGGAACAATAACAAAAGAATGGGTGGTAGGAGGGGTAAGAGAGCCTGAAATAGAGAAAACTTTGTGTGGTGATACAGCCTCCAGAGAGAACCTGCTGTGGTCACCCCTTCATAACGAGATCTGGAGATAAAATATGACATTGAGGCTCAGGGGAGAGACAGAATTTACCCTACAGTGGTATTTAACACATTATATTATATTATATTGCTACCAAGGCACATTCTAGGCAGATAAATGGCAAAAGTTACTTACTTTAACCCTTGCTCATAATGAAATAGATTAGTGGCCTACATATAATCATGATAAATTGGAAACTGTGTGTGTATTGTGACGTGATCTGGAATACAGCAGTAACTATTCTGGCAGATGGTGTGCCAAATACACATTAATAAAAAAAAAATGTAAAAAATCTGCTTGGGTCTTCTATTCTGTATCAATTCCGGGCAAAAACAAAGAGAGTAAAAACTTTAAACATTTAATATAACAAAAAATGAATAATTTTACACAAAATGATAAGTAACACTTAATTAAAACAAAACCCCTTGTCCACTTGGCTTAAACATAATTGAAGAGAAATATATACATGTGAATTTTACGTTAATAACAAAGGTGAAGGTAAAACTTTATACAAAATGCTAAGTGTCTACCGTCACACATGAGCAAGGATAGATGCTGAAGCAGTGAGCACCTGGAGGGTAATCTGGTGCGCTGGATGCTGGCAAACCTTTATACACAGAACGTGACGTCACTTTGGCATGAATTCTGGAGCTGTTGACTAAAAGCCAGCAAGATAACGACCATTATGATGGTTTGTCTGGCGTCGGGAGCGCTGGCTATATGGCAGATGTGCTGTCTCATGGAAGGTAGGGTGGAGAGGTGTGTCTAGACAATACGTATTGTTAGTACTGATGTTTCATGATGGAATCTGGTTGAAATATATTAATTTGCTTTCTCGGAATAGCATTATCTTTAATTACAAGAAATTTTAGCAAGAGATGGCAAGAAAGATTTTGTTATTCATTTTGAAAGACCTTGGTTTAAGGTAGTTTCTCTATGGGACAGATTTGTCCGTAATATAGTATATATAGTTCCATTATTTGGCCTTTACAGGGTGCATTGCTATACAGTATGGAGTAAATACTATATTACTGTAAAAAAAAGTCTGAAAGTTCTTAGGCTTGGAATCATGAGTGACAGGATTCTTCTCATCTTTTGCCAAACAATTTTATTGATGATGAAAGTGGTTGGCTATCTTTTCCTATTATTTAGATTTAGGTTTTATTACAGAATTTAGGAGAGGAAGCTGATGTGAATCTACTGAATAAAATGTGCAAGTTGTATTCTAAGATGGAGTTAGAAGATCCTTTACTTCATCTTCTGAATATTTCTAAAGGAAATGATGCTGTTGATCGTCACAAGGTTTTTGCTGCTCTCCTTCATATATACAGTTAGTTCACCTTTTTATCATTGTGTTAAAATGCAAAATTTCTCTGTATATATATGTTTCTTTGAGGCATAGAACACAGATAATTTTATTGATTGTGATCATATACATTTAAGAGTGCTCCCAGTATTGTAAAATTAGATCTTTGATGTAGCCCATTTAAATATATTCCGCTTGAGTATTGCTGCCTGCAGTTAGTTTATTTGACATTGCTTTTACAAATCAAGTGCTTATTTTATTTTTATCTATAATGCTAGTAACACAACATTTCTACTGATATAACTATGTATGAAAATATCATATTTTCTTTTGGCTACCAAAACATAATTTGGATACATTTTATAATTAGTAATAAGATGATTTGCCATTTCACGCAACAAACTTTCAATCCATCTTTAAATGACAAAATTTGTAAACTTGTCATAGAAAAATTCTAGTTTCTATTGTTAGTATGGATGGTAGTACAAAATGTGAACTCTTGTAACCAAGAATTTTTTTTATACCATTAATTTTGTAAATGGCCTGAAAATGAAGGGAACAACCAAATTTAACTTTCCTAGGCCTAATATAGTAATATGAATAGGCACATCATCAGGCCAGGTATGGTCATCAGGACAAACATCATAATATAGTACTTAAGCCACAAAGGGGGGCCGAGTAAATCCTGGAACGTAGCAGGGGTAGTAGGAAGCAAATGTGTTCAGGCATGGGGAAGGCAATATGGACCCCCACAAAAGAGGGAAATGAACAGGGCAGTTGTTACAATGGAAGGAGCCACACCAAGGGATGAGGTAGTCGCCACAGGGGGGCTTGGAACTCGACTCGGCTACAAAAGTGGAAGGGAACCAGGGAGAGCAAGTAGGAATAAAGCTAAACTTTCCGAGGTAACCAGTTAAGAATGACTGGCAGTTCGAGTACAGTACTGCTTTGCTATTAGTGATTATTCATTTATCATAGATTGTTGACTATTCAGGCCCTTTTCCATATTCTAAGACATATATGGTGCTAAAGTCTGCCTTTGATATTTTGTTGATTTGACTAGCATTTTTTGATACTTTGTTGGCTAGCAAAAGTACATCATCAACATACAAGCCATAATGTATGTATACTATTTTAGAAGATTCATAAACTTAATTGTTACAGATGTGCAGAATGCTGCAGAAAAGGGACTGGCTCTACATGCATCTATGCAAGAGGAGAACTTGTTGCCATCAAAACCCTTTCTATCAACTCTTGCATTACTTTTGACAAATAATAATATCAAGATCCCTCTTCATATTTAGTGATAAGGGCACTTTTCTGGGAGACCCCTTGGTGGCTCCCTGTTGCTACCTCACCGAGATTCCTCCATGCTATAAAGTCTCATCAGTCATGGGAGTTCTGTTCAGCATAATGGTGACCAGAGCTACCCCCCCCCCCCCCCTCCCCGTCCCAACAGAGCAAATGACATTCCGCCATTTCACTGATTTGTGGTACACACGAGAGAGAGACCAAACACGGAGCTGTGAACATGGAAAGGAAGAGAATGTTTCCTATGCAACTTGATAGGAACCAGATTATTAAGAGACGAGAGGAAAGGTTGGCAAAGACTAGCGTCATGAGGCCATATAGCAAAAATGTAAACTAGTTTTCAGTGCATTTTGAATAATTTGTGGAGCTATTTGAAAGGTTCAAGGCTTTGGTTCTTGTGGACCTAGCAGTTGTCTGTAAAGTTTCCCAGACTTTCTAGCACTTGCCTTATTTGTTGCCCATGCCACAATTTTCGACTTGAAAATGGTCCAGGATGGACTGAAACATCATCTCTCAATCTTCTGGGGGTGTGGTTTGGTCGTCTTTATGTATGCTTTCCCAGTGAAATGTCATTTGCTCCTTGCACCTGAGGGGATAAGGCCAGGTTCTGGCTTTAGTTCAAACATAACTCCCACAACTGATGTGACTGCCATGTAAGACTACAGGAAGCCACAGTGGTACTACCAGAAAGAGTTTTATTACATTCAACACTGGGTTTTCTCAAGTGTTATTGTTGTATTCAACATATTTTATAATAAAATGGTTGTAAGAGCTACTACTGAAGTAAAACCAATGAATACTATCAAGTTTATTTCCAATACCTAATGGTTCCTTATGTCAATACAATAGACAATATTTTCAAATATTTATTAATTTGTCCCTTGGTGTATGATACCTGGGCGTAGTGACTCCACGGGTACCTCCTGCAAGTTGTGGTAGTATACAACCTAAATACATTCCAATATGTTGTGCGTAGACCTGGGCAAAACCTTATTTACCAGAGGGCCACTAACACTAGTGGCCTCGACAAGGACAGGAAACCGGTGGCTTGTCAAAGATCCCCCATTTGCCTTTATGATTTTTTCAGTTGGATAGTTTTTTGGCATTTACGACTGGCAGCTAAGCGGTTCCATGGATTTGTAAGCAATTATCAAAAGGTGGCACCAAGCTGGGAAGGCTATGTAGCACCATTAGAAGCATAGGTAAAGAGGCATCAGTTGTCTTGCATTGTTGCTAGAGCTTGAAACTGTTGCTCCTTGTTTGGGTGTTACATCTGATCTTTTGAAGAAATTTTCCAGTTAAACATCCTCAAAATTGTTCACTATTTTAAAAAGTTTGAGAGATGTCCTTTCATGCCTAGTTTGCAATGTTAGCCCTCAACCATTCCCAAATGAGAGTTGACTGCTCTAGAATGATTTTTGTTGCCAGGTGTGGTACTTTCTCCAAAGCACCTATGTCCTCCTGAAGATGAGATCTCCATGCTTACAGTAATCCACATGGGAGCACACCAGATTTATACAATTTAATCACTACCTGCTTTCTTAAAATTGGGGCTTTCTTTTGATAATTACCTCACCATTTTCTTAAAAGTGAAATTTACACTCAATCATTCTAAGGGTTTAGTTGGCTTTTTTGACTGCTGCTCCTGTTGTGCAACTTTCTGTGAAGGATGGACTTTGACTCAAGGGTCCTTTTCTTCATCAAATGATATCTACTTTTCTTCAGACAAGTTATAGTTATTCAGTTACCGAATATGTGGTATTATCTCATCTCACTTTGAGAACAGGTTGCCTATTGACAACTTGTGTTAGGCCTGCTGACAAGACCACACTACTGTTCTCCAGGGCATGGCACTGATCTAACCCCACTATACGTAAAGTAATTATCAAAGAAGGCACCAAGCCGGGAAGGCTATGTAGCACCAAATCGTATTTGGTGCTACATTTGCTATTTGGCAATCAAATGTGCAGAATAATTAGAGGGCATTAAATATCACTGAGGATGCCAATAAGAGAACAGAAACTCATAAGGCGAACAATATTAAAAGTATCCGATTCACCAAGAATTCTATAATGGGAAAAGTGACAGCGGGGGATGGTCAGAAAACAAGACATGCTCATCATCAGGATATTCAACAAGGATATGCACAATCCCACTATATGTAACAAAGCATAAAGGACAAGTTAAAACAAGTTTTGATATTTTACATTTATTTTCCTTTCCGCTACATTTACTGTTGGGAGAAAGAAAAGAACAAATTAGTTTTGTAATAATGCAAGTGATGAAATATAAAAAACAATGCTTTCAGTCAAACCAACGATTCATCCAAGATTCTCGTTCACCTGCATGTTAACTATTATAAAGAACACATCTTTATAACAAACTTTTATTCATCAGTTGCAACGAAAATATTTCGCCCCTAAAAATTGCACGGGTAGTTACAATTTTTAATTTGAATTTCATGTAGCTTTCTGTCGACCTGAATAAACAACCCTTATCAATGCCCATGAGAACAAGGTTGAGACCATGGCCAGGGAAAGAGAAGGAATGAGGTCAACTCTCTTAGTCAGGTTTACCCGATTGATATTGTATCAGTCATTTGACAGGTAAAATAAAGATTTAATTCTAAAATTCAAAATCTGATAAGTAAAGACTAAGACAATGGCATTAATATAGCACGGAAAGCAAATATTAAGATAATTTTGCTGCTGGACAAAGCATTAGAAGAGTTAGGGGTCATGGGAACCCATTAAAATTTCTAATATATTATGGCTAGTATCCCATTTGACTTGTTGAACTAGATTAGGGAAAATAGTGTTCAACATATCTAGTAAAATTTAATTTGCACACTTTGAAACTAGAATTAAAAGTGCTTATTTGAGCAACACATTCCATTAATTTAAAAACCAGGGAGACTATGTAAGGTCTTTCTCTACTTGCAATTCATATTTCCTTCTTTGCACACATTTCTAAATTTACATTACAGTATATTCAATATTTTCCAAACTATAAATTTCTCATTTAAAATGTTATGTGCAGTTTGGCAATCAATCATCATCAATCAATCAATCATGCTGACAGTCTTGAATTAATTTTATATTTCTCTAACCTTCAAATTAATTGATTAACTGTTAAACCACGCTTAATAACCCCTATGTATTACTGCTGATACAGGAGGATAATCTGCGAACAGCTACAGAAATATGAGTATAGCAGTCTAGATACCACCCATAGGACAACTTGACTTGAACCTCTCCCCTGCTATTAATGAGCGATAAACTGAACTTCCAAATCCCATTAATGCCATTTTTCCATATGGAACAAAAGACACATGCAAAAGCTACCCCAATAAGGGTACACTAGCAAAACTTGCCTTCAGACAGAGAAAGGGAATGTTAAATGCCTAAGCTCAAAACATGCTAAACAAATTGAAATAAAACAAAAATAGAAGGCCAGATTGGTGTTAAAATAAAGCATTAGAAAAGCAAACTACATGGCAAACCTTGTATCAGTACTGACTGATACAATTCAACAATTAAGTTCCATGGTAGAAAAAAAAACATCCTTAGTGAGCATCATACTTTGGTTAATCTGCCATTTCTCTCATAAATATGAACTCGTCCTGGCTAGCACGTTGCTAAGAATACCACCATTCATACCGCATTCAGGTGTTATATTCATTCACACATCATATTCCCACTACAACACTGTTACCCATCCGATGTGTGTGAAGAGGCCCAACAATGTTAACGTACCTTCTGCAAAGAAAAATCAAGAAATGTGATAAGCATTCTAGCAATAAATAAATAAAAAGCAGGACCTATTCCAAAAACTTACCTGTTACTAAAAATACTAAAAAATAAAACTAATACATATATAGGTATACAGAGCATGTATGTTTTAGGGATAACTGCTAAGCATAAATCTAAAAAATTCTACTTAAATACCAAATAAACTGTATATTTAATTTTCAGTACATTATCTGTAGTAGTTAAATTCATAACATGTATACAGTACTGTATTAACTTATTAGCTCTATCCTGATCTTACTTTAACAAAAGATGTGTTAAGTTAAACCAGTAATTAATGTTTATCGAATTGTATAAATTTCAAATAGCCAAATATTTTGAAAAATCTGTATATTTGCAGAGCAATCAGTCAGCAGACATGGAATAGCAGGTTATCCTTAAATCACCACAACACATGCATGTGCATGCAATTCCAAAACATATATACATAGACACTTTGCCCTCAATAAATTGTGACTACAGCCTGGAATTCTATTTGACCCTCCCCTTCCCCTTCATCTGCCAATTATTTATGATTATAGAATTAAAATCCATGTAATAAATTAAGTACCTTTAGTTTTGAATGTTCTAAATGTTGATGTGTCAAACAATTACACAAATTACTGAGATCAAAGTGTATATAAATAGAGAACATATAGAGCATGATAAAAACTACCAGCCTTTGTTGACAAAATCTACCTTTTTAGTGGCAGCAGCCATCTTGGCCTTAGCTGTACCACGTGCCTTCTTCATTCTGTTCTTTCGCTCTTTCCTCTGCTTACGTGCAGTTTTCTTCACTTCTATCAATTCTTGCTGTAAGTGAAAGTATAAATATAAGTTCCAATATATAAAACACCAAACAAAACTCTTTAAAAAGCATAATTCAGATGATATACTAGCTTCATGTATCGTCAGTCGGCAATTCCTATCATAAAGGTTCATCATAATTTTTTTTAAATTAAATAACAGATTTTAAAGATATGGTCAAAATGCTCTTTACTAAAGAACTGGCTATGCAGTACAGTGATTGCCATTTTTTAACAAAATTAGGAAAAACATACCCTTGCAAGGCGATATTTAGGCTCGATCTTCTTTGCATAATCAAGGGTATCATATACTAGAGCAAACCCTGTGCTCTTGCCTCCACCGAACGCAGTTCTGAAGCCAAAGCAGAAAACAACATCACCAGTTGTTTTGTACATCTGAAATATTTGACACAGTTATAGAAACTTTCAAAACAAATACCACAAAACAATACACCTTCTTGAAGTAGATAAGGTACAGTATTGCCAAAGTAGATGGAAAATTAAATGAATCCATAAATAGTTCAAATGCTTATCATTTGCATATGTGTAATGTACACAAACATTGAATATCCATAGAGGACATTAATAACTAGCTGCATTAGTGGTTTATCACTAGGAAAGACCTAAATGCTCAACAATTTTATCAGTGTACTGAACTGATATAATGTCACAATTAACATATTTCATAAATACAACATTTTCTCATATCTGGAGCTGTAAATGTCATACACAGCATCACAATACTCTTAGAACATTATATGCAAGAGCTCAATACCATAAATTCTTAACATTTTCTATACAATTACTGTGGTTCCCCACTTGACGGGAATAAGGTTAGGTTCTTTGGTCCTGCCTCTCAATTTGTTCAGGATATTCAGTACTGTAGTTTCTAGCAGTCTCCCATCATATTTATCCTAAATCTATTGCTATCACTAGGTGGAAGAAGTCCAACTTATTGCATTATTTACACATTACACACGGTTCACATCAGCTTCTTCAGGGCTCCAGCAAACAGATGCCATTAAAAAAAAAAGTGGCACCATTCCCACATGTGAAGGCATCAGTAATGCGTGAGCAACCATGGTGCATGCAGCACGAGCCAACAGCACTGCTGTTCCCCTTATTACCACAGCATTGCTTAATGTAATAATATAAACAGTGACTTATTATTTTGCAATAGTATTTTCAGAGCCTGACTGATACTGTACAATATTCAGATATCAGTGAACACAATGCTGTACATGATGTTCAGAGCTAGCCAGGCAGCCACACCACACTGCTATTGTTTGGTCCATCCAAGCATCTTGAAATGACTTAAAAAGAAAAATGTTTATGTAATTATCTAAGATAAGGTCTGATAAAGACCTTTTGTGCCCTCTGAAATGCTTTTGCACTACCGCTCACAGGATGAGTATGGGATGCACAATAAACTAGCCGCCTCCGGCAATAACAATCAATCAATAAAAGAACTTATGCGGAGTTTAATAATTATGCCTAAAACTACTCCAAATACATCCTGGGTTTACATCACCCATGTCAATAATCATGTGGCATTCTCAAGTTTCCACATGGAAACCTAAGGGGGGGAAACAATCAACAAGGTAATCCATCCCAGAGAGGTCTAAGCTAAAATTAAATATGCAAGATTTGACTAGCATGAAGATATGCAAAATGTTGCTAGTGGAAATTTATCAAATGAAGTTTAGCAGAAAGAATTATATAACAGATATGCACATTACCTTAGCTAGTTTTTCTCTGATTTCCTTTTTAGGTACTGTGGCCCTATCAGGGTGCAGGACGTCAACAACCTGGAAAATACATCGGTAAGGTTAAATTATAAGAAGTATTCGGTATGACTTTATAGTACTGCATTAGGGTATATGTATTTGACAAAAGTGAAGGAACAGTGCCCGTCACCTTGGGCCTTTAGCAAACAAACATTAACCAAGCAACAAATGAACCTGTGACTGTACCAAGCAGTCCTTGTTGATGAATAAAAAACACAGGTCCTACTGTAAAATTTGTCAGTGTTAACTCTCATGTTTATGCTCCCTTACCAATTTTGGGCACTACCAGTGTGTTGGGCCAAGCACAGATTTGCTTAGCAATATTTTACTTCTAACACATACTGCAAAGTTACTATGCATGGTAAAATGTCCAATTTGATATCTAACGAGTACTACTTTATGATGGTATTTACAAAATGCAAAATAAAATAAAGGGGACAATGCAATCTCCAGATGGCAAACATGAATTATATGGTGGATGGGTGCAAGTTAATCAGTAATATTAAGCATGCACAAATAAGAACAGAATGAGCATTAAAGTAAGAAAGCTTGGTCAGAAATGTTGAGCCCCAAAATCATCACAAGGTAACTGCAAGGTGGGCCTTTTGACTTAAATTAGCTAGGTTCTATTTAGATAACCAATTTCACTACTTTATCCTCTTTTTTTTAACTTAGCAGTTTTGCTTCAATGCTAGACAGTAAATTATCTCAGTCTGCAACTCAGTTGTTGGATCTGACCAATAACTGAATGAATGACTGCAAATACACCCTCATCCTTGACAAAGTGAAATGTCCTTAACAATGGCACACCAGGATGAGACCATGGAATACAAGGATAGGAATTCAGTCAACTTCAGGATACGAACTTCAAATTTAGCCAGTAGAATAAAAATGATGTTACACACATACCATTTGCTTCCTGTTAAGAAGCCGGTTGGTGAGGAACTTCCTCGTCCGGATGGTTGCGGTGGTCTCCGACTGAAAAGGAACAGACACGTATCAGCAAACAATATTTCATAGGTCAAAGCAATAAAATTCACACTGTAAATAAGACAGTTTACCATTTTAAAACCTACCATTAATTTTAAAACCTACCTAATTTTACCCAACCTAATTAATACCAACAGAGCCTAAAAGCCTAAGTTTAGTTAACACTTCCTAACATAACACTACACATAGTTTGGATAGACATTAATTCGGACAAGGGGAGATACAAAAATTATATTGTGTGGAGTGCTTGGGTAACAGGTTGTTTAACAAGTTGTCATATTGTAAGAACCTATATGCAAGGGGCATCCTATAAGAGAAAATTGCAGGCAACTCCTGTTTATATTATACAGTATGTCAACCCAATACATGTAATGATCCTTCAACCCCACATTTTTTGATACCTGCAACATGTTGCCTAAATCTACAACCCTATTTCCAAACCCGTATTTAATTATTTAATTTAAATCCATTGCTTTATATATGAAGTATCAACTTACTTTTTCATCTATTTGTATACTTCATGAATCCATTAACACTTCAAAATAAGAAGCCTCTGTTAAAACTATAATTTCCCGAGCTCAAAAGCTTACACTTATCATTTAACTTCATTTGTAAACATCTCATCCATTTTATCTACAAAACTAGCTACTGTATGCCATTTTGAGACAGTATATATGCAAGTTCAGAATACGATGCCCTATTTTGGTGGCATTAGTAAATTTACTCAATGTTCATCAGCCCAGACTTAAATTCTACATAGACTAGCAGTTACTCCACCTTGCTATTTAGTTTTCCATAAGGTAAAGAATGAAAGGATTGCAAAACTGTCTAGGTTCATAATGCTACAACCACTCCCAGTATGATACTTATACATTTGTTATACATTGGAACTCCTTAAAATGCAGTGACATTAATCCCCCTTTTTTTTTGAACGGTGAACAAATGTTTTAATTTATCTGAGCAATTTTCCCTACAGTAAATTGACTTATTAAATCAACACAACATTCGCAATCTCCATAATTAGGAAATTTTCTGAAGATGCAGATATTGAATATGTAATTTTTTTTAATTTATAGGACCCTGGCAAAATCCCATGACTTAAGGCAATACTTTCTCCATGGCTTTAAACTCTTATACAGAACACCGCCCCATATCTTTTGTCAGCTACACGATTTACAACTTGCAACTTTTTGAAAAATTAGTACAATATGTCATTGTCGTCAATGGCTAAAAATTAAATATGAATACGTATGTTCTTACACCAATACGTATAGCATTTTGAACCAAAATAAAGTATAGGAAGCCTGATGCCAGTTAAATGTGACGAACATTTCCTCAAACAGTACAGAAAATTGATGGAAAGTTCTACCATTAAGAAACCTTGGAAACTGAGGATTAACTAACAAAACTTTGACAAAGCACGACGATTGTGTATGCAAGTAGCACTAATACAATGTAACGTCGTATCCAGTAAATTCACTATATATTATCACCAGAGCTGGACGGAGGCTAAATAACAGTGGGTTTGTGAATTTGAGGCCTATGAATGTGTCTAGGGTTAAGGCCACTAAAATGAATAATAATTCATCGTCGGGGGACAGAAAGCCAGAGTGTATTCATACACAAGACTTATCACCCCCTCCCCTAAGATGCAACCCCACACTACAAGATGACTAACTCATGAGTACCTACTTATTGCTAGGTGAACAGGGACATTAGGTGAAAAAGAATTGTGCCCAACCATTTCTGTCCCGCCCGAGTTTCGAACCCGGAATTCTCGCTTGAGCGTAGAGAACGAACCAGACTGTATTACCGGGACCCCTTAACTTCCTTACCAGCCAGAAAGTATACTTTTAAAAATGAAACATTCTGTATTAAAGTAAATTCTCTGTATATATACATCGAGAAGGGGGAATAGACTTCTCGGCTTTAAGAATTTGGCTATGAGAATTATGGCACCCCAAAGTCAAACCGCACTGGTTTGTTTACAAACTTTCTGCTCTTTACAAATTACAATTTACAGGTTAATCTTAACTTTACACCCTCGCTTCTTGACGCATATGAAACTAGAAACACTTAACTCATAAATATTTCACGTAATAGTCCAAAATTTAAAAGGATGGTTCAAATACAAAAAGATATGAAGAGACCTACCTCCTTCACCATGGTCCCGGGTCTGGCTCAGGCTGAAAGGGACGGTAAGGACACTACCAAAATAAATACCACACACGGAAAATATATACCGAATAATAATATAATAGTTTTAGAATTTTACACATGATTTCATTGCATAAATTTATAAGATTACATGCATACAAATTTATGCAGAAAATATATACGGAATAATATTTTAATATTTTTAGAATTTTACATATGATTTCATTGTATAAATTTATTAAGGACTACATGAAAAAAAAACATAAGACTTCTGTTGCAGTTATCATGTATTCTAGAGTATTGTATGTTGTCAAAATAAATACCACACATGGAATGTATGTATCTTTTCTGGCTAGTATTGTAAAATCAGTTAAAAAATCTCATTACACTATATTTACATCTTTTATTAACAAGCTTAGGTACTCACCTAATTGTGCTTGCGGGGGCTGAGCTTTGGCTCTTTGGTCCCGCCTCTCAACTGTCAATCAACTGGTGTACAGATTCCTGAGCCTACTGGGCTCTATCATACCTGCATTTGAAACTGTGTATGGAGTCAGCCTCCACCACATCACTTCCTAGTTAACTACACTTGTTAACTACTCTGACACTGAAAAAATTCTTTCTAATCTCTCTGTGGCTCATTTGGGTACTAAGTTTCCACCTGTGCCCCTTTGTTCGTGTCCAACGCTGCATACAGCAGTATGACATGAACCATAGTCCGGCTGATCACGTACCCATTTTAGGTGTTTATCAAGTTTAATTTTAAACGTCGAAAGAAGTCAGTTAGTTATGGTCTTTAGCTAACTCATCAGCTCTATCATGCATTCGGAGGCCAACATGAGATGGACTCCACATGAAATGGACTCTGTTACCATCATTAATAATTTTTTTGTATTTGTGTCCAGCTTCAGACACGAGCATGTCACAGTTATGTCTTAAAGAGTTGAGAGCAATTAAGGATAATAAAGAGTCACTTACAATTACTGTATCAAGTTTGGAGACTTGTACACATTTCAGTGCAAGAAGCAAGGCAAATAGTTCGGTCTGAAGGGTAGAGGCCCAGTTGTATATACGGACTCCCCACTCAAAATATAAGTCATCGCCCATTGTCAGGACAACTGCACTTCCAGCTGCACCCGTGGGGCGGTGTAGGGAACCATCAGTGCAAAATAATTAAGAATGTTGTAGCATTTATTATATAGAGGCTCCCAGTAGTACAGTCGGGTTCGTTCTCGACTCACATTCGAGAATTCCGGATTCAAATACCGGACAGCACAGAAATGGTTGGGCGGGTTTCTTGTCACCTCATGACCCTGTCCACCTAGCAATAAATAGGTACCCAGGAGTTTGTCAGCTTGGGGGACCTCGATATATACCTAACATATAATGTATGAATAAACTGGCTGCCTGTTCCTCGACACAGTGAATTAAACAACATTATTAATACACAGCGGAACAGTTTCTGAGTCTCATTTGACAATAACAATGACAGTTTTATTTAGGGAATTTATTTATTTTGATTTGTATGGATACCATCTCACAAAGGTGTTGTTCAGCATTATGACACGGACAGTGCAGCTAAAACTGCATGTGATAAGCCTGAAATTAAGTTGGATATGGGCATTCAAACTGTCGTAAAGCCGCAATATTTCAGGAAATTAGGGATGCCAGAAGAGCAGTTACTGACACTCAAAGACTAGAAAGCACGAGTATAAAGAGCTATGACATGTTTACAACCGAGAATTATATGTACGGGCAGCATAAAACATCCACACATCCACTAGATAGTGTGACATTGTAATTGCCAGAATTAGGCTGGGATATCGATATATATGACAGGTGGCTGCAGGTAATGAATTCCCCCAATGGTGAACACTCCAATTGTAAACTATGTGAATAAGAACTGGGACATACTCTCCAACACTATATCTGTGACTGCCCTGTTATCAGTGACTTCAGACCAAATGGTATGAGATACTTTGAGCTCTGTAACTACTTCATACACTCACGAATATTGGAAGATATTTTTGTGCTCTACCCAGAGTTTGCTAATATATGTTGGTAGGCTAAACTATACCCAGAGGTGGCCCTCGATATAAGTCTAACGTGTATAAATACACTCCGGCTGCCTGTCCCCTGACAGAATGAATTAAAGGCATTATGACACGGACATAATAGTCGGGCAGATATGTTTGGGCAAGTTTCTTTTCACCTGATGCATCTGTTCGTCTGGCAGTTAAATAGACAACTGTAATGGATTATATACTGGGGAAGGTCACTAGTTGACCAAGGGGAACCTCAGTACAGCAAGCCTCAGTACAGGTTTTCACCGTTTCCGGACAATTGGAATTAGAAAATTTATTATATATTTCATCGGAGGACTAGGCGGAAAAATATCAAGATTGCACTTGGAAAATATGTAGAGACTAATAGTGCAATATGTGTTTAGATTTTACATATGATTTATGTATATAAAAATATTTAATAATATATATAAAGGAAAATAAATGTTGTAGTGATTTATTAAATTTTACAAATAAGTGAAGCAACCAAAATAAATACCACTTTCGGAAAATATATACCAAATAATAGTACAATATTATTCTAATTTCATATAAAATTTAATTTTCTAGCTTTATAACAATATATACGAGTAAGAATAAACGTATTATAGTAGTTTATTAAGTTTTGCAGGGAGTTGTGTTTACATGTAATAATTGTGGACGACGCCTTTACGAGTCCTTCATCGGTCAGCAGCGGGCAACAATGAAGGCCAAGCCGGTATGATATATTTATCTCTGTTTTACTTCGCCATCTTTGGCTTTCATGTTGATTGAAGCAGCGCAATATGTGTGTTAGATATTCAACTCTTACGTGTGTTAAATGTGTTCAAGTTAGATGGGAATTTAAGACGAAAATTGAGCAAGACTGGTTACTTCACAACCAAGTTCCATTTACACCTCGGCATGCTTGGCTCGGCCATGGGTTGGGGACGACAATAACATTGAATAAATAACTCGCTGAAGTTCAGTTTCATTCGCCTGAAGAATACGGTACACCATGTCCTGTGATAGTACTCGGTATGTAGTGACTGTGGCGTGCTTTAGACGCAGTTATGTATAATATTGGATTAAAGTCTTGCATTACGAAACTTGTGTGGCATGAGTAATATTTTCACCAAAGGTAATGGTAAGCAAAAAGATCTCTGGAAACAACCAGAGCTCAAGTGACCTCTCGCAGTATTTTTATAAACAAATTTGTTAGTTTTGTTAGGTTTTTAAACAATTTCGACGTAGCATAAAGACTTTTACCCAACTCCCACAAGGGTGTGACTTGTGTAGTCACATTTTCGAAAGGAATATCGCCATAGCTTGAACAACTCTATGAATAGTGACCAGCTATAGCAAAGTACAAGACTAGAGCCGACGGACATAATTTATATTATAAACTCGTTACAAAATCCTTTGTAGTGAGATATGGCATAAAGTCTGCTCAGTCCAATCATTTTCTCTTAGTACGAGTCCTAGAGCTGAAGATAAAATGTTGTATGTACTATTTGGTTGACGTTTTGTCTGCCTTGTGTTTATGTATTGCAATGTTTATAGGTTGGCTTTAGAACAAATTGCCCAAATTTAATGTCGTGAGCAAAGTGCACATGTGGAGAGCGGAAAAACCACGTGTTCATGAGTAGGGGAGTTTGCATTGTGCCACTAATGCATTTTTCAAGTAATATTTCTCGGAGTGTGAGTTTGGGGGATCTTAAGCTGGTGAGACAAAAAAAAAAAAAAAAAAAAAGCGTGCCGTCTGAAGAGCTTTGACTAATACATCGGGCAAATTGGTGAACAGTTGTTGAGGTTGGGTCCCTGACCTATACACCTCTACACCTATATTCTTTCTTTCTTTTAAATTGTCCTTTACATCCCGATGCAATTTCCTATTTCAACTGAGGTTACCCTCCATGAAAGATGCTGCTGCTTTACTGATACTCGCATTACTGTATCCTTAAAAATCGGTACTTTCCTGTACCCTTATTGTATTTTAATTAAATTTTTTAATAAATCCTGAGAATTTATTCATAATGTATAGATATCTACTGATAATGTGACATTCTTCTAGAACATTCTATTGCGAACACATTGGTACAAAAATGACATATGCACATCGAAAACTCATGTCAGAACAGTGTACACTTTTCAATAAGGATTTCGCCGATGTGCCGTTGGGTGTGCGGTAACAGGTAACAATTCGGCCACTTCCCACTCTTGTGGGTGGGCCGCGATCATGATTCTATATTTATATGCGTATGTACTTGTAGGGAATTTTATTGCGATCTCAGTGATACCAAATATAACGCTGTAGGACAAGTGTAGGACGACCCCAAAAAAGAGTAGAAACATTTCGTCGCTGTTTGGCGCTCACGGCTAGTGATCGACGTAGTTCTTAATTTGGTGCTGGTCTAACTCTTGCTTTGGTGACATTTTATACGTATGTTCTTCTAGAACATTCTATTGCGAACACATTGGCACAAAAATGAAATACGTACACCGAAAATTAATGTCAGGACAGTAAAAAGAGTATGCACTTTTCAGTGTTGCCGCTCGATCGCCCGAAACACTGCGCGCACTTGGGCTAGTTTTTTTCCTTCTTGCTGGGAGTGCGAAAGTATTAAAACTGTACAGTATGTATTATTATACCTAGGTTGTAGGTATATTGGTTAGGCTGTATTGGGCTGGGTTGGATTAGGTTAGGTTGGGTTGAACATCCATTGGTAAATGGATGTTTATCATCCATGGATGTTTACCATCCATTTACTGTGTACAATGTGACTTTCATCCATTTAGATTGTGGTTGAATTTTGGACCCCATACTATTGAATGGACATAAATTCAAATAGCACAGCGCTCTGCGCAGTACAGTGGTTAAATGCATTCAGTGAAGGCCAGCAAAATTAATCCCTTAAATTAGGAGCCTTCAATATGAAGAGATCGACAAAACTATTTACATTCTGTAGAGAGGCGAAAAGTTAAGGGTGATATGATTCAAGTGTTCAAGTGGGTGAAAGGGCATACAAATCTGGATATTAATTAGATATTGAATATTTTGACAAAAAATAGAACACAAAACAATGGATATAAATTGAATAGGTTTAGCTTTAGGAGAGACCAGGGTAAATACTGGTTTGGAAATGGTTGGTTTGTGGACCAAGATTACTAGGAAACAATAAATGTGAAATCACTTGATTGTTTCAAGCATGCCAGTATGTGATGGGTCAGAAGCAGTGATGCATAACACCACACAAGCTTCCCTTGCTGTTAGTCACTTGTTTCATGTTAAAAGATAAAAGTTGAGTAAACTAATTACAATTTTCCTTGTTGAAGAATCTAGGGCACTGAACAATAGTTCCTAGCTCCCATAGTCTGATTTTTTTTGCTCGTTTGTCTATTAATGCGTGAAAAAAAAACATACTAAAATATTAAACAGAAAAATCAATGTTTATACTAAAATATTAAACAGAAAAAGCAATGTTTTAGGATTTGAAATTTCTTTTTAATTTTTTCATATTGTCAATGACTGATACTAAGTTCCATATGTAGTATCCATCTTGTTGACTTGCACCATACAGTTAATTGCCCAATGGAACTAGCTAATGTGTTTAATATTAGAGTAAAATTTGGAGGGTGCATAATTGTTGAAAGGCCTTGTATTTATTGTACCCCCACCAACTCAAATAGATTTTTTTTCTCCCGTATTTATAGGTTTGATGGTTATTTAACTTTCTTTCAAAAATATTTAGTTCACTTGCTCTATAAACTACTAATATAAATTTTTTTTCAGACATTCAGAAAACTTGTCCAAGTTGGACGGGTAGTCTATCTCAATGAAGGGCCTTACAAGGGCAAGTTGGCAGCAATTGTTGATGTCATAGATACCAACAGGGTAAGTTCTTGGATTACTGTACTAATGATTAATTTTGTTACTTGTACTAAGTATTCTGAGGATTTTGAATCATGTAGGTTTCCCCTTCACAGTATTGTTGTAACATTTGATTACGGAAGATCTTAAGGTAGGCATTGCTTAGGTAACATAATTAGAGTAAAAATGTTTATAAGTAGGTCGAGACTGGCTTCCGACTGAGCTCGGGGAAGTAGAACAACCGAGACCCTCTAGGTATTCTCCAGGTATATTACATGATCTTCATCCAGGCTGTCTTCTTGAGGATTGTGTCATTCCACAACTTGATGATAACCACCTCCACTGCCTGTACCCAAGATATTAAACAAATTGCTATCCGACGACTCCTTTGACTTCTGATTCAGTCACAATTTAATCCAAAAATCCTTATTGGGCTAATCAATCAGTGTAATCCTTATAAATCCAACATTATTTTATTTAAGAACATTTATTTCCTAACATTTGATGATAATTACACTTTTTGAAAATAGAATTTAAGTGATCAATAATTTATGCACATTTTAAAGTGTATAAATAATAATATATAGATATTGACATAATTTTAACTGCAGTGGCCTGCACTGTTTATCCAGTTTAGTTTGTAAATGAGTAAAAAGACTTCACGTACTGGTGAGTGTCGCCAAAGGGTACTATACACTAGTAAAGTTCCCATTGTGAAATGTGAAGTGTTCATAAGCACAGTGATAACAGCATGTTGTGTACTATTTGCTCCACCCCCATTTGTATCCAGATATATTTTGCATTTATGGAACTATAAATAGTTTATAGTTTCAGGATGTGTAAAGTTTATTTAAATTTCAATAGGGAAAAGACACTATTATGAAGCCTGCCTCATAATGTTATTCTAGAGTATTTAGAGTTAAGACAAGATACCTTCCTTGATCAGGTGAAATTGATTACAGTATTGTCCTAGAATTTTATGTACAATATTTAAAAAAAATTTCTTTGTTATTTAACAAATATACTTTATTTTGCAGCCTTTGTTTGTGGCAGACAGATTTAAATCTTGTCATTACTAATAGATTTTACTGGCATGAGAAGAATGTTATGTTGGTTTAGAGCAATACTATATAATACAGATGTAATTTTTATTTTTTCTAGGCTTTGATTGATGGCCCGTGCACTGGTGTCCCTCGTCAGGGGTTCAAGTACTCTGAAATGTTTCTTACAAAGTACTTGGTGGGTATGAAGAATTTGTTTTATGCTTATATCTACACAAATTATTTAAATTCATATTCATTCATAATTCTTGATTCTCCTGGATAAGTTATATTATTCCTGCAATGCATGCACACTTATCCAGTGGCAAGCTTGGTTGCCTTTCCTGAGGGCTGCAATTCCATTAGATACATTCCCTGACAAACTGTGCAATAAAGACGTTAAAGAACACAATAGCTCTTTCGGCTTGTGCTCAGTGACTGACTGTGGAGTTTATATGAAGTCCTGAAAGTGACGAAGGTGGGCAGGGGAAAAGTGCCAAGGTACCTTGGCACTTTTTCCCCTGTGGAGTTTTATTTCCCCTGTTGATTCCTATGAAATTTCTCTGCAATGCATTTGATGGCACTTTTACTCTTGACTAAACATCTTTCCCTAGTCATCTAACAGTAGTTAAAAAGTTTGCAAGGATATATTAAGTATTTGTTATATTCAAAAATATTATAAATGATTCAAATATGGTAGTTCAATGGAAGCTTTAATATTTAATGATTTTTGTTGTTAAAGGTATTTAATTTTTATTAATTTCATTACATTGTTCCAGGTAAAAATAAACCGCAGTCAGAAGTCCAAGTTCGTGAGAGTTGCCTGGGAAAAGGCCAGCATTGACCAGAAGTTTGCAGATTCATTGTGGAACCAGAACTTGAACAAGGATGTCTTGGTGAGATGCTATAAAAAAAGTACTGTACTGTAAAGTAAATTATGACAACCTTTTATTTTTCAGGCGACATTTCATATCATGTAAAAAGTGTACTTCAAAACTTAATTCAGTCATATACCCAAATACATCCAGTTTAAATTTTAACTGCCATTTTTTTTATACAAATTGAAGTATGGAGCACCCAGTTTTAAGGTGCAGCGGGAGTTTTGAACAATGTTGCATGCCTCCATTGCAAATAAGGAACTCTAGTGCTAATGTGCTGTCCAAATCGTTCATAGATGACTTGCGCACCGGTCAGGGTGTTGTAGGTGGCAGAGCAGCATCCTCAATGCGATCCACTAAGACTACTTCCTCTAAGGCTGGAGGCTTCGTCACACCCTCCCGACGATGACAACCCTCTGACGAGAGCCTTGGTGGCATTTGGCTGCTGGACATGCACACACAATTATCTGGATTTAACCACAGTTGATACAAAATTTGGAGATTAGACCATGAGAATTTTGAATTATTTGGAGGTGCCAATATAATTTTGTTAATCTAGTTACATGTCTACTGTCCTGAATATTAAGGATCTTGACTTTTGGGACTTGAACATATATATTTTTCTGGTAAATCAGGAGATTTGTCTTAATTTTTTTAAATATTGATGATAGGTTACTAGAATTTGCTATGGTACGGTATTTTAAAGGTCGTTTCACACTGACTATTATTTCAGCGTTCCAGCATGACTGATTTTGACCGTTACAAACTGGGAAGGGCCAGGCAGACTAGGAACAAGATTGTCAAGACTGCATATTTCCACATTAAAAAACATGACCTTCGAGCAAAGAGGAAAGCCCTAGTCAGGTCAAGGGCTGCTTTGGCCAAGAAAGAGGCGCCAAAGAAGGAAGAGGTAAAGAAAGTTGAGAAGGGGAAGAAAGGAGAAACCCCCAAGAAAGGAGAAGCTCCCAAGAAAGGAGAAACTCCCAAGAAAGGAGAAGCTCCCAAGAAAGGAGAAGCTCCCAAGAAAGTAGAAAAGCCCAAAAAAGCTGAACCAGTCAAAAGTGACGATAAGGGGAAGAAAAAGAAGACAAAGTAAACATTTGCTGACTAAATAAAGAAAAAACATTCTTTTAGTCTCTTATTCTCCTTTACCATAGGTAGTACATTGTAATAAAATCCTTTAATAATAATGTGCATTAATTTGTGTAGTCATTCTTTTGCTCTAAGTATATTTAATTTTAAAGTGATTAGGGCAAGTGTTCATAAAATTAAAAACTATATACTGATAAGTATTTCAATGAGGATAGTTCAACTACCCATAATATACAATGTTTATGTATTTTGAGCATTTGTCTTTAATTTTTGTTTGACTGATTATACTCATATAATTATACTAATTATACAGTACATTCCTCAAAGAGTAGGCCTCTGGTGTATGAGCCTGCTTGGTAATAGTGATGCATGATGGTGAACTCTGGAACCAGAGGTAAGTAAGATTCATTCATTTGTTCATTTGATGCATCACGCTATTTTGATTTGTGTGTAAAGTTGGATTCATATTCAACCTTAGTCTACATGAGAATTGTCTAAAAACTACACTGTTGTCTTTTAACAATGTGAAGAAATGGGGCTTGTAACGTAATACCAGGCTATCTGTTCCTAGCCAAGGAATTGCATGTTCATAAAATGCAACTAAAATTTGATTTTTCTCCATTTATTTTTTAAATGTAAATGTTTTCTGAAAGCTTGTAAATAGATTCAATGTATTATGTATTTTATATGTAGTACTTGTATATGATGTACATCTTGTGTACAAAGTAATTTTGAGTAATTAGTCCTGTATTAGGTAAAAAAAATTGATAGTATTCTTACTAGCTTTCAGTACTAGCACTTTATTATCATATCTGAGCACTAGCCTTGGTCAGAAAACTTTATTGAACAGTAGAAGACTGAAACATTTCAAAGGCGCTTCAACTGAGGTAAATTGTTGGGAATGACAGATTTTCTTCAACCTTCAAAGCAATAGTAATTTAGCTGTACAGGATTAATAGCCTACCGTTTAAACAATACATCTTTGCAAACTTTTTTTTTTAGTTTAGTTTATAGTATAGCATAGTATACCTTCCGTGCAAAGTTCCTGTTCCTCTTCACCACCTTCCTCTTTCTGTACGTTTGTCTCAACATTCTCTTTTGGTTCGTATTACCAATGTTTCTCCTCATATTGTTCCGTCCTTGCCCCCATGGGGGATCCCCCTTACCAAATTTTGTACTTCCCTGACCCGCATCACTAAAGCTTTCACGCCGCTTACAGTTCTGAAAAGCCTTTTCCTTGAGCACTTCACACTCCCACTCCGTTTCCATCTTTACCAATGGGTCTTAAGTCTCCTGACGGTGGGTTACACACTTATTTTTCCTGACCACATTTATATGTGTAGCCTTCCTTCGGAGGTTAGCATCTTCACAGCAGAACTTTATGCTATTTTCTATGCTCTTTGTCTCCGGCTTTCGCGTTGTCAATCCTCCTTTGTGGTGGTAGTTGACTTGTAGTGCCCTCGTGGCTTTGGGGTCCTTTAATCTGATCTATCCGGAGGTCATCGTGATTCAAGTTTGTAGAGTTTTGCTGGGTACCCAGCCATGTTAATGTCTTTAAATGAGCGTGCGGATGCTGCTGCTATGGAAGCTGTCCACACTGTCCATCTCCCGTAAAGGTACAGTATTCCTTATTCCGACTTTTACCCAGTTGTTCATTCCTCCATCCAACCCTGCCCGTTGGCAGGGTTGTTTGTTCTTCTGTTACTGGTAACAAACTGTGTATTATTAAGAGTCGTGTGTCCTTGTGGCCTTCCAACTACCACCGTAACCAGCAGTGGGAAACTGCTCTGGCTAGGTTACATATTGGCCATACACGTTTAACTCTGTTGCTTAATGGAGCGCCTCCCTGCTCCTTATTGTCCAAATTGCATTGTTCCTCTTACAGTCGTGCACATTCTTGTTGAATGTCCTGACTTCCAGGATGAGTGTCTTACTTTCCGACTGTCCCTCGCTGTCAATTGTCCCTTAATAGAATTCTTGGTGAATTGGATACTTTTGATATCGTTTGCCTTATGCATTTCTGTTCTCGTATTGGCATCCTAGGTGATATTTAGCGCCCTCTGATTACTCTGCACATTTGGTGGTGCTACGTAGCCTTCCCGGTTTGGTGCCTTCCTTTTAATTACATACTTCCTTGCATACATTTATGTCTACAAAGTGAGGAACACTAGTATGCACTAGTGAGGGTATCATGTGTGGTAATGAATTGGCTTCATTTTGAATTTTATATAATATTAGTTCTCATTACCTTTTCAGCAAGGTATTTAGCTGGACAACATTCACCATCAACCAACTTCGTGATAGAATCCTTGTCGAGGAATTAAAGTGCTGGTATGCTTCTGTTACCTTGATGTAATTAAGGACCTTTATTAAATGGTCTTTATAGAGAAGGATTTTAAGTACAGTAGTGTGGAAGTTAATTTATTCAAATGATGAACCTAGCTTGATAGGAATTGCCGACTGATCGACACTTGAAGCTATATACATTGCTGACTATATACTATATCTGATAATGATTTGGGGAGCTTCAAAATGATTTATTAATTTCTTGACATTCTTTCTAGAGGAGGAGGATGTGAAGTGGGAGTGGAAGGTGACATGATTTAAAATTGGTAAGTATACGTTTTCACGGAATGCAGTTTTCTTTGGTTATAATTTTGATGTAGGGTTTTCTTCAGTGTAGGAGTAAATATTCAAATGATGAACCTAGTTTTATAGGAATTGCCGTCTGATCGACACTTGAAGCTAGTATTTCCACTTCTGACTGTGTCTGATGAATGTTTGTTTAGGTCTTTTGAAATATTTAATCATTGAAGGATTTCTTTTTTCTTACAGGAGGATGTGTGAAATGGGGGAAGACTGTTTTAAGATTTAAATTGGGGTAAGTTTAAACATATTATTTAAGATGCTGTTGCCTGTAGATGTAAACTTTTTGTTAATTTGTAAAATTTGAATTGATGATCCTAGTCTGATAGGAATTGCCGACTGATCGATACTTGAAGCCATCTGCATTACTGACCTTGTTTATGATTAATGCTTTTTTAGGAGCTGCCTCAATGTGTGTTAATTTGTTTCCAATTTTATCTTTCTAGAGGTTGACTTGTAAAATGGAGTAGCAGCCGAGATAATGAATGGGGTGAGTAAATATTTGTTTGCTGTGTATTTGGTAATAATTTTTATTTTAGATTCTCTATGAAATACATATAGGAAATTCTATAAAAGAAAATGAAGGGCATTCATTCATTAATTAATTTGGTAGTGGTTTACCTCATCTACATATAGGCGATGTCTAGGTTTATGGTAATCATTTTTTTCCAATTTTATTGAGCCTCCCTATTGGAATTGTGTACCATTTTGGACTGGTGTACCACTCTGATCACTCCGTGTATAGTACATTGCATTCTGTTTTTCTTCTAATGCCTCTGTGACTTTGTCGTAATAGCAAAGTAGCTGTGAAAGGCACGATCTTCCCGCTCTAAATCCATGTTGGCCTGGATTGTGGTCATTGGTTTCCATGAAACTGGTGACCTGACTCCTAATCATTCTCTCAAATACTTTTATTATGTGGGACATTAGTGCAACTGATCTATAATTCTTTGCCAATGCATTGCTCCCTCCCTTGTGTAGAGGGGTTATACCTGCTGATTTAAGCGCATCTGGTACCCTTGTGTCCAAGCTCTTCCTCCACACTGCTGAGTGCTTGGGGTTCTGAGTTCAGAACAGTGTTTAAGGTTCTTAAGGATTAGTTGGGTAAGTTTTTTTGTAAAGCCACTATAATTTGTTTATTCAGCTGATGTTACGTTGATTGTATGCTACTGTTGTTAGGCAAGGTGTTTTCACTCTTTTTTTACTTGTATTCACCTAGTTGTGATGGGGGGTTGAGCTCTACTCTTTCGGTCTATTTATTTTAGTTAAGTTTATAGTACTGTACAGTATGTCTTGACTTCCTTGCATACATTTGTCTCTATAAAATGGGGAACACTGGTATGCACAGTGACGGGTATCACGTGTGATAATGATTTAATTTTATTTTGAGATTATCTATATAATAGTTTTCATTGCTTTTTGAGCAAGGCATTTAGCTGGGCAACATTCACCATCAGCCAACTTTTTGATAGACTCTTCATCTAGGAATTAAAGTGCTGGTATGCTTCTGTTACCTTGATGTAATTAAGGACTTTTATTAAATGGTCTTTATAGAGAAGGATTTTAAGTACAGTAGTGTGGAAGTTACTTTATTCAAATGATGAACCTAGCTTGATAGGAATTGCCGACTGATCGACACTTGAAGCTATATGCATTGCTGACTATATACTATATCTGATAATTATTTGGGGAGCTTCAAAATGATTTATTAATTTCTTAACATTCTTTCTAGAGGAGGAGGATGTGAAGTGGGAGTGGAAGGTGACATGATTAAAATTGGTAAGTATTCGTTTTCACAGAATGCAGTTTTCTTTGGTTATAATTTTGATGTAGGGTTTTCTTCAGTGTAGGAGTAAATATTTAAATGATGAACCTAGTTTTATAGGAATTGCCGTCTGATCGACACTTGAAGCTAGTATTTCCACGTCTGACTGTGTCTGATGAATATTTGTTTAGGTCTTTTGAAATATTTAATAATTGAATGATATCCTCTTTCTACAGGAGGATGTTTGAAATGGGGGACGACTCCGACGAAGATTTGAATTGGGGTAAGCTTATACAGTACATTTTAATTAAGATGTTGCTTGTAAATGTAAAATTAAAGGATTTTGTTAAGTTTGTAAAATTTGAAATGATGATCCTGGTCTGATAGGAATTGCCGACTGATCGATACTTGAAGCCATCTGCATTATTGACCTTGTTTATGATTAATGCTTTTTATTTTTTGCTTGTGAATGTAAAATTAAAGGATTTTGTTAATTTGTAAAATTTGAAATGATGATCCTAGTCTGATAGGAATTGCCGACTGATCGATACTTGAAGCCATCTGCACTACTGACCTTGTTTATGATTAATGCTTTTTAGGAGCTGTTTCAATGTGCATTAATTTGTTTCCCAATTTTATCTTTCTAGAGGTTGACTTGTAAAATAGAGTAGCAGCCAAGATAATGAATGGGGTGAGTAAATACTTGTTTGCTGTGTATTTGGTAATAATTGTTGTTTTGGATTCTTTATGAAATTCATATAGTTGCTGTGTTGTGTTGTAGTGGTCAAATGTGACCTCCAGTGTCAGTGGAGGTCAAATTTATATATGAAATTCTACAAATGAAAATGAAGGGCGTTCATTAATTAATTTGGTAGTATGTACCTCCTCTACAGGTAGGTGATGTCTAGGTTTATGGTAATCACCTTGAAGCTATATAGCCTCCTTCATTTATACTTAACAAACCCTGCTGTTACTGTCATACTTGCTTTTGATGTTACGAACCCAGGTTGCTTTTATGAATGCTGCTTCAATTTGTTTACCACTTGATACTATGAGACATTGGGGAGTAGAACCACTCCCAGAACCCCATCAAGCAGGTATCTACTGGGTATTTCTGTGTTTGCCTAGTTGTGCCTACTGTCCCACCCTGCAGCTATTGTAATTAGTCCATGTAAATATCCTAACTTGCTAGTACTCTTGTTAAACATTGTTTTGAAACTGAAAGGTACTTGCTTCCTGCTTCTGTGGTTCAAGCTCGCTGAACTTTTTACCACTTTGTGCTAATGTTCATCACATTTATGGCTCGGCTCATGTGTTTCCAGAAATTGCATTTATGGCCGTTTCCTGTGCCCCATCTTGGTGAGTTCCCACGCCTTGAGAAAACTCTAGCCATGCTTTAGTTCCCTTGGAATGTTACTTTTTTGTTCTTTTCCAGTGTTATCTATAATTAATTTTGCATATCTTTCTAGCTAATTATACTTTGATGCCTGTCTTGTTGCATTTCTTTGAACTCCTTCAATTTTATTGAGCTTTCCCTGGTGTAGGTTCTCTTCTGGAATTCTGAACTATTGGAGCAGTGTAAGGCCGCCACCCTCCCAACCATCCAAGGGTTTTTATTTTTGCGTTGAGAAAATAATTTAGTTTAAAATCATTAAGTAAGATTAAATAATGGTAAGAGGTAGAAGCAAAGTAACCACGTAGGTGGACATGGAAATATTTTATAGAAGAAATAAATATCTATTTAATTCCTATATTTTTATTCTCATATTGGCATTCCCTTTTGAATATCGAACGATATTATTTATCTGAAACATAGTTAAGGAACAACAGCATTCATTGGACAAATATAATGTTAAATCCCTTTTTTTAATCCAATGGAGTAGGATCATAAAGATTCAGTTATACTGGTCAGTAATGGCAAACTTCAGAAATTTTACCGAGTGAATGTAAACCTTATGAACTTTAGAATTCAATTTATTAATAATTATTTAGGAAGTGAATAGCCAGAATTATGTTCTGGGCATGATGTTTCTCCTTATATTAAATGGAAGCTAATATATATTAATAGATTTGTTCAGTTTGGGTCAAGTCTAAAGTGGTCAGTTCATACTATGTTATGAGGCTTTTTTTTTTTAAGTACATTATGCATTTGGCATACAATTTATTTTTTTGGATTAACTTTGGGTATTTTGTGCTAAGATTTAAATCTGTATCTAATCTTTTTATACCTTCAGGTGGTGGCCATACCCAAGGAGATGAATACACATGACATGATTGCTGTTGATTGCCATTCATCAATACGATCAGAATTAAAAAAAAAAAATGCCGCGACTGTCAGTCTGTCTAAAATGGCAACTTTAGTGTATTTATTCATGGAGTGTGCATACAATAATGGGCACTCTAATGATAGTTATGGTGTACTGTACTATTATAATTATTTGCCTAATAAAAAGATCACATTTTATTTGTTTTCTTGCACTAAATTCTCCCTTCACTGTCTTTGCTTTAAATTATGTTGATACAAAATTTGATGAAGTGACTAATGCTCAAAACTTTTAACTAGAAAAATTAAATTTGGGAATGTATATACATGTCACCTTTGCCTGAAAAATCTGAGTATTGGAATTCTTGAGGACCAGAGGATCATGTTCTGCCTCTGGTCCTATTCCTGGGAACGTGCTACCTGCATTTTGTCGGCTCTACTCTGCAGATTTTTAGCTAAATTCATCGGGTAAAGGTAAAAGGTCCTTTAGACCTTTACCTGATGAACTTTTTTGTATTTACATGGTTCTCTCATTCTTGTAAAACCAAAAGCACAGCATTCCATGCAGGTCTCTAATCTTAATTTTCCATGGAAAAGTCAAACGAATCGTTTAACAATCCGATACCCATTCACTGCTGAGTACAACAGTGCATTCAGAGTCCTACCTGGCCAACTGCCCCTTAACCAAAGGGCAGTTTGACATCACACATTTGCAAGCTCATGGATAGGAATCTTAAGAGGGAATCATTCACCTTCTCGGTGAACAATCTAATAAAATTAACTCATAGGTTTGTTAAAAATAGATCCTTACAAACTTCCTCACATTTTTGGAAATGGTAACCGGCTATTCAGGCAAAGGACTCCCAGTATATGTAGTATACATAGTCCTTGCTGAAGCTTATGAGAAGGTACCTGAAGGTAGTCTATGATAGACTAGCAAAAAAATACAGGCACATTGAATAAATGATGGAATACTAGTATATAAAACAAAGCAACGGGCTGTTCTTTTTGTTCTTAATGGAAATGTTAGTAGGGGCCTGGCCTGGGTGAGGACCGGGCCATGGAGACGCTAAGCCCCGAAATAATCCCAAGATTGGGTACTGCAAGGGTTCAGTATGGGGCAAACAAAATCATACATCAATGACATGAATATTACAAACTACGTCATCAAATTTGCAGATGACACTGCAATGAATGAGGATTTATAGTAAAGTGGGAACCACTGTATGCGAGCCATCTCACTTCAGTGGAACGGTAAAAATTTAATGGTGATAAGACAGCAACCATGGTAGTTTTAGTCTTGTTGCTAAAGTAGGCAACAATACATGGCCACCATTAACTTTTTAACCAATCCCTGGATAACAGGCCTTCAATTTAGGTTAATTAAACCCAATGTATTTATAAATAATAATTTTGTATTTGAAAACTCACTTGCATGTAAAGATAATGCCCATATTCTCAAGGTACATTTAATTTTACTCCTTGCAAGAATGTAAATCATATAATTCCTGTATACCATACAGGTACAGTGTACTTTATTTGCCACCAATGCGACAATATTTAAATTTGATAAAATAAAATGTATTTTCCCTTTGGCAACCTGAATCAAAATGCTTTGGTTTGATCTACTATTGACAGAACTAGATCATTACAATACACATATAAGCATTACAGCCATTTATACAAAATGCACATTTACTTTTGTTAAATATTGCCAAACCAGATTTTCACAAATCATCCAACTCAGATTCTTTAAGACCTAATTAATCCTAATTTATGGAACCTAATTAAGATGTATACAATGGTTAAGGGTTATGCGACAACTGGAGATTAATTAAGTAAGACAAGTAAAAGCTGTCACATTAAATAAAATTGTACACGTGTTTAACACGTGCTAAACCAAATGCAAAAGCTATACAACAAAATGAGACATTTAAAATGAGGAGGATTAGCCATTATTGCTAAACCAAATTTAAAAAAAAATAATAGCCCGAGAACAAACAAAAACAAGATTACTAACCTAATAAGCATGACTTTCCTCTAGATAATAGAATTCTTACCATGAGACCTACACTTTATGGTCATTCAATCTAATTTTAGCCAATAATGTAATTAAAATCAGCATTGTTGGCCATTACGATATGATTATGTTACTTTCTGAAAGCCATTACTGTACCTCAAACATGGCAATACCAAGTACAGTATCTGTTCACTGGTAGTGACAATAGAACTGATCAGAAAACAGTGAGAATATCTTGATAAAGATAATCTATGATAAAGTTGTAAAAATCTTAAAGGGCGTAAGATTTAAGATGACTGATTGAGATCTGACCTAAATTTTTTTTTTTTTGCTTGACTGGGGTGCAAAATGAATTTAGAAAGACATTTAATTGTTGTTGAAAGATAATACTGTAATGTATTAAGCTGCTTGAATTCTATACAACTGAGATGATCAAGAAATGGAGATAACATGCATAACATTAGCATGAGTGAAGGGATAACCATAACATTAGCATAACATGAGTGAAGGGATTATTCTAAAAAAATTATTTATATTATTACAAACAAATCACAATAATGTGATGCATCAAATGAACAAATCCACAAGGGAACCTACATCCGAGATTCAACTGGGTCATAGCTCAGTTGGTAAAAGCACGTCTGGGATGATCTCAAACATAGGTTCGAATCCTCGTCACGGACCTTGTGGAATTTGTAAATTATTTTTTTACAAGGAATACAATCCAGAACTAAGGTGAGGTGGAGGGAAAAAATATATATATTAAATTATAGTAGAGAGGACAGATAAATTAAGAGAGAAAGATCAGCAGACAACTGAAAATAAACACCATAAACTAGGACATGAACTCAAAACAACTTTTCATAAATCATAAACAGTGTGGGGAAAGGGTGCATGTGAAGAGCAAATGAGCTTATAAACAAGATAGTTAATCTAAATGCTTGTCAGCTGTTGCAACATTATTATTAACATCTTGATTTATGTCAGTATGACACATTGGTGGAATGTTTAGATAATATAAACTGTTTAAATGTTCAATGCATGGAAATGTATATTCATATTGAATAATGTGACTAAGTGAGAACCACCAAATATTTGTGGTTAAATGGGTTAAGAAAACATGAATGTAATGGCCAAATTTACAAACTACTGTATTACATTACAGTATGCATGAAAAAAAATACTGTACATTTAATCATTATAATGTAAAGATATGTCTATGTACAGTTTGTATTTTGACATTACTAAAATCGTGTATCTTATACAGCATCAGCCAGTGAGACTGTATGTAACTACAGTACCCTCCAGTTTTGAAACTTACAGTTTTCATAGAAATATCTATTCCACTCATTCATAAAATATTGTAATTAGACAATACTAAACATGAGGCTAAATTCTCAATACACATGAAATTCGAAAAATCTGACAAGTAATTCCTTTATTTCTATAACAAGTCTATTGTATAACTCAACTACAGTATTTCATAATTAAGATGAACATAAAAAAAATTGCACAAACTGAATCGATCAGTTTGCAGTTTCACAAGCATCAATCCATTCATTGTAAACATCAACAGGTTCCGAGAGGTAGTTAATAGTACACTGGAAGTCTTCCAGACACACACGGCATGAAACTCTTCCAGCATTCCTTGGTTTATCCCTGAAAAAAATGGAGAAATTATACATGGTGCTGATACATCCAAAACATATGTGCAAGAATTTCCCCAAATGTCAGTGGCTATGAGGAATATCTCTCTGCCAAGTGCTCAGGAAATTTTGTAAACGTTTATAAAATATAAAATCAAATAATAAAGTATATAAATTGAAGTTGACCATAAATTTATTAATGAAAAATTCCTATTGGTAAGCAGTAAATATTACCTTCAACTGGAAGATACAAATACTATGCAGTACTTACATTTTAACTTCACATGACTTTTCGTGATTACAGAATGGACAATTAAATTGCGTATCAAGTGGTTCAATATTCTTCCTCTTTGGAGGTGGCTTTCTCTTCGACTTGCGACGACCCATGTCTGCTAGTCGACTATAATTTGGAAATCTGAAAAATATTTTGGTATATTTAACTACTGTGTATAAATTTGACATTTATTTCTGGGAAAGCTCTTTATGGCTCCCTGAAGCAATCTCACTGAGAAGGCTACCATCTACTAGGTTGCATCAGCTGTCACCCCCATCAGAAAAGCATTCATTGTCAGTGAACTACTGTACTGCTTCCATTGCCCTGACCAGTACAGACTACTGCTGGGTTCAAAGAGATCCAAGTTTCAAAACTGCCAAATGAACTCCCCCCAAACAATGTAAACAAACAACTGAATCTCTTGAAACCAGCATGAGCTCATTTACACTAACACTCAAGCCCACCAAAATAATTAAAACTAAATGGGTAGAACACCTGGAGAAAAACTATATAACTATTATTTATGATCTGAAAAATCCTAAGAAACCAATTTACTTTGTTTCTATGATAGAGCCACAGGTTTTACAGGAAAGTGATGGATGGGTTGCTAATTTATACCTTCTGGTGTGATATCAACCCCCAGATATTTATCCGAGGGCCATTAGTGATGGCTCTCGGGTAAGATAAATTTGAGTAAGGGAGCAGAGTGGAGACTCAAACTGGAAGTTGCTATTGCCTTAATTGCTGATTTTTGTCAAGCAATTAGGATAATTAAAGATAGTGGATCCCTGGACACAGACACCATTGGTGAGATCTGGACGAGTTAATAATACAGTCACTAAGGTAGAGTGTGATACGTAGTACGTATCAGGGGGGGGATGACCTTGATATAAGCCTAACGTATGCGTTATACTTTATATCCTTTATACTTTTTTTTTTAGAGATTATACTTTAATCCCAATTACTATTAAGTTATAGAAGTGTGTAAGCAACTCTGGCTTCCTGTCCCCACAACACAATGAATTACAAAATTATCTGATTATGGAGCAAATTTATACAACACAATGTACACAACACTGTACAAAACCAAATAATGATGCCTCTGATGTCAACGGCGATTAGTATAGACGTATACATACAATACAATCTAAATTAAACATTTGCCAGCAAATGTTTATATTGCAGCCTAGTGGAGCCAGACCCGCCAGCAATTGTTAAATATTTAACAATAAATATGTTAATATTTGTTTACCCGTAACGAAAACAGTAAATGGAGAACAAACCATGAAGAACCCGAGAGTAAGAGCAGTACAAGAAGACAGCAAGAGGAGGACACCCAGCGAGAACAAACCTTGCAGGTGGGTGCACGCAGCCTCCTCCTGGCGCCACTTGTAAACAATGACGGCCACCCAGCTGCCCGCTCTCCTGCGCTCCCCGCCACTCATCTCATTCACTACATGCTTATACTAATATTATAAGCACTACATGCTTATACTAATATAATAATAGTATTAATATAATAATAGTATTAATATAATATTATTAAGTATGATAATATTAATAAATATAATGATGATGGACCAATGACCAAAGTCATTAACTCTAATGAGTGAAACAAAACTCTCATTAGCATTAATTATAACTCAAACCTTTTCTATACTTACTACTTACGTAAACAGAAGTTTGTAAGCGACACTTGGCGAGCAATAGCGTGTTCTTAAGCGTCTGCTCTAAGCCCCACTTTAACGTAGACTGGTAATTACTCACCGATTGATTGATTGATGAAGATTAAGCCACCCAAAAGGTGGCACGGGCATGAATAGCCCGTAAGTGGTGGCCCTTTTAAGCCATTACCAGTATCAAGAGCTGATACTGGAGATCTGTGGAGGTGCGAATGCACCCTGCATGATGGGAGATGTTTCCCTTGTGAATATGTTAAGATGAAGATGAAGCCGCCCAAAAGGTGGCACGAGCATGAATAGCTCGTAAGTGGTGGCCCTTTTGAGCCATCACCAGTATCAATAGATGATACTGGAGACCTGTGGAGGTGCGACTGCACCCAGCGTGACGGGAGATGTCTCCCGGTGGTGATGAGGAAGAGAGAGAGAGAGAGAGAAGATTAAGCCACCCAAAAGGTGGCTTGGGCATGAATAGCCCATAAGTGGTGGCCCTTTTGAGCCATTTCCAGTATCAATAGATGATACTGGAGATCCGTGGAGGCGCAACTGCACCCAGCGTGACGGGAGATGTCTCCCGGACCAAGTGGTGACCAAATGGTGATTACTCACCTCTCTAACGCTGCTTATATGCATACACCACCTCACCGTCCTCCAAAGGTTGGAAGAAATTTTAACTGTAGGAAGAAAAAAAGGTTTGAGTTAGTGCTAATGAGAGCTTTGGTTCTCTCATTAGGCTAATGAGTTTGGAGCAAGTATATTATTTCGATAATCTATTCGCTACAGATAATCCCAAAAGCTATAGCTGGTTCCACAGATCTTCATTAAAGAAAGAAAATTATCTAGAAATTTACAGATTGATAAATGATGAGAAAGTTCCCTTACCTTTATCAGGAAGACGTACCTTTATCAAGAAGACGTACCTTTATCAGGAAGACGATGGTTGGCAAGGAGCGGTAGTGTTATTAGATACACACAGAAATCACAATAGCGTGATACATCAAATGAACAAATCCACAAGGGCCGTGATGAGGGCTCGAAGCTACGTCCAGGATGATCCCAGACGCGCAAGACAGAACGCGAAACAATGGGTATAAGTTGGATAGGTTTGGATTTAGGAAATACATGGGTAAATACTGGTTTCGTAACAGGATTGTTGACTTGTGGAACCAGTTGCCGAGTCTCTTGGTGGAGGTGGAGTCTCTCGATTGTTACAATTACACCTAATTAATCTTTGTATGTAGATAGGAGCTGCCTCGTGTGAGCCAATGGGCCTTCCGCAGTTGCCTCTGTTCTTATGTTTCTCGCCGGCGCTCGGGATCGAACCCGGCTCCTAAAGGATGACTAAGTTAGTTCCCCAAATTAGAAATCTTTCACATGAAGAAAGATTAACAAAGCTTAACTTGCATTCACTGGAAAGGCGAAGAGTTAGGGGTGACATGATAGAGGTTTACAAGTGGATGAATGGACATAACAAAGGGGATATTAATATGGTAGTAAAAGTATCAACACAAGACAGAACACGAAACAATGGGTATAAATTGGATAAGTTTAGATTTAGGAAAGACTTACGAGTCAGCTCCTATCTATAACCACCATATCCCACTCATATACTTGTCCAACCCGCGCTTGAAACAATCGAGGGACCCAACCTCCACCACGTTACGCGGTAATTGGTTTCACAAAACATCAACCCTGTTACCGAACCAGTATTTACCCACGTCTTTCCTAAATCTAAACTTATCCAATTTATACCCATTGTTTCGTGTTCTGTCTTGTGTTGATACTTTTAATACCCTATTAATATCCCATTTGTTATGTCCTATGTTATAAGGACGTTATTGTTATGTCCTATGTTATGTTCTTATCCCTTTGAGATGTATTTTTTTCTTGTCTCAATAAACATACTTGAACTTGAACTTTCTAGAACACCAATGCTATGAACTCTCACAAACCCAATGTACCTTCTAGCATGTAAGTAAATAAATGAATGAATAAATAAATAAATAAATAATTAAATAAATAAATAAATAAATTAAGAACAAATTAGCCATCCTCTTTTACATTATTTGATTAGTATTTCATCTGTCATATTGGTTGTATATATTTGTAACCCGCTGAGGCATGCAAACATAGTGAAATTCCGGCCGTGTTGAGAGTGACACAGGCATGTGTGCAATTCAGTATCATTGCGTTATCATTCTTATCATCCATGCAGGTTAACGGAGGGTTGGGAAGCCTCCTCATTCACACACACACATCTACCGGCCATGTCCAGACCCTATCATTATTTCTTTAAAGTTGTGCTCATTGGGGACGCTGGGGTCGGCAAGAGCAGTTTATTGACCAAATTCGAGGAGGATACGAGCCGCAAGGAACCCTTCGTGTCGACGATTGGTAATTATATGGGTTCATACTTAGGTTTTGATCGTCTTTAGTTGATTTAACCAGTTGATTCTATTGTGTTAACTGGATAGGTGTTTCTATCACGAAAAATTAGATTTTTTTTTGGTGGGTGGGGGGGGGGGTAGAAATAGCCTAAGCTACTCTATCCCTTTGAGATGTATTTCTTTCTTGTCTCAATAAACATACAATACAATAAACAAAAGCTGCCTCGTATGGGCCAATAGGCCTTCTGCATTTACCTTTGTTCGTATGTTCTTATGTAACATACTAGAACTTTGAATTAGATTTTCATATCGTTGTTGTAGGAAGCTATTTCTATAATTTTGAAAGTTATTTTCTTCATTGACACACACACATGTGCTGTATGTGATTTTGTTGCATGTGTGTGTGTATTGTTCGCTATACACTTTCCCAGTCTCCTGTTCATGATCACCTGCAAAATAGTTACTATTCAGAAGGCAAGGGAACTATGAGCATGGGGGGAAAGAACATAAGAACCAAGGTAACTGCAGAAGGCTTATTGGCCCATACGAGGCAGCTCCTATCTATAACCACCCAATCCCACTCATATACTTGTCCAACCCGCGCTTGAAACAATCGAGGGACCCCACCTCCACCACGTTACGCGGCAATTGGTTCCACAAATCAACAACCCTGTTACCGAACCAGTATTTACCTAAGTCTTTCCTAAATCTAAACTTATCCAATTTATACCCATTGTTTCGTGTTGATATTTTTAATACCCTATTAATATCCCCCCCTGTTATGTCCATTCATCCACTTGTAAACCTCTATCATGTCACCCCTAACTCTTCGCCTTTCCAGTGAATGCAACTTAAGCTTTGTTAATCTTTCTTACATAAGAACATAAGAACATAAGAACAAAGGTAACTGCAGAAGGCCTATTGGCCCATACGAGGCAGCTCCTATTCTATAACCACCCAATCCCACTCATATACTTGTCCAACCCGTGCTTGAAACAATCGAGGGACCCCACCTCCACAATGTTACGCGGCAATTGGTTCCACAAATCAACAACCCTGTTACTGAACCAGTATTTACCCAAGTCTTTCCTAAATCTAAACTTATCCAATTTATATCCATTGTTTCGTGTTCTGTCCTGTGTTGATACTTTTAATACCCTATTAATATACCCCCGGTTATGTCCATTCATCCACTTGTAAACCTCTATCATGTCACCCCTAACTCTTCGCCTTTCCAGTGAATGCAACTTAAGCTTTGTTAATCTTTCTTCATATGAAAGATTTCTAATTTGGGGAATTAACTTAGTCATCCTACGCTGGACACGTTCAAGTGAATTTATATCCATTCTATAATATGGCGACCAAAACTGAACTGCATAATCTAAATGGGGCCTAACTAGAGCAAGATATAGCTTGAGAACCACACCAGGTGTCTTGTTACTAACGCTGCGATTAATAAATCCAAGTGTCCGATTTGCCTTATTACGAACATTTATGCATTGATCCTTTTGTTTTAAATTCTTACTAATCATAACTCCCAGATCCCTTTCGCAATCCGACTTCGCAATCACAACACCATCTAGCTCGTATCTTGTAACTCTATCATCATTACCTAACCTCAGAACTTTACATTTATCAGCATTAAACTGCATCTGCCAATCCTTTGACCATTTCAAAACCCTATCTAGATCAACTTGAAGTGATAGTGAGTCCTCCTCCGAATTAATTTCCCTACCGATTTTCGTATCATCGGCAAATTTGCAAATGTTGCTACTCAAACCTGAATCTAAATCATTTATATATATTATAAACAACAGAGGTCCCAGGACAGAGCCTTGAGGCACTCCACTTACAACATTTTCCCACTCTGACTTGATTCCATTTATACTAACTCTCTGTTTCCTTTGGTATAGCTTTCTTCATATGAAAGATTTCTAATTTGGGGAATTAACTTAGTCATCCTACGTTGGACACGTTCAAGTGAATTTATATCCATTCTATACTACGGCGACCAAAACTGAACTGCATAATCTAAACGACTATATAGCATTTGGAACGGATCAAGATGAGGACTTGGGATGGGACGGCGGAAAGGAATGGTGCCCAACCACTTGACCTCGATATAAGACTAACATGTATATGCACTGGCTGCTTGTCCCCCAACACAACGAATTATTATTATTAAATTATATATTTGTTAATATAAATAGGAACCATCAAAATTGACTTGAATTTGGAGTTCCCCAAGTTCAAGGAGTTCCCCTGGGTAGTATATATATGGGCCGGAAACAGTCAAAAAAATATTAACGTCCATTAATACATAATTGTGATTAGGTAACAAATACAAACACTGTACCCACATTAATCACGGTAACCTGATCCTGTTCTTTTAATAATATACTATCAATATCATATATGAATATGATAATGAGGTGAAAGTTAAACAAATATATAGTTTATTGACTATAAACACATTGGAAATTAAAGCCCAAATGCCTTAGAGATGAGTGAATTAAGCCTGTGGGGTGTGTTGACAGGTTTCCCATTCCGAGTACGTGACGTAAAGTTTGGCAGGAGAACAGTAAGGTTGCAACTGTGGGAGGCGGGCTGGGACACTCCCTCCGCCACCAGCAGCGACCCCGCCAGGAGCCCCAGGGGCGTCCTCCTCGTCTACGACGTCACCCACGAGACCAGCTACGACAGTGCCCAACGCTGGTAAATCATTTACTGCAACGTTTCTCTATTTTCATTTGTTCTATCTCTAATGTGTGCTCATATGACGTTTAGATAATCTCAATGGTTTAAGAAATTGATGATAATAATCATAATAATTTATTTGCAAGATGGTACAATGGATTGGTGAGATTACATAAGATAGGTATTTTTACATTCATGCAAAGCCATTAACACGCATAGCGCTTCGGGCAGGTCCTTAATCTAACATATCAGGTAAGATGAAAGGGTACATTGTAGCAATGTTTTATATCAAATAACTACAATATAAGTTGACATAGGTGATTACACTGATAAGGATATGTCTTAAGTACTGTCCTAATATTGGGGAAGTGGGTAGTATAAGATACAGTGGGAGTTTGAAGCACAAGGTACGAAACTATAAGGATGAAATTAGGTACCTTTTGATTTTACTTTTGAACAGGACATGGGTTGGACAATTTTTTAATTCATCAGGGAGTGAGTTCTAATGACGGCCCTTTAATTTGCATGGAGTGTTTGCACAGATTTAGTCTGACTGGGGATATCAAAGATAAATTTATTTCTGGTGTGGTGCTCATGGGTTCTATTACATCAAAGAAAAGTTTCAGATCAAGATTAGCATTTAGGAACAAAGTTTTGTACATGTAGATAGCACATTAGAACATGACGCATGAACACATGATAAAGTTGTTTCAGTAACTTGTGTTACTTGAAAGAATGCTGCATGTGCGTAAACGCACGAAAGCAGACATGGCACACAGGCAGGCAGGCAGACAGACACAAACAGGGGGGGGCTCACAGCTGAGTGGACAGCGCTCGGGGCTCGTAGTCCGAATGGCCCGGGTTCTATTCCCAGCGAAAATAAATGGGCAGTTTCTTTCACCTTGATGCACCTGTTCATCTATCAGTAAATAGATACCTGGGAGTTGAACCTGGGGACCTGCTTCCTGGGATGTGTGTGTTAGGAGAGAAATATATGTAGTAGACATAATATAGGAAAAATTGATTGGCTACAAAGGTGGGGTCCAAAAGCTGAATAGCTCCTTTCTGCAGACACAAATAGTAAATACACACACAGGGGCCTCGTGGCTGAGTGGATAGTGCACATACAAGATTCTCAGAGGAATTGATAGGGTAAATAATGACAATTTATTTAACACAGGGGGCACACGTAAAAGGGAACACAGGTGGAAACTGAGTACCCAGATGAGCCATAGAGATATTAAAAAGAACGTTTTTAGCAGAGTAGTTAACAAATGGAATGCATTAGTACGTGATGTAGTGAAGGCAGACTCCATTCAGAATTTAAAATGTAGATATCATATAAAATGATTGATAAGTCAGGAATCTGTACACCGGTTGACAGTTGAAAGGCAAGACCAAAGAGCTGAAGTTCAATCCGCACAAGCACAACTAGGTGAGTGCACCCACACACACACACAGCTTATCTGAGTACAGCAGTTTTTGTTTCTCCTTCAATTCAAACACACACACGTTCTTACTAGGTGAGAACACAAGGCTAGTCCCCCAGCTGAGAGGAATTTGTTTTTTTACATACAGTAGTTGGGAGAATTCCTTCGGTGGATTGTGGGCTTCAGAACTCACCAGTTGTCTTTTTTAGTTCGCCGACTTTCTGGATGTCTTCTCCGGCGAAGTGACAATGTAATTTTTCTGTGCACCTCTTTGAGGGGGCCAGGTCCTGACTATTCTTTGTTAGGTTTAAGAACTCTACGGCTGATGTGACATAAATGTTGGGAGCCATCTCGAGATACTTTCACAAACCCACAAGTGACTCCACCAGATAAACAACTAAAACCACAATATAACCACATCAGTAAGAAAATGTCTGTATCCATTAAGGTAATTAGACTAGACCAGACAGAAGGACCAAATTGGAAACGAAAAGGAAATACTCTATGCGAGTTTCTAAACTAGACCAGGGGACATGTTAATGACCCATGTTTGCTATACTATGGTATTTTTATACAGGTTATGGAGGCTACGGGAGCAGGGAGGATTCGGCAAGATGGTGGTGATGCTACTTGGGAACAAAGGACACTACCAAGGGGATGATAGACAGGTTATTAATGATGCTTTTACTCTGAAAGAATGAATTGGTTATACAGTACTTTAATACCTTACCAATTAAGCAACTGACATGTTAGCTGGCCTGACTCGGACAATTTTGTACTGTACTTCAAAAATTATGTAGAAAGATGTATCACTACCATACTTAAAAATTATAATCCTTTTCAGTTGGCAAATCTGAAGGTTTTCTGAATTCTTGAATTCTGAAAAAGTAGTTAGCAATTAGTAAACATGAATAACTTATCTATACTGCAGGTGACATGGCAAAGAGGGAAGGAGCTGGCAGACGAGGCTGGTATTAAATTTCTCGAAGTGTCTGACGTGACAGGGACCAATATTGAGCAAGCTCTGGTCAGCATCACCAGTGCTATCTTAGCTAAGGTCAGTCATGTCTATTACCTCATATCCATGTTGATAATGTGTGTTTATTGTTGTCATAACTGAGGCCGACTGGTAAATGTGAGTTGATAAACGTGTAGGACATGTTATGATTTTATAGTTGGGATTTACTACTGCAGGAGACAAATGTCATATCAAGTGCCAAGCCTTCCGTGTTCTGTTCCTTACAATGACCATGACTGAACTTGCCTTGGACAAGCCTTCTGGGAACCTGTTCTGCACTGTACTACATTCATCAAGTATTCCAGTGACTTACTCGGCTTTTAGCAAGTTTTCCAATGGTCTGCTATTTACAAAAGTGCACAAATGATGTCATAGTAAATTTACTTGACTTATGAACTCTGTTCTTGACAAAAATAGTTGAAGAGGTGTATTCTTCAGATACCAATGCAAACTTTTTTCCCCCCCTTCCTTTATTCCCTTTGTAATTCTAGTATCCTTTGTATTTCTCCATACTGTACAGTACTTGTATAAAAGTTAATTTTATTAATTTTTTTTTAGTTTAGTTGCTGTTTCTTGGATGCTAAAGTAGATGTGGCTAAATAACAGCAGTTTTATTATGTAGAAGTCTGGTGTGACTGCAGGATCAAGTTGCATAATTCATTTATTCATAAAGACAAGAAAACAGCTAGTTGTGCAATTTTCAAGGACCTATATTAGTTTACCAGCACAAAACTATTGTACAGTATACACATATTTGCTGAATTTCACCAATGATTGCCACAAATCTGATAGGATTAATAATAAAATAAAGGTCATGACTTAATTTAATTATAGGAACACCACTATTGTGAATAAATTACATTTTTTACTAATATGCTTATCTTTCTTATTGACATGGACTAGATGAAATGTTTTCTCTTAGCCATGTGTCGAGTCATTCTTTGTAGAAAAAAAATCACATCTGAATCAGAATCAAGCAATTTATGGTCTTTTTCATCTATGAGAAAATTATCAAGAGCCAATATCCTTGAAGTAATGATCTTATTATTGATTATTACTTGTTTTGAAATGGCTAAGGAATGGGCTTTTACAATCTCTTCACTTATTAGGAAACATAAAAAACAGTGATTGGAAAAAAATTCATTATAAAAAGGAAAATAAACATACCTACGTAAAAACAAAAAAAAAAAAAAAGCAAAGGTTTTCGAGTCATAGAATACAAAACAGTACCACAGTTTGCTTTAACAACAAAGCAATTACTAGTTAAATTACGAGCATTCATCGGGTTCATTAAGCGTTTTACTTCTTTGTTTGTATAATTCTTCAACCCACTGCTGTACCTTAGGGTGGGTAAACTGGCCTTCAGTTGACTTGAAAAATTCTTCCAGTGATCCTTTTCGATCCTGACTTGTCTCATACTCAAAAGCTTGCAAGATCATGTCAAATTTATCCAAATCTTTTACAAGCTTTGCCTCTGGTGTTTTCTGTTCTTCATATTCCTGAAAATGGTAACTTATTTAAAGACAGTACATAATGTTGTACATGGGGACACAAACATATATTGGATAATAAATTTATAAATATTAGAGGATTTTATATTAATTTTTTGAGGTGTGCCAATGGATTATCATCAGGCATATTAACCTATTTTTGTTGTATTAGTATTGGTATTATTTCAGCCAATACTGTATACTGCACTTTGATATTTACTTTTGTACATAGGTCGGTATAGTTCAAATATATATCTGACAAAAAATATTAAATATCATTATCAAAGTACTGGATCAGTCTTTTTTATAATATAGTACATATTGGAGTACAGTATTTATATAGATTAATAAAATATTGGTATCGGTGCACCTCTGCTCTACAGGTAAGAAACTGGCCCAGCTGTAACCACACACAGCACGACCATTGGTGAACAATTAACTTGTAGTAAACACTAGCATTTACCACAGGCGGCTGAATGAGATCAATTTTTGTTTCTTTACTCAAGTTGTGATCAACAACTGGTGTTACACATTTAAGCAAGCTTGCATACCAAGCTGTCAGTACCAACAAGGTCCTTAAACTGTAGGATGACAGGAATAAACACCTGGAGAGGCGAATCATGGGTAATACAGTGGCTATGTTCCCGACTTACAATCGGGGATCCAGGATTTGATCTCTGGGTGGGACAGAAAAGGTTGGTCATGTTTCCTTTCACCTAATGCCTATTCACCTAGCAGTAAATAGATGCCTGGAAGTTAGGCAACTGTTGTGGGGTTGCATTCTGAAAAAGTCAGTAGTTTGACCTAGGGAGGACCTCATTACAAGTCTAAAGTACATATATACGTATATATATACATACACACACACACACACAGCATAATATCTCCAAATAAATAGAAAATGCAACAATATGTCAAACTATGCTACCTTGAATATAATACCGTTTCTCTCAGCATGTCAAGGTCAGGCTTCACTCCCGTATTGCCCAGGCTGTGTCGGCTTACTTTTAGGTCCAGCACAGCAATCCCAGTGCCTGGGTACCCTGCTTAGGTTTCCCCTTCAGGTCCTGGAAATCTCATGCAGGTCTGGTGGTCCTAAGGATATTCCCCCACACCTATTCTCACTCTTTGTGAGTTTGAGGGTTGCTTATCATCTATGCCAAGTGGTGACATTAATTTCTTCTGCCTGTTGGTCAGTGACACCTTCGACTCCGAGTCCCATGGGGTTTGCTCTCTCCATATAGCTCTTTTTTGTGACCTTCCTGATGAAGTTAGACCTTACCACGCAGTGACCGATTTGCGTGTTAGTTTTACCAGATTGCAGGGATCTGGGTTGTGTACCGGGTTGGATGCACCCGAGTTACCCTGGTTGGTGTTTAGGGACCTGGAATTGGGGGTGTTGGCGAATTCCAACTTTTTGCAGAGCTGTCCGTTGATTTTAAGGTTTTGTTTTCCGTGAACCCTCCAGTTGTCTGTAATGCTTTGCTGACTTTCTGGAGATTTTTTCCAGTAGGGTGGTGGATTGTCACCCGCACCTTGCACCAATGTAAGGGGAGGCCAGGTTCTGGTTCTGGTCCCTGGCAGGCCAAATAGAATGTTCCGCAACTGATGTGACTTTTTTTTGTGTACATGGCAATCTCAGCACGATAGCTTTATACTGTAGATCCACTGGGGAGTCCCGCCATAAAAAAATTAAGTGTTTCATCCAATTCTTCTGAATTTTGTAACTTGCAGATCTTTTTTTTTTTTTTTGTGGATTTGGGATTAGGGGAAACTAACTATTCGGAAAGTCAAAAGGGTTTTCACTTTTCAGCAAGTCTGCAAGAAATTGGCCAAATTTGGGAAACCTACTTAAATTGAATTATAGGTCATAATTTACAGAGATGTTTAAGGAAGGTTTTCCAATGACCAACTGTCTTAAAATGCAAAACATGACAAACCAACATGGTGCTGTGGATAATTTACATTTCACTCAAAGGCAGGTTAAGCAACACTAGGTCTGGCCAGCAAATATATAAATGAATGGGGTGACAGCATTGATTCTTGGCTTATGGGACCATGGCAAAACATCCACAGGATTCCTTTCATCGACAAGCTACACATTCATGTACAAATTATATTTAGCATAAAATGATACTACATAGTATATTCTCATCACAACAGCATTTATACATACCATAAACAAATTAAACATTTCATTTCCTGCTTTTTCTCCAACCAAGGTTATGAAGTGCTCCATAGCTGCCACTTCTTGTTTGTGTTTGTCTTCCTCCGAGACCCCACAATGTGGAGTGAGGTCACCCACTGTACTTTCTGCCATGTCATGAACCAGTGATATCTTCATGACTCTGAAAAATAAGAATTTATTTATTTATATATTTTTTATAGCAATTCTACTTGGCTGCTCACTTAAGTAAGGTTCTGCTGTTTCCACGAACTGGACTACATACAGTCAAGGCAGATTGACATTCACATAATTGAGTGAATAAATTGCAGCATTTATCTTGTGTACTTAACTGACTTGCATTTTGTGGCACTTAATTGCGACACGGTGACTCTAGTGAATGGTTTTGACTGCTTGGCAAGCCTTTTCAGAGTGAAATGTCCCACAGAGTTCAGGTCTGGACCGTGTGCGTATTTGTGAATGTATTTTCCCAACACATCAGTCTTTATATCGAACATACAATTTAATTTCATTTGAAGCAATGAGGCGACTTGAACCAGCTGCTTTTGTTCTATTCATGGGCGAGTGGGTTAAAGCGAGTGCCTGGGAATCACTAGAATGCTGGTTCAAGTCACCTCAAATGATTTTCTCCTACAGAATGATGATCCAACAGAGAAATTCAGAATTTTGATTATACCATATTTATAATCATGCATTAGTGTGTTGATTAATCTTTCTCACATGAAAACTGCATTGCATATAAATACAATATACAGTACTAATTACAATACAGTACAGTATATAAATATGTATAGATTATCTATAAGAATATGCATTAACATATACTGTACTGCAGTATAATAAATATACATCTCTTTTGTAAGCACATATGAGAGGTGTACAAGCAAAGTATTAGTGCAAACAACAAACTCTCACCTATCTCTGTTCACATTATCATTCTCGTCAAGAAGAAATGATATAATGGCCATCCGGTACATGTGACCAGATATAGTTTCAGGTTCACTGACATTACGAAGAACCCATCCAGTTCTTTTCATATGCTGAAAAGAGTGAATAGGTAAAATTAATTATTGTACTGTATTTTTATCATTTCAACTGATATTGATCAATTACAATTAACAAATGTATGCCTAGAAAAAATATATGCCATCTTTGATACTTCTTTTCTATCCAACTTTTAAAATATTTTACTATTCATAATGACAATATTATATATGGGGGTATCTGGGGTGTCAGTAAGGGGTAGTACCTCTGACAGGGAACAGTCGCACCTTCGAGTGGTTTGTCTGCTTTGGTCCCACCACCTCCACTAACTCTCACTTATGGCTCTTAGTAGCTGTTTGCAGGCAACAACGGCCACACCCCGGTAAACCACTTCAACTGGCAGGCAAAACCAGGCGAGGGTAGCTGAAGGTTTGAGGCCCTTGGTGAACTAAGGCTTCTCTACCTACGCATGCGAAGACAGAACCCGGCTGACTACGTGGAGGAACCCACCAGAATGGTTCAGCAGGCAGGAAAAGGCTCAGCAAAGAGTTGTGGAGTGCAATAAGTGTGCAGTGAAACACGAAGAACACTGCTGGCCATCCACTGCATCCTAATATATCTCCTGCCATCTCGACTTGTCCTGCTGCTGGACCCAGATAGGCTGGGATGAGAGAGTGAGGCTGATAATTTGTGCAACTCTCCCTCACTTCAATACAAATCTTGTGCAAGTCATGACTTCAACCAGTACTGTGATGTACTGTATGTTTTTTTTTTTTACACTTATTTGGAGTTTGTATGGTATGACATTTGTTATGTCATCTACAAAGCAACTAAGCTAAGAAACCATTGCTCAAATCATTGATTTAAAAGAAGCAAACTGCAAAACTAGGGGGAGAGAATAAGTGAATACAGTAGCTGGGTGTGGGCAAAAAGAAACATTAAGTTTTGTGCGGATTTCCGAGATTCAAACAGTGATGACACACCATCACAAACACCTGTCTGGTTGCCTCAGGTAGACTTCAAGGACTACCTTCCTGTAACACATAGGGTACTCTGCAATGAACATTTTAGAATGTTCACAGACCTTGAACAAGTCTTCCTGGGACGACCCTATCATCTTGGAATTGCTGTTGAATGGATTAGTACTCGACTGTTAAATCATGCAATCGTATCATATTAGGACTAAATTTGTCACATATTGGGTATGGCTTTCTTAACCTAACCAATATTAAGAAATCGTCAATCTTACCTTTAATCGACCTATTTGCTTGAAAAATTCTAAACAGCTTTTAGCATTATGTGAAGCCATTCCTTCAACTGACTGGGTCGAGTTTGTATCACAGTAGCAAGCCATAAGTGGCCAACCTAAACACAACTCTCGAGTTTACAGGAGCAAGTAGCGAGGTCAACTCATCTCTATAAGATCCTGGATTTAGCTTTATAGGATCAATAAGGTACTTGAAACATTTTATCTATGTACTTATAATGTACGGTGGTGTTATATGAGCACCTATACCTTTAACTAACACTTTACAAAAAATACGTTAATTACCAAAGATCAATTTAAATAAATAACAAATGAATACAATTATAATAAAATTTTATAACTACTAAGTAAAATTTAAATAATTTTCAGGGGACTATTTTATTTAGCAAGATATCCTCGTTTAACTCCTGAGGTACACAGATCATAACAACAATGGCGGCCTCCATTAGACGGAGTGGTGTTTTCCTGACAACCCGAGTCTGTACTCCCTTTATCGGCAGATATTGTTCATCGGTTCCTACTGGAGAGTCTGGTCAAAGTACCAGCGATATATCAAAAGATAATGTAAAGATTGAATCTGGCGGGTTTGCGAAAGCTTTTGCAAAATATACTCAGGACACTAGACCTTCCGAGGATGAGAGAGATGTTCAACCTCCCAAGTCATTTGTCACCCTTCTGAGGTATTCTAAACTCATGCAGGTATGTTGTTTCTAATTCCTAAACCTAAATTAGAATTGATTGATTAACTAAAATAGGATTGATTAACAGTTGAGAGGCGAGACCTAAGAGCCAAAGCTGGCTCTTAGAGCCCTGCAAGCACAACTAGGTGAGTACACTAGACCTTCCTGGTCACTGCTAGTTGTCACCAGAGTCACCAGGCTCTGAGCTGCTTTGAGCCCCAGAAGGCTAAGTAACCTTGCAAATTGTCAACCCCTAAATAAGATGCAGGGAACTCACTGGGTGAGCAAATCTCAATTTATTATGCAGTAATTGAGCACCATTCCTTCACTCCATCCTCGGTCGTTATTTTTTCCTTCCCTTTGGCTTTAGGGGTGTTCATTTATTATTTGGGTATGCTTTCATGGCTCTGAATAGATGTACCACAGGTGTGTTTTTCAGTGTTTTTTAAGGGTTTCCTCTGGGTTTTATGCCTTTGGCCACATCTTTGCTTCCCCAGGAGTTGAGTCCCAAGTTTACAGGGGGTAAGATTTGGATGTTGTTTTCCCATGTATCCCTCTGAACACTACCCAATATTTTTGGGACCAAACAATTTGTAAGGTTTTGATCTTGTGGGGCTCGAAGCCTGATATACTAGCAGTGGCCTGGTAAGGTCCGGTGCTTAGGCTAAGGAGAACCACTGATGTGGTGAACAGGAAGAGGCATTTTGATCCATTCGATGCTTTATTTATAATTAATTGTTTAATTTACAGTTGGGCGATCCTCAAGGCAAAGTGGTCGAGGGCACCATCTTCCATGTAGTTGGAGATGACCTTTATATTGACTTTGGGAGCAAGTTTTACTGTGTTTGCTTGAGACCGCAACGAAACCCAGCGTAAGTACAGCGTTTGTAATTTTTTCTTTATAAATAACTTGAAATGCTGCCTTTTAATTTTAAAAGGAAATTTAAATGCTGTTTTTTCACATCCGGCATGCTGGATGTGAAAAATTCATGAGACCCCTTATGAAATGGCATGGAAGTAGTATTCACGTGACAATCTGCCTCCCCACCAGAATAGCCTCCTGAAAGTCAGTGAAGCTTTACAGATAATTGGAGAAGAAGCCTCAAAACTACCAAACAGCTCCACAAACAATTCACACACTAGCTTGAAACTTGTAGTACTGATTACTGCCACCAGACAACCCGGCCCCTGCCCATAGTCGGCTAACCACCTCGGTTCTGGAGCTGATGAATAACGCACGATGTACAGTAGTGATGAACGTAAAGGGAATAAAATCAGGTAGCCCTGGTGGGCTCTTCCAGAAAGAGGCGTTTCATTATATTTAACGCTGGGTTTCTGGTGGGTAGCCCCTCTGGTGTCTCCCTAAAGCCAACCACAGGGAACAAAAATAGGACTTACCCAGGAGGTAGATTGGCAGCAGACACTAGGAAAAAGAAGAGGAAACCAGGCTGGGAGACATGGCCGAAGGCAACATTCGACCAACTGGGATCAAGGACATTAACTAAATATTGGGCCACCAGTACCCTGGTAGAATGCCAAAACCCCCGATCCTAAATATGATCTCATACCATGTTAGAGAAGACTGCAGCCAAAGCCAAATATTTGTGAACTTCACGGGCTCGAGAGTAGACTGCAAGCTGCCTAGATTTCATGACATTGCAGATGACCTGAGAAATACGAGACTTGGAGCAGGGAACCAAGGTAATTAGGTCAAGCAACAAAAGCATCCATTGAGGCAGAACCAGAGGCACACAGGTACATAGTGGCAAAGGGCCGCTGCTGAACACAACAAATGATGCACCCCCCAGCAGAACCAACAAAGTGGCAATCGCCAAGGGACCGCTGTGGAAGCCCATCGACTAATTCTTTGTCAGAAAAGGAGAAAGCTGCCAACAAACAAACTGCCCATAAGGGCCAAAGGAACAGAACTCACCTTTAGAAAAGGGCCTGAAGCTCCCCAACCCTACAACCAGGGGTGAGAGCCATAAAAACAAAAACAAGACAGCCTTAAAACACAACTTGAGCCAAAATGGAAACCATAAACCAAGGCGAGGAGAGAAAAAACAAAATCAGATAAAGTGACCAGGATGACTCAGGAGGAGCATGAGGAGGCTGGAGATGAAAAGACGCTTGGACCAACTTACAAAACGGATTCCGTCGTGTCGACACTGAATGCAAGCAGTACCAGCCCTACCAAAGTCAAACAATAAGAGGCAACAGTACTTAATCTCAGCAGCCAAGCAAGTGGAGGGGGGTGGGGAGGGGAAAAGGAGGATTCAAATGAATTTAGCCTAGTAGTAGCTTCTCTAAAATAATATTCATTAATACATAGTTATACAATAATACAAGTATAATATGCTATAACACAACATGATCTCATAACCCAGCCTATGAGTATATATCCTCACAATACAAAGTACAGTATAGCAATACTGTATCAATCAACCAACAGTAGCCTAATTCACTTGACATCATATTAATAGATATACATGTATAATAATACATAGGATAGTGATACACAAGTCACATAGTACAGTAATACATAGAACCTATATACATAACAGTGTATCAAAGATATATTAAAAATCAATATATAATGATACAATGTTGTACTGTATTATATCATTACGGTATGATCACAGTGTATATCAAGTCATACTGGTGTATGCTGGATCATAACAGTACAGTATTTAGAATATTTCTGCAGTTTCCTGGGTGTTTATATTTGCATGTTCCATCAGTTCTTCCTGATAGTTTATATTTGCTACATACAATGCATAGTATTGGCAGGGTCCCGGTTCATGCTTTGTTGGAGTGTCAACAACACACTGTGTTGGCTCTTTGCAGAAAGATTTAGGTCGAGATCTTACAGATTCCTGTTGCTGCTCGGGCACTTCCTTAACTGATTTTAATATTTCTTTCTCTCTGGCCACTTGTGCATGAGTCAGCTGCATATCCTTGCACTTACGTATGTCCTGTGTAACCACTTCCATGTTTTCTAACAAAAGCCCTTCACACTGTTGAATCTCCTTACATAACTTATTGTATTCACTAACATCTGGATTTAATTTAATTAACTTCAAAATTTAACTTTTTAATCCTCTATTTTCCTCCTCTAGGACTTTTCCTTCAGTTTCCTAGAGTTTCTTATTCTTACATAATTCCTATACAGTATTTGGTCTTCCAGAGTTGTAACCTTCTTACATTCTTATAACGTTCTTGTAATGCCACTAGCACGCATAGCATTTTGGGCAATCTTGATTTTCCCTGGAATATGACCCGCCAGATCTTTCAACCACCAGGTACCCTTTCACTGCTGGGTGAACAGAAGCGTACGGTTAAGGATTGTTGCCTAGTCAATCCTCCCCAGCCAGGATTCGAACCCAGTCCAAATCGCTTGCAAAGCACGACGCAAGTGTCTTGCCACTGCACTACGAAGACTTCTTCCCAAGTTTTCATTTCATCTGCTCAAATTCTTAATTATATCCACATGATACTTTTCAATTCTCTATATTTTTTCCAACCTGTTGTGAAAACCTCTCATGTTAATATTTTCCTCATCAAAGACACCAAAATCATACCCTTTAGTTTTGTCCCTACTCATGGCAGTGGCCATCTTTGCTTTTGTCATCATGTGCTCCCCGCACTATTTCCTTCAAAAACACTAGGTATTTCTAATATGTTTCTTTAACTTTGTTTTGGTTTCTGTTTGCCAGATATTCACTGGTGTGCACTTTTTCACTGTAATATTGCTTGTTTATCCCTCCCAAATTTAAAAAACACTGGAGCTCCCCAGCCTTCACTCCTACAACATCCCTTTTCCTTTATCCACTTTATCTATTCCTCTCAAGATCTTGTACATAGTTATCTTATTCCTTCCGTTTCTTTTCTCCTCAAAAATTGCAAGACTGAGTTCTCTCAACCTGTCCTCATAGCTGAGACCTCTCAATTCTGCTACTAATTTAGTTGCAAACCTCTCAACTTTCTCAAGTTTCTCTTTGTGCTTCACATGGTGTGGGTTCCTTGCTGGAGCTGCATACTCAAGTAATGGTCTCCTATAGGCAGTGTGTATGGATTTGAAATATTGTTTAGATTCTTAAATGACATTCTTATGTTTGATAATGTCCCATATGCTGCTGAAATTACCCTGTTCACATCAGTTTTTAGTGTTAATGTTGGGATTATCTCCACTCCCAGGTCTTTTTCTCTTATTGTTTCTTATATATGCCTTCCTATATGGTATTGTTAAATTTGGGTCGCCTGTCTTCCATACCCATTTTCATTACTGTATAGGTGTGCTGACTTTCTGAATGCTTTTTCAATGAGGTGGCAGAGTGTCACCTGTTCTCTTCACCTCTGTGAAGTAGGACTAATGTTCTGGCTCTGGTCCCTGGTAGGCCAAACATAACACTGCAACTGATGTGACCTAATAGATGGGAGTCATCTCAGTGAGAAGCCATTTCATCTTGAAAGAGGCATTTCTTTACATTCACTGCTAGTTTTTCAGTTTTGGGTCGCTCTCCAAGCCTACATCTCTGTAGAGCGAACTAAATTCTGATCCTGGATTCTGATAGGTGATTTGTGGGTCTCAGAGGCCTGATATGTGAATTTAAGTCTTGGTGTAGCCTCTACATAAGCATGCAGTTATTGGAAACACACCAGAAAAGAGTGTGTCATTACAATTAATGCTTGATTTTTTCAACTACATTAGCTCTAACTTAACTCTTCATAAAGAGAAACTACTCTTCATGTTCAGGAGTTTTGTGAGAGGAGCCAGAGTTCGTCTTCGACTACAGGAACTTGAACTTTCTACACGATTTCTGGGGTCGTCTACAGATATGACAATACTAGAAGCAGACGCATCACTCCTGGGTTTAATTCGCACAAGAAAATTAGAAACAGTCAACCAGTAGTATATTTTGTGTATTAGATAAGTGCAGTCATGACTTAGCATTGTTTGTATATATGCAAAAATACCATGTTAAAATTTGTAGTTAAAAATTGTAGCATAGGTAATTCCTTTTTATTTTTTCTTGTAAAGATATTGAAATGTGTTAATAAATTAAAACTGCAATTGTATCTTCATGTTTTCCTATAAATTTCTTGCAAATTATAGAGTATATTTATTTCCCTTCCCACCTGACACCCACCCACCCAACTCTCACCTGACTAACACCCAGCCACTCCCTCTCACCCAACACTCGCCCATTCCTGCCCAACACCCACTCCCACTCTTGTCCTGCACCTGCTCCTCCATGATATCTTGGGCAAAGGCCACCAAGGCTGAAACTGCAGGCTGCATATCTCCTCTGTGCAGATCCCATGCCTGTGACTTTCTCATGGAGATGCTTAAAAGGCCCCCCAATGAGGATCCAGACACGCAAAACTACAGCTAGATGCGAATGAGTCCAGTGATTCTCTACAGTAAGGGACCCCTGGACAACACAGGCAGTTACGCGTGAAGCTTCCACATGTCAACACTCTTAGAAAGCACCAGGGCAAACAGGCAAGCCAGGGCAAACAGGCAGGCCAGGGCAAACAACAAAGCAAATGAAGCCCTGCTCAGGAATATTGAGTTCTCAAAGCAGTCAAGTGAGCAGGTCTGACAGAACCCTTGCCAAACCCCAAAGGAAAATAGAGGGCTGTCAGCCTGCCAAGATGAGCCTGAGACTTCATACTGCAACCAATAAGCAGAGACAGACCTGTACTTGAAAAAGGGCCAGGCCCATGTTAGAAGAGAGGTCCAAGCTCCACAGGAGGTATTGAAGCAAATCCGCAGACTACAGAAAGCGTAGTGCAGGAAGACACCATCCTCCCCTATCGCTTAAGGTATTCATGGATACCATATTCTTTGGTAGGGGCTTCGTGACCTGCGATCACCAATCCACCTAGGGGCAGTGATTGGGTCCGTTTGTTCGGGCTTGTCGCATGGTATGTGAGTTTGCGGTGGTGTGAAAGACCCTGAGGAGGATTTGGCTTTCTCCAAAGCTCAAGCACCAGCTTCACTTTGACATGCCACACCTCAAATGAACCACATGACCCCAGTGGTTCATTGCTTGTATCGAGGGAGACAGATTCGGTCCTTTTTCCTGTGGAGCTGAACACTTCAATATCTCGGTTTGATCTTTTTGGGTTTTGGTTCTTTGCAAGGTTCACATGCGGGGTGTGTCAAACATTCATGCCGACAGATTATCTCGGTTCCATCCCATTTCCACAGAGTGGACATTGGATGAAGTATTGCTGGCTTTGCAAGACATTTGTTTGCCCTGCAGTGGAAATCTTTGCATCAGCATGGAACCAGAACCTTCCCTCACATGACTGTTCCCCAATTGTGATGCTATTACAGTGGATGTTTTTGGCTGGACTGGTCGAGGTAGAGATTCATTTACCTCTTTCTCCTGGATCAGTTGTTGCTCCAGGCGTTGTCTAGTCTAGAGTCATACTTGGGGTGGGTGCTCCTTGGTGACCGGCCTAGCCTTGGTTTCCGGCACTTCTAGCTTTTTATCTGAACCTAGGCGTTTCCTATCGCTCCAGCTCTTCCAACAAATTAGCTCTCCGAGGTACCTCACTGGTTTGACCACCTCTGCTCTATGAGTCTGGTATTTTTTAAGCATGTTTTTATCACCATTTGTATGGTGGGCAGGTAAATAGCTTGTTGGTCTCTCACTTATGTGTTTCAGCAGTATGAGATTGCTTGACACTCGTTTTGCTATTTCTTGGCTTTTTATCATCTTTCTTCAATCTCCGTCCAGTTGTCCTATCGTTCTTCTCGAGGATATTTCTTGATTGGCATCTCATGCCGACTACTGTTGCCTCGTATCGTTTGGCATTGGTAGAGCTGGTATTGCTTGCATTTGGTGTCGACACCTTCACAGAATCCGTTTTGTAAGTTGGCCCATGCGTCTTTTTATGTCCGGCTTGCACATGCTCCTCCTGAGTCATCCTGGTCACTTGACCTGATTTTAATTTTTCTCTCCTTGCCTTGGTTTATGGTTTCCACTTTGGCTTATGATGTTTTTAAGGCTGTATTTTTTTGGGGATGGCTCTTGCCCCTGGTTATAGGGTTGAGGAGCTTCAGGCCCTTCTCCTAAGGTGAGGGATGTGAGGAACATCCCCATGGGGATGGGAACATGGAACATCCCCATCCATGAGGAACATCTTCTCCAAAGATGTTTGTTGGCAGCTTTCTGCTTTTCTGGCAAAGAATGAGTCGGCAGGCTTCCACAGCGGTCTCTTGGTGATTGACACTTTGTTGGTTCTGCTGGGGGTACGTCATTCGTTGTGTCCAGTGGCGGTCTTGTGTTACTACCTGTGTGCCTCTAGTTCTGCCTCAATGGATGCCTTTGTTGCTTGACCCAGTTTTCTTGGTTCCCTGCTCCAAGTCTCGAATTTCTCAGGTCATCTGCAATGTCATTAAATCTAGGCAGCTTGCAGTCTACTCTCCAGCCTGTGAAGTTCACAAATATTTGGCTTTGGCTGCAGTCTTCTCTAACATGGTATGAGATCATATTTAGGCTCGTGGTTTTTAGCGTTTTACCAGGGTACTGGCGGCCCGATATTTAGTCAGTGTCCTTAATCCCAGTTGGTTGAATGTTAACCTTTGGCCGTGTCTCTCAGCCTGGTTTCTCTTCTTTTTCCTAGTGTTTGGTGTCAATCTACCTCCTGGGTAAGTCCTATTTTTGTTCTCTGTGGTTGGCTTTAGGGAAACACCAGAGGGCTATCCTCCAGAAACTCAGCATTAAATATAATGAAACGCCTCTTTCTGGAAGAGCCCACCAGGGCTACCTGATTTTCCTCCCTTTACGTTCATCAGTACATGATTTTCCTCCCTTTACATCAGTGTGTTATTCATTAGCTCCAGAACTGAGGTGGTTAGCTGATTAAGGGCAGGGACCGGATCACCTGGTGGCAGCAATCAGTACTAACGCATTTCGAGCTAGTGTGTGAATTGTTTGTGGAGCTGTTTGGTAGTTCTAAGGCTTCTTCTGCTTGGTGAAGTCTCCAATTGTTTGCAAAGCCTCACTGACTTTCAGGAGGCTATTACCTCTGTGACGAAGCCAGGAGTTCCCGGTAGACAACCGGGAGACCACATTAGTTGCAGAACTTCTGCAACTAATGTGACCTCTTAATATTTAGCAATCTCAGTGAGATTTGGGGAGTCACTTGAACTCCTCCAGAAAAAAAGCATTTCATTACATTCAGTGCTGAGTTTTGGGAATTTTCCCAGAGAATTTCACAAAATAGTGTACTGAAGCTGAAACGTTTGCTCATGCCAAGGTTTACAGTTGACAAGGATAACTAAAACAATTCCCTAAATTTTGATTTTTAATGTTTTTTAAGATGCAACAACAACTGTACAAGGTAAAATATACAGCATTTTACAAAATTCTGCAAACATGTGAGAACACTTCAGAGACAACACAAATGGCATTAGAGAAAAACTTGACTTAAAATGTAGTTTATAAGTGATACCGTTACAATAGCACTTACATGGTACTCATTTAATGATTCCAGAAAATGACTCTACACATTTACCAATATCATTATACATACTGGGTATATATATTTTGTTAATGTATATGTATTTTGTTAATGTGCTTCATGCATTTCTGCTATTAACATTAAAAGTTAAGTCAACTGATTCTCTCCTTGGTAACCAACACTCTTAATCCATCGGTACCCAAAGGTAGGATGAGAGAAAGCATTTTCACATTAACATAATTATGCACATGAACACACACACACACACACACACACACACATACACACCACTTTAACAAACAGGAGGAAGGATGTAGATAATTTTTACATTGAGAAAGAAATGACCAAAAATTACATTTTGGCATTTATTATAATAAAACACTATGATCATTAGTGGACCTTAATATCTTAACAAAAGTCAAATTTGAGTAGCTGCAGCACTTGCGTACTCTATGAAACTATTGCACCTTGATAACAAAAGATACCAAGCAATAACATATCCAACAGATCATCTTCTCGTATATTTAGCACATAGTTTTATAATAAATAATGCTGGAATGCTTTGTTATATCCTGCAAAAATGTTTGGCACAAAGTTTTCACAAGAATATATATTTTCAACTTATGAGTACTGTATATTATCTAAAATATAACATGTTGAATAATATACTTGGGGAAAACAATCCCAAGCTCAAATATTAATACTATACTTGAAATAACTTACAAAAATAACTTTGTTACAAATATGTAATATTTTGACTTATCAGAAAAAAATATGGACCTGAATTCAGAGAGAGCTCTTACATACGATGGCTTTTCCACTCCTATCTCCGCTCACACAAACTGATACACATGGGGGAAAAAAAATGACATTATATTTATTTATAATAATTTTCAAAAATGCAATTTTAAGTTGATATATTGCCCACAGTACAAAAATGCTGCTAATTAGTTTATTTGCCCACAGTACAAAAATACTGCCAATTTAATTTTAATTAAATTAGTTAATTTTAACTGGAAATACTGTAATTATTATTTTCATAACAGCTTGAACACTGGAATTTATTTATGGAAGATTTATGGAATGTCATCTTATAGGCATATGTAGATAAATCCTTTTTCCAGTAAGTAATACAGTATGGCAAAATATGAGTGTAGATTAGTGGGAAAGAGTAAATGCACTGTTGATTTGGGACTTCATTATAGCACTATGCGTCATAAGAACCATAACTGAAAGCAGCGGAATGAGAATGTACCTGACTATGGGCATCTACAGATAATCTGGTTATATGAACACATTTGATCAAAACGGAGACAAACCAAATCAATAAAACAGCAGCCTTGCAGCAAGATGTACTGTTAAATTTGTTTCATGCTAAAAGTACAGTAGATTAAAATTAAATTTGGAAATGATGCATTAGAACCTGTAACCTTCATTGTAAATCATATTTGTATTAATATATAAGAGAAATATTAATATATTTGTAAATTACAGTTGGCCTGCTGTTTGTCTAAGAACAAAAATTAGACCCCCTCCCCCATGGCAAGTAGAAAGCCTATGTTATAGTGAAGTATTTGCTGCGTATGAGTATGGAAGCTGCTATAACATCCACTTAACAGCACAGTACGCTAGCAGCAACAGGTATGTGAGGCAGAGTACCTGCAATAATATTGGTTTTGTGTTCCATCTCTTTTATATAAAATGATCAGGTTTAAAGAGAAAGTGTAACGGTGAAAGTGTATTATGATACGAGTATATGATGGCAGGCACATATCATAATGCAATCTTCCATTGATGTAGGTATCAGTTTACACGAACATCATCTCCATTTCAGGTTACTTTATACGTAAACATAAAAAATGTCTTCCAAACAGTGAAGAATCCTTTAGCATTGAAATGATTACATTATCACAGACATCAATATATAAGCCATTGAGTTGGAATGAGTTACCCTTATGACTACTGTATTAATTCATGATATTATTCAAAGGACTTAAAAACAGTTAAATGTGTTTAGGTTAACCTATAGAAATTATAGCTGGTTTTCCTAGATACAATGGAAGAGTTATATACAGTATTTTGACATGCAAGGTACTGTACATATATTTTTATAATTTTCTTCAGATTTCAGCTTAATAGGATGCGATCATATGTCATTGTTTGCCACTATGGTAAACAGCTTTTGATCATATCAAAATTCACAAGGCATAGTAAATGTTTCTATATTGGTATTGTAAGTTACAGGCACTTGGTATAAGTAGAAATACAGTACAGTATTCATAATGTTTGATGGCTCATGAACTTTTAGTGCAACTTGTTTAAATTGTTAGCAAGTGCAGACAGCCATGTGCTTTACCAACTTCTTTTTTCCAAAAATGCCCATTTTCCTATTTAGGTTTATTCGGATAAAAAAAAGTTTGAATAATTGATAGGGTAGTTATTTCTGAAGAAAGTGCAATAAAGATGGAATTATTTTGCCCAGTGACTGTACACTGCATCACTTGAGCTGTGTTCATATACTAATGGATGGCTCAGATGCTTTAAACTCTGCAATGGCATTAGGTACATTAAAGTACCAGTACATGGTGAAAGGTAGTCTGCTGAGGTTACCTTATCACCATTAATCTCCACTTCAGTCAACCCAATACTATTATCCATCACCACCTTTTCTATCTAAATAACAATGCTCCTCCAATTATAAAATTTAAGTTAACAAGCGGATCAGAACTTCTCACATTGGTGAATACAAACAAAATGCTGTCAAATTTCTGTTACAAAATTAATTGTTTTCCATAGCATTTCACGATGATGAACCACTTATCCGAACACAGCGTCACAACGTGTTATCTGTTCAGTCTCAGTCCCAAGAGAAAGCACGTGGTTGTCTGTACTGTAATTATTAAAAGAATGTGTATGCTTTCATATGCTTTAGAAGTTTTCTCAGTGTGTAGCCTACATGGCAAGGTCTACCACATGCTGCCAATATTTTACTTAACACTGCTGTACATCTAGTTTCCCCTGAAGATTTAGTTTCTTAACCCCTGCACTGCACACCTGTTTTTGGCAAAAACTTCATAGTGCAATTGTTAAGGACATATTTTTGTTGTTTTTATAAATGTTTAGGTAAAGTTAATGTCAAAATGTTTCCAAACTCAACAATTTTCATTTCAAAACACAAAGAGTGATGAAAACATTAAAAAACATTAAAATATATCCTAAATAAAAAAAATAGTACAACTCTTAGAACGAGATTTTTCGGTTGGCGCAGCACAGTGAAAAACTTTGAGGAGAGTACATGTCCTCATAATTTTTCTTAAATTCAAAACCAAGTTTTAGAAACATTGAAGAGTATGTACTGTAATAGTATAGTTGGGTTGAGTGGAAGTAGATATGGTGTGAGAGGACAAGAATAATCAGTACACACCCAAGTTGAAATGAACAGGACTGAATAGAAGCAGTTTGTTGAAATTATTATTAAGGGTGGAGTCTCCTCCTCGGTGGAGGCAGAAACAAATGGGCAGAGTTTCTTTCACCCTGATGCCCCTGTTACCTAACAGTAAAATAGGTACCTGGGAATTAAACAGCTGCTACAGGCTGCTTTCTGGGGGTGTGTAACAAAAAGGAGGCCTGGTCGAGGACCAGGCTACGGGGATGCTAAGCCTCAAAATCATTTCAAGATAACCTCAAGAAGAAGGGTCAAACATCATAATACAGGAACAGGAGTAGAATCTACATCATAAGAGTAGAAACAACTCCGTTTCATTGTTTTCATCTTTCTAACAAGTGAACCCCACCCTATCAAAATAGGAATTGGGAAAATAATAATGTTTCTTAATCAAAAGCCTAAAATACATTCTAATCTCAATAGAACAGATTACGCTTGAATGTAAACTAGGCAAACTGAAAAGAATTGGCTACCGGACAAACCCAGTGTAATGGAATAGGGTGTCCATGAGACCAAGGGGTCCTTGAATGCCTACACTGAACCAACTAGGCAAAGGCAGACACCAATTTTTCCCGTTTTTAAATTTTACTATTAGAATATCTTTAACCCTCAAAGTGTGGCTATTGTAATTAATTAGAATGTAATTACCCACTTCAAGTCCCCGAACCAACAGACACACACAGTGGAAGCAAGAACATGAGCTGCTTATGCTCTTGTATGTAATAGCCTATTAATATCCATTATGTTTCATCCACTTCATCTCAATCATGTCCTGTACCACCTCAACCCAAAGAGAATATTAGCTCTTGCTAAAGCATTGCAAACCTGAATGGTCCCCAGGGATATATGCAACCGAAAACTCACACCCCAGACACACCCCACCCTGGATGACATCCAGGATCATCCCTAAATGTACACAGTATTACACCGATCAATGGTGGTGGTCACGGTACTGTGTACTTTTAGGGGCGATTCTGGACGTCATGGGTTCAAATACTGGCTGGGTAATGAAGAGTTCTTAGCCATTAATAATTTTTACTATGATAAAATTATAATTATTATACTGTATATATGTAATACTGTATATATAAGTACTGTATCTCCCTTATTATACTATGCAAAGTCTGTAATTATGTAAGTGTAATTAACAAAGTTTAGCTACTGGATGAGCTATGCTCGTGGTGTCCCATCTTCCCAGCGAGCTGTCATATAGTGCTTTAAAACTACTGATGGGTTTGGTCCCACACCACCACCTCTCCTTAACTTATTCAACCATTTATCGCTCTATTTGCAAAAATAAACTATTTTAATTTTTTTTGGCAACTTTGTTTCCATAGCTTGAATCTACAACCTCCTGTTCTTGGAGGTGCAGGTTTCAAGAACTCCTCCCTGTTAGTTCCTGCTACTGTTTTGTAAGTATTGATCATATTACCTGTTTTTTCTCGTCTTCTAGCTTTAGCACATTTGATGCCAGCCTATAGCCTCTCCTCGTAACTATTTTTTTTCAGTCCTGGAAGCAATTTAATTGCATGCCTTAGACCCTTTTCCAGTTTACTTATGTGCTTCTTGAGATATATGGGCACCATACAACTGCTGCATATTCCAGTTTTGTTCACTAAATGTTGTGAACCGTGTTTTACTATTTCACTATCATTGAATTGAAGAAAAAAGATTGAAAAGTGATTCTGAAATTGAAAAATGTAGTACTGTAGAATTTGATTTTTCATACATTCTAGAATTTAATGTTTCTCCCTGATACAGTTGAGAAAGGCTTCAGAGAATAAGAGCAGACTTTCAAATCAACATTCTAAAACTCATTTTCAGAGTGAAATTTCAGTATTAAGGTCATGTATACGATGTTTAATAACATACCTGGCTAAGCGTCACTGCTGCCAAAATCGAGGTGAGAGTACGGGTGCATTCTCCAATCCTCTATTTTGGCAGGAAATATAAATTTTTATGCCATCAAAATTCAGTCTCTCACATGCCGTGCCCTCTAGAAACTTAAACATGTCAAGATCAAAGATGTGTATGGTCTTCGGTCATCCATACCAACCTAGCACATGGTATTTCTTGCAGCTTTTTCTTCTCAAACAAAGCTGCAGATGTTGACATACAACAGGAAGATCAAAGATGTCAACCAACTTGCTGGATTATGACAACTACAGTATCTTCCATAGGTAAGTGTTCATTTTGTTCCTCTTCCATCATTAAAATAAACATTTAAATGATATCGTTAGTTTTTGTTATTTTCATTGAGTCACGGTGGGGTGCCACTGTGAGTGTAATTGCAATCTGACAAAAATGAAGTACATAAGTCATTTTCATTCAAAATGCCTTTGACTTTCATTACTATTACAATCATTTTTATTTAGGCACGAGTACAGTACATACATAAGATGATACATGAACTGTGGAGGATTCCAAAGTGTCATAAGTACAGTGCCTAAAGCCACTAATACACAGCATTTTGGGCCTGGCATAATTAAACTCTGCTAATGGGAAAGTACACACTAAGCTGTAATTAAAAAAATCTAGAAAGCATATTTAAGTGACCGAGATATGGCATTTTTAAATTAAGGTAGCAAAACATTGAGATTTTTTTTATAATGGTGCTTAGCAATGCATGTTAGTAAATGCCTCATATTCTAGAAGAATAAAGGTGTGGCAACACCATCGCAGTTTCATGCTAGTAAAGATCATTGATAGAACTCGGGTATTTTTTGCTGGTAAAGGGCATTGATAGAACTCGGGGGGTTTTATGCTAGTAAGAGGCAAAAATATAGCTGAGGTGCTATACGAGTACTAGTACTGCATATTACTGTGAACTTTGCTTTTTCCAAGTTCAAATTAAACATTATAATTTCATTAATTTAAAAACACTAGTGGCAGTATATATTAGTGGCTGGTTTTAAGGCAAAGTGAACAATAACATCTAAAAAAAAAAACTAAACCTTTGTTCTTGCATAATCTGCATGTTCAATAGAACCACCGTATGGCAGCGCACAACCAATTTCTTACTAACTGGATAAATGATTTAGTTTAATCTTTGCTGCATAGATGAATTATATAATGCAAATATAATACTGAATTATAAAAAATGTATAAAATCAAATGACCTGAATATTTCACAAGAGTTTTGGAAGGGGATACCACATTTTGTCTTCAGTACTGTATATGATGACAGCTTTCCTAATGGATTCATTTATTTGTACAGTATGTAATGAACACAAATGCTTTTATACAGCTTATACATATATGACTTTTATACAACTTATAAAAATTAACTATCATAATTTAACAAAAAGGCTTTAAAAGTAGTAAAAATATTCTTCTTAAACTAGAGTACCATGAAGGCACCTCTTAAAAACAAAATTAGTGTGTTAAATGTAAACGATAATAATTGCATTTAAGAAGTACAGTACTGTAAATGAAGAATCTTGCGTATATTACCTTACACGTTAAATTATTTATATAATACAGTATAATGGTCGTTCACTTTCTGTTCTAGACATGTCATATTACTGCTAGAGTACCTACATAAATATGGACAAGTGCATATTGAGGTTTTAATTGAATTCTGAATAAAGAAAACCATTTTGTTGCATCATTCATGAGAAACATCACATCAACATTTCCAAATATATACAGCTAATACCTGAAACTTTTCCAACCCTTAAATGACAACACAAAAACAGGACAATATGATAGACATTTGTAAAAAAATACAGAAGGATAGTAATTTACATTTCTACTTTTTCAACAGAACTTCTCACACCGTTACAACTGCCACATGTACAGAGTAAACTTTCACAACTGATAACATCTTCAATAACAAACATGTGTAGTGTTTAAAGACAAGACAAACATGTACAAATACATTAATCTACTCTATTTTATTTCTCAGTTTACAACTTGATATTGTTCAGGTATTTTTCCAAACAATTCAGATTTGCCAATTCAACAGCAAACTATGGTATTAATAGCAATAAGAATTATGCCTGTGTACCTTTCAAGTCTAAGCTGGAACTCCACTGATACATGAAGTTAGACAGCATTTTCAACTGAAAAAAATGTACACACGTTAAATTGTATTTCTTTGTGTCAGCAGTTAGTTTTTCAGTTTCAATTTATTAAGACTTAGAGATGCATCTTAGATATCCATTATTGTACACAAAGATCAACAATATTAAATTAAAAATGACATCTAACAATTTCACTTAAAGATGAAGATAATCAGCAAAAATTCGGTGCAATCTTTTAGATAAAATGATGGGTTTTAATTTTTGGTATAATGCCTGAATGAAAAAGTAACTCTCTCTTGAAGGATAGTACTGTATTACTATTTGGTAAAATCGCACGGTCTTAGAACTTTGTTCCTATAATTAACTAATTTGTAGAATGCACGCTACACTGTTCACAAAGTTGTGTAGACAATAGAAATTCCCTTTGCCACATTTAAATATAATACAAGAAATCAAGAATGTAATCCTTTCTTAAATTTATGGGGAGAGAAGCAAAAGAAAGCAAGGCTCGAATATGATTTTATATTGATAAAATAATGACAAAAAATAAACTTTCGATCACTTGTAGACGTTTACATTTTTTGTAAACGTGAAAGAATGTTCTAGTTTGTGCATAACAATAGTATAATTCATGAATGGCTTACCCTTTATTTTTTATATACCCTTATTGCAATAATGTTTATTAACATGACTTTGAAAGGATAATTAACCTTTCTAATTATCTTGTAAAATTTACTCCTTTAGCTGCAATATTAGCATAATTTCTTTCAATTACATAATAATGAAAATATGGGCTATAACATTATTGAAGTGCAACATCAATAGCTATAATTGCTTATATTCTAAGCCTGAAACAGAATAATTCAGGCATTGTTAGTGTTTTTTTTTGGCATACTGGGAGCCAATACTGTATTATTTAATACAATATATTAGCAAGAAAGAGCTAAACTGCTTATATCATAAATTAGCAAGAAAATGCATGCATTTCACTGGTTTCCTGGAATAATTGGAGGCATCTGTGCATGGACAGGAGTGGTGTCTTCCTCAGGACTGGGGGAGTCTACTGGCCTTGATACCACCTTCACATTCTGGCGGACTGTCTGATCGTTGTGCTGCTGTAAATTTTACACACATTATTAGGGGTTTATTTGGATGATATTGTATTTTGTCCTATAGAATAATTAAACCATAAATTAAACCCTTAACTTTGCAGGGTGCAGCTTTGTGTGGCACAATGGTTAATGCAATGAACTGATTACTCGGGGGAAATAAATCGCGGGAAATCGCGGATTACTCGTGGGAAATAAATAGCTAGACCTCACTCCTCCGTAAACACTGTTTAATAAGTAACCCTCCTACCTCTCGCCTTCCCGCCCCTTTCCTCCCACCCACCCTAACTGCTTTCCCACCACCTCCCTCTCAACCTGCCTCACCCCCCTCCTCCATCTCAACCTGTCTCCCCCCTCCCTTTCAACCTGCCTCACCCTCCCTTCCTCCTACATTTCAACCTGCCTCACCCCTCCTACCACTCCCACCACATAAAATAAAGAGTTTGCTAGTAAGAGCTTGCACAAGACGGGGTGGTTGGTACCTGTGTGTACTTGGGAGTGACGCCAGCCGTGCCACTGAGTCTCATCCTCTCAGGGTCGCCCGGGGCAGCCTCAGCGCTCCGCAGGAGGAAGAGCCCCAGGTTTAGCTGAGGGATGTCGTTGTAGAGGTGGAGCAGCAGCATGACGAAGGTCAGACCCAAGAGTAGGTAGCCTGTGGCACAGTAAACGCCTTACTTGCAAGCACAAATCAGTATGGGTTTTTGTTGCTGAGAAATGTAGTTTCTAAATGCAGATTATATGTATACTTAAATGAGTGTGTGTAACATTCTTTTATGCTGTAAAACTAACTTATTTTTAATCAAGTTTTGAATTTGAATTCAAGTTAATTCCGCAGGATGAACAGGGAAAATAATGATAAAACTTTGTAGCATTGAATGTAAAAGGCACAATAACTGTACAATAATGTTAATGCAAGCCTCAAAGAAGTGAATAAAAAACAAGAGGAGGTTCATATGATACTTCTGCACCATCTGGTGATGTAGTAATTCGAGCTGTAGCAAAAGTGTAGAACACAATAGAACACTGAATATGATGCCCATCAGTCGGCCGTACATAATGAAAATTCACACCTCAGTCAGTCGCTGACCAAGAGCTAGGTCACCGGCTGGGTCAGGTCAGGTTATTAACATCTAACTTTCCTTGCATCTCCCTCTGTCCTCTGATCCGGAATACTTAGGTTTATAAACAAGTCAAATATTCGGGGGTGGCAGCACTCCTGTGTATATGCTGACAGTAGCAGCTAACACTTCTGTGTCTGTCTGTCTCTGTCTCTGTCTCTCTGTCTCTCCAGTTTACTACTCAGCTCAAAGTATCTTGAGCATTTACATCGATGATGTTCACCATGACTTATCACAATGGTGACAAGGGCTAGTGTGTTTACAGAGCAATATTTCTAAATTTTACTTTGAAAGTAATTGGCAAATAGATCTCACCTGTGATGCAGACTTTGTATAGCGGCCTCATAGGCTGGTCCTGAGCGTCCCCCGGGATGTAGTCGCCGAGGCCGATCGTAGTTAGTGAGATGAAGCAGTAGTAGAGAGAGTCCAGGAAGTCCCAGCCAGGTTCCAATTTGGCAAAAATAAGTGACGGAAAGACCATGAAGAGCACGAAGGCGATGACTCCAACAATAGCCAAGTGAAACACGCGAATGTTGAAAGGCTGCAGTAGTATACATTAGGATCATTATTCATACTGTATTTCAGTATTGCATAACAATGAATAAATCGACAGTTCCACATTAAATAATAAAGCGTGAAGAATACTTAAATATTGTTGAACATTCGATCAATCCACTCACTAATACCAGTGATGTTAATATTACCCTATCAGGCGTTATTTACTATACTATAGCAGCCGAGATGTCGACCGTGTTGCTCATGGCTATTACGACCTGCTCCCAGGATTGGCACTATAGGAATCAAGTTCAAGTATGTTTATTGAGACAAGAAAGAAATACATCTCAAAGGGATAGAGTAGCTTAGGCTATTTCTACCCCCTCTACTTCAAGTCCGTCAAGGGACGCACAAATTCAATGAGTACAAATACACAAATCAGCTATAGGAATCTTTTGCATCACATGAATTAAGGACCATTCACTTAAGTATGTTTAGTGATAGGCCTTGAATGTTTTGGATTATGTGTGGGATTTTGATTAGTTAAATTATAGAGCATTAATAGATAGGTTGGGTTATGAAGAAGGAAAATTATCTGGCAGCCTTGTATTCAAAAGGGCTCGAGACCTCAGCTTGGTAAATGTCGGTCCCATTTCCCTGGCAGATGGTGGAAAACCTTGATACTCGCAGCGCTGGTATACTCTGTGGTAATTGAATGTTAGTGTAATGTTAAGCTAAGATGTTAGTTATGCTTAGAACTGATTAGTGGCAAGTAAATATTTGTATTGAAGAGTAAGTAATGTTACTGTACGATCAATTTTATGATTCAGGCAGCGGCCACATTGCGAGGAAGAAGCTCTTCTCTACTCAACTGAACTACAGGGCGGACATAGTGCTGTGGCTCGCCTTTCTTACCTCCTTCCTTCTCCTCTCTCCTTATTCTCTAAATAACAAGTACATATATATTTGTTACCAAGCCATTAGTTGTTCTAAGTGTATTTGTTCTGTGTTCACTAGGTCAGTGTTTGAGCCCCAAGTGTTTGCCTCTCTGGTGTGGCCTAAGGATCACGTGTTGAAATTATTTAGTGTTGTGTTCTGTCCCTTAAGGAATTTAGAATTTACCTCTAGTTTGCTGTATGTAATCCACGTCTCCTGTTTATGTGGCCCAATACAATATAAATATGGTCTATATTACTATGCAACCAATAAATGAATTATTCATAAAAAAATAATACAGGATGAGAAGGATGTACGTTATCTTAAATCACTTTTAAACAGTGAAATATGGGAAAAAAAGAAATAGTATACAAAATAAGGGTGGTGTACCTGGTAGAGATGACCGAGCTTGGAGTTGAGCCAGTAGAGGAGCCAGGTAGCGGGCAGCAGTAGCCGCTCCACCAGCGCCGTCAGCAAGATGAACGTCATGGGAATGCCAATGATGGCATAGATGATGCAGAAGATCTTCCCGCCTTCTGAGAGCGGGTGAACATGCCCGTATCCTGGTGAAACAATACCATCTTGCTCTTAAGGCTCTTTGTTCCGCAACATTTGCCTTAGGCTGCACGATCAGTGAAGTTAAGCAACGGCGGGTTTGGTTAGTACTTGGATGGGTACTGGGAACTTGGGAATACTAAATGCTTTTGGCATTAAATTTTATGCCCGAAACGCGCTCCGAGTATTAGTAACTTGTGCAATATATATACTGTATATGTATCTGCCTCTGTTCATGTATCATATGTATGTAAATTTGTGTAAATAAATTCCATTATACAAAAGTAGATACATAGGATACAAGAATAGTGTAGGATTACTGAGCTAAGAAGAACACCATGCCTAAAGCCACTAATAAGCTGAGCGTGTCAGGCATAATGTGGGGAAAATGGTGAACAATATAGAAGCTCAATGAGGTAACTTAGAACTAAATGAGATCAGAAACATCAGTGAACTGAACTAGAGAGAGAAATAAAATTACAAATATCACGTGATGAGTGGAACAGCAGAAGTTGCAACAGAACAGACAGTAATTTTCCAAAAATAAACAGATCGTATAATTTTTTGTATTAAAGTTATTAAATTTTTAAACTATTAAATTTACATTGTTTTATTACATTTAACAGGTTACGCCATTAAATTTGTGCACGACAGATATGAATAACAATTCAGGTTCAATAATTAATGTTCAATAACAGCAAAACAAAGGTTGCAACTTCGGGTGGTCTGTCTGCCTTGGTCCCTCCACCTGCACTCAACTCTCACATGTGGCTCCTAGTAGCTGTTTACAGGCAACAGCGGCCACTTCCCGGTAAACAACCTCCAATTGGCGGGCAAAACCAGGCGAGGGTAGCTGACGGTTAGCCCTCGGTGAACTAAGGCTTCTCTACCTACGTATGCGAAGACTGGACCCGGCGGACTGTGCAGAGGAACCCACCTGCCACAACTGCCGGCACTACGAGTAAGAAATCCCCAGCTGTACAACCCTCCCAGTGACCTGTAGGCACTCTGACTGCAAAACCACGTAAAAACACATTCTTCCACGACACATCCTCCAACCACTCCCAGATATTCAACACGGTGTACCACTGGCACCCCAAAGAACGATGTAATCACATCTGAGACGTAAAGACCCGAAATACGACAACATAACAACCCATCTTTAACTAATCTATCCCAATACCCTAACCTATCTGAATTACGACTAACTCCCGAACATACTTCGACTCGCAAACTTAGTCTCTTAACTAAACCACACACTTTCCATAGAACAGCAACATTTGCTACCACCATCAACACAACTCTTCATCTTTGCCATCCTGAGTCCATTTCCACGCACATCGATGACTTCCAACCTCTGCCAAATCATGAACATTGATGCGCCACTGTGAGTGACGCATCTATCAACATTACCGCTCGTGGAGCGCAGCTAGGGCGCAGTGAGACACGAAGAACACTGTTGGCCATCCACTGCATCCTAATCTATCTCCAGCTGTCTCTACTTGTCCTGCCCGCCACTGGACTTAGATACGCCGGGGCGAGAGTGAGGCTGACGATTTGCGTAATCGTCACATTGCCACCCTATGGTGGTGAGTGGGGTGTTACCTATGGTGATGACAGTGGTGAGTATTACCTATGGTGGTGACAATGGTGCTGGAGAAGAAGAAACTCTGGCCAAACGACCAGTTGGGCTCACTGGTAACATTCTTGGCCGCCGACACCCCGCGATTGTTAGCGCTGATAATCTCCACAATCAGCTCCTCAAGGTCAGAGTCTGTAGGGGGCGAGAATACATTACCATCACAGCAATTACAATCCTCGGTTATTACATACAACATACTTGTATCAGTCCTAGAGTAATCAAATATTACTTGCGTTAATCGGGGTTAGGGGGGGGGGGGGAATGGTGCACAACCACTTGGACTATCGGGGATTGAACGCCAACCTGCATGAAGAGAGAGCGTCGCTCTACCGTACAGCCCAAGTGGTTGGGTGATGGGGAATTAAGAATTAGAGACCAGTTTACCTGTCACACAAGGATGTTCCTGAAGAAAGGAAGCGCGCATGTTCCTGAGCTTGTGGATATAAGCCTGCTCGATGGGTCCCTCGATCCGGGAGAAGAGAGCGGCGCCCAGGAACAGGTAGGACCAAAAAAGCGGAACATAGATCAACAGGAGTATATCGGGTCTCCAAATGCAAGAGAGGACGTAAGACGAGGAGTAGATACGTCCATTGCTAGCAGACCCGCCCTCTATAGTCTGGTAGCCCCTATATGCATAGGATGCGCCTCTGTTGAACATCATCGTCCTCTCGTCACTGTGTCCGGACGCTATCCAGCATCACCTGGGCCACCGCCGCCCGCTCTGCCACCCCTCGGCCTTACAACATCGCTCTCAACATGCTTCTAGCGACTCCTCTCTGCTAGGCCACACAAGATCATGCTCAAGTCCAAGTGGTCTCCTTGAGTTAGCGTCACAGAAAAATAGAAAGTCTATGCAATCTATTTCGCAGTTTGTATTTGCTTCTTTTAAATTGATAGATTATGTTTGAAGACGTAATTTGATAACGGGAGAGAAATGACTAGATCATCAGTGAAATTCTCCGCAGAGGAGTGTTAGGGAAAATAGTGATGCCAGTGGTGGAGGCAGAACACCGTTGGGAGAAGTTGGGTGTTTTCCAGTGGTGGAGGGCAGTGGTGCATCAGTGGGGGATGCCAAGGTCAGTGCCAGTGGTGGAGGGCAGTGGTGCATCAGTGGGGGATGCCAAGGTCAGTGCCAGTGGTGGAGGGCAGTGGTGCATCAGTGGGGGATGCCAAGGTCAGTGCCAGTGGGGTCAATGGAGTACCGGTGAGAAACTCCCCACTACACTAGACACGGGAGTCAAGGGCACCAACACAACCTTCAAACACTCATCATTATTCATCTGGGAAAAAGAAAAATACTGAGATAAATAAACAAAATTGTTGCAAGTCAGAAATATTTCGCAATACTCCTTATATCACTTTACTTCAGGTTGTTAAATCCCAGAGATATATCGCCTGGGACCCGACTCTGGGACACTGGTCCCCGGGACACGGGCCGGGAGGACATTACAGGCAGCGGGGAGAGGGGGGGGGGGGGGGTGGGGGATTTGTCCCGCGGCTGGAATGTAACTTCCGAGGACTAATGGTGACCCCATTACACATTGTTTTTGTGACATTTTGAATGTAAGTGCTGTCGCATGTTCGCACACACTGCATGCTTGTGTACTCGCCTAGTTGTGCTTGCGGGGGGTCGAGTTTTGGCTCTTTGGTCCCGCCTCTCAACCGTCAATCAACTGGTGTACAGATTTCTGCGCTTCCCGGGCTCTATCATATCAACATTTGAAACACACACACACACACAAAACGTACGTACATACGTACGCGCGCGTGTGTGTGTGTTGGGTAAGAGTTGAAGGAAAGCCTCAGGAGAGGCTCAACATACCAACACATCCACCTTTAAGGAGTCGTCAGCTGCCTCACAGTTTCCACCAAATTTTCAAACCCGACGTCACGGTGCCCCCCCCCCCCAAAAAAAAAGCACTGCATCTTGAGGCAGCTAAACAAGTTTTAATTTTGCTAAAAGTAGTCGACCTTCACTAATTTGATGCCGATTAATCATAATATTTGCGCGGCCACTAGCCAGGGCAAAACAGACTTAAGAGTCGTCATCGGGAATGAACAAGTACACGCACCAATGTAATATCTAATCTAATGTCTAATCTATCTAATAATCTAAGTACCTAATCTAATGCTAGATTCAATAGTTATAAATTTTGAATGTACAAAAGTAAATGGAAATAAAACTGACTGTAGTTCAGAAGAGAGAGAAAGCATCAGAAGAAATGAAACTAAACAAAGGGGAGAAGACAAAGGAGAGAAGCAGGGGAAGAGGACAAAGGAGAAGGGGAAAGACGGATGATGATGAAGAGTAAACACGAGCAACCATGAACTAGTCGAGGTAGTGTCCCTAAGTCAATAGGGCCCAGGAGAGCGCTCGTTGTTTACATGCTACTGTAGGTCTCGAGCAAGGGTGTCCAGTCTAGGAACGGGAACTGTGTACAAGCCAACACATCAATGAGAGTGGTGATTAGTGGGACTTCTTGGCGTAAATGAGATTGGTGAGACCAGCGAGGACTCTCGTATGGCTGTGTGAGAAGCATGTGTGTGCTGGCCACAATCTGTGGCTCTATTATACTCAAGAAACTAGTTATACAGAACGAGGTCATCTAAACTGGATTAGTAACTGAATTAGGCCATCTAAGCCGAATTTATTTTATATTTTTGTTTATATATACAAGAATTCTTACATTCTTGTACGGCCACTAGCACGCATAGCGGTTTGGGCAAGTCCTTAATCCTAATGCTCCCCGAATCGTTCCTAATCGTTTAACAACCAGTACCCATTTTACTGTTGGGTAAACAGAGGCTACAGTTAAGGATTGGCGCCCAGTAAATCCTCCCCGGCCAGGATACGAACACAGGCCAATGCGTTCGCGAAACGCCAGGCGAGTGTCTTACCACTATGCCACGGGGTCTGCTGAATTAGTAACCGAACTAAGCCTCTGGGTGAATTAACCATGAGATTATCGGATCACCCCGCCAGTATGATGCCCACTTGTCAGGTCATGCCGTGTGTGTGGTGATGGTATTCCAGATCGCAATTTAATGTTGAATCAAATCGACGCTGATGTTTACAAGTGCTCAGACACGGAGATAAACTAACGCTGATATGTTCATCATGGTCGCCACCCGCCCGTCTGAGGGCAGGGAGCCACCCGCCCGTCTGAGGGCAGGGAGCCACCCGCCCGTCTGAGGGCAGGGAGCCACCCGCCCGTCTGAGGGCAGGGAGCCACCCGCCCGTCTGAGGGCAGGGAGCCACCCGCCCGTCTGAGGGCAGGGAGCCACCCGCCCGTCTGAGGGCAGGGAGCCACCCGCCCGTCTGAGGGCAGGGAGCCACCCGCCCGTCTGAGGGCAGGGAGCCACCCGCCCGTCTGAGGGCAGGGAGCCACCCGCCCGTCTGAGGGCTGGGAGCCACCCGCCCGTCTGAGGGCTGGGAGCCACCCGCCCGTCTGAGGGCTGGGAGCCACCCGCCCGTCTGAGGGCAGGGAGCCACCCCCTTGGTACCTGGGGTCACGCACGAATAATTTTTTCCATTAACATGTTTTGATTTTCCATGATTAAATTATTTAGTCAACCACGATAATGTGGAGGATACTTTAGCGTATAAGAAAAGGAAATCACAAGTTTCTGATCAAGACTGAGTCTTCACTTACACCCAAAGAATTAAATTCCCAAAAATCAAAGACAATCTACGAACTGGATGATTGTTATTGTCAGAATCTAAAAAATCTTAACATCTGAAATAGCTGCTTGGAATGAAAGAAATTTAAGAAATTTGAGAAAATTTTCAAACCTGTCATCCACATTCCTCCCTGACTCTCTTCCAAGAAAACTTGAAGTCCTCGTGTAAGTGGAACTCACACATCACAGCCCTAATGTTTCCAGAGGTCCTCTTCCATTCTTGTTTACAAATACCAGCACGTGTTCAAGAGGGAACGCCTCCATCTCTCCAGAGGTTTACAGTGGCATGAGGCTCACATGAGGCTGTTGGCCATGTAGCACGTTTTGCTGACCTTAGCGCCCCTGTGAGCGGTCGCCCAGCAGGAGGGAAAGAGGGTCTTTTCTCCTGCTGCTGCTGCGTATCAACTCTCCGTGTTGGTAGAGACACGTAGGGGTAGCTGCAGCTTCCTCTTGTAATGTATCATAATTTGCCATGGTGTACACCCTCGCCTTGCTGCAAGTTTGAAATGTGGAGGTTTGATTGTGGATAGTGTTTTTCAACAGATTTATAAGCTGTTACTGATGTTGAATCATTGTCATTTCTATGTTAATAGTTTTTGTTCAACGATACCCGAGCATGACCCCCCCCCCCACTCTTTATGTGAGAGATTGGGAACGAGAAAATGGGAGGAAGGGTAGGAGAGAGAACAGATGGGAAGTGGAGACGAATGGGAGAGAGGATGAAAGAATGGGAGAGAGACTGGGAAGGAGAATGGGGAGAGGGAGAAACTGATAACCAGAGCCTGTGCCACTACCATGTACCCGTCTATCAAAGTGGGAGTCTGTCTGTCTGTACAAGGATGAAAGCCAGACCCTTGGGGCTAGGCCTCGGTCAACTTTGTGTGATGATTGTTGGTTTTGGTTTGAGTCTCATACGGTGGTCTCGGCCTTTGCCTCTTCCTTCTCCCCCTCCCTTTAAAAGGGAAATCTTCCGTTTCATTACACACAGAAATGACAATAGCGTGATGCATCAAATGAACAAATCTACAAGGGCCGTGACGAGGATTTGAACCTACGTCCGGGAGCATCTCAGACGCTGCCTTAATCGACTGAGCTACGACATGGTAAGAGAGTTGAAACCGAACTTCTACTGAACTTCTGTTTCCTTCACGAAGTCAGTGGATATGAAATGTGCAACCAAACGTCCGTAGATTTTGTATCATTCATTCTGACTATTAATGTTTTCACACATTGCCATGCAAGACCAATCTTCTGATCACACACTGGCGTTCTGGGCATAATATTTTTACTACAGTGATGTAGATGGTGGGCAGTGAAAATGGTTACAGAGATGGGGAGGGCGTGTGTGGGGGGAGAGGGCTGAGCACCGCCAGGTACGCCACATAGTCTACAAGAGAATGCCTGTCTACTCAAGGTTGGGGGCAAGGACGCTTCGCCCAACTTGACAAGGTGGTCGGTGAGGGTCAAAAACACCCCCTTTGTCCTAGTAACAGGAGGTCGGCACCCATTGAGAGCATCCTTCCCCTCAAGAAATCGGGTGAAAGGAAAATATATTCTAGGGACTCTGCCGCCTTGGTCCAACCTTTTGTTGTATGGTTCGTGACCCGTCTGAGGCGTCGACTCGGGTTCCCGACCCGATCACTACTTAAATATAAATCCAGTTGGCCAGTATTAGATATTTTGTGAAGGCCTATCAATTTTGTGAGATTTATTAAGGCCACTGCATTAGCCGACTGACACGAGCAACAAGCGTAGGGGTATACATATATAAAAGAATGAGTTTGTGTAGATATAAAATTGGCGCGGTCTCATACCTCCTGCAGTTTCCATAATTCTTATGTTTTATGGACACACTTGTCCTGAACACAGTCCATGACTAGAGTAACCATAGTGTATGTATACAGATAAATAGGGGTACACCTCTCTGTGTATACTCCCCCGTGCCTGGACTACCCCCTGTGTCGTTAAGAAGCGATGGGGTGCTGCTGCAGGCTGTTAGTGTTTGTTTATCTCTGATGTTCCATTCTGAATGATACATTGAACGAACAATATTTGTAATATCTATAACCTACTTTATGTTACTGACCTTTGTGTCCCGGGCTGAGGCCCTCCGACCCCATCAATACGAAACTGATGACGATAATGCATGTGTTCACTATATCCTCCAAACAACTACCGATACAAATTTTATCTTATACATTCTTAATACTTTTCTCCTTTTGCTAGAACTGAGAAGGGCGTGTGTTTTGCCTCATGTAAGGAAGGCAGCAGACACGCAAACTACCAATTCCAGGCGCGGGGCGGTAGTGATGACGTCAGACTTCCCACGCTTTGCAATCTGATTAAACACACGTTAAATCCTTCAGCGCGAATCTGTTCTAAGTCTGGCGCCCCAGTAGCCGCGCTAACTCCAGCAACACTAGCGTACACAAGAGGCGTTATTAAGTACAGTTGCAGCCTGGGCTTCTCAACAATTGTGTCCGTTACCTTCGGTCAATATTCTGGGTATTTCCCTTTGCCAGTTAATATTCACAATTTTATCCGCATTAAGTACTACCTTAGCTTTATATTGTTTAAATAATAACGAGGCGGCGAGAGTGAGGGAGGAGTGAGGGTGGGCGCCTCAACACTGACGGCGGCAACACTGCCTCCCTCCTGGGAAGCCCTCCAACACACTCGTACTTGGTCACTATCTTCCTTAGATACTGGCCATCACCGCCACTCTTGCTGTGGTATCTCACTACAGGCTCAAGGGCTCCTCAGCTATCACCGAGCGCTGATAACTACAGCATTTACATACCCAGGGAGTTAGGCTTCTCTTAGGCTTCTTGACCGTGAAATGGTTCAATACTTTACCTCTTACTTGACAAACTTTAAAATAATTTAAGCAGCAATTTTGCCAATATGTTCTTCAGTCAAATAATATTGGATACTTGATTTAAAAAGTAATATTTTAAATTGCCCGAACCTAACCTAACTTGAGAACTCACCAATAGGAAACGGAACAGTCCATCGATTTTGCGAGCCGCGATAATTTATAGAACTCCATATTTTAACGTTGGGGTTTTTATACACCAAAATGCAATGTACAGTTCGAGAGGACACGTTGTTACCAAACCTTAGCGTTCACGAACGTTGTGATTCGTTAGGTTACACTTGCACGTATTGAAGAACGTCACTGGACGGCGCAGACGACTGTACTAGTGAAGGAAAAATAACTGAAATGCTTAAACCCCACATTGTTTGAGTTAGGAAAACACTATTTGTCAAATATTGATACTGTTCTTAAAACATTCCCCCATTTTGCACCGGCAAGATAACGTAAGCTTTTAAGGGTTGATAGATGTTAATCTTCTTGTTTGAGGAGCTGTTCACTTGAGACAGTTAAGCAAGTCCCAGCTGTGTCTGGGTACAAGTGACAGGATGAACAACCCAGCGGGTTTTCTTCCATTTGGGGAGTGTTGTACATGCTGCTATGGCGGTGTGTCCACTCACAAGATGAGTGGCGCTGCCCAATAAACTCGCCCCTCGGGGCAAAATTTAAATTTAAAAATGCTTAAACCAGATAATTTCACAACCAAGAAAAAAAATCTCAACAGGGTGATCGAAGGAATAAAAGCGATTATACCCGTCTGAGGAAATTAAATTGGAACAGAAAAGAATACAAGAACAGAATTGGAATACAAGAGATAACAAATCCAAACTATTTTTTCACATGTGCGAAATCAAATTCAAAAGCCTCCACCAGTATTGGATCTATATTTACAAGTGAAGGTTCGTACACAGAGGACAACAAAGAAGTTAATGAAACCCTAAAAGGCCAGTATGAGGCTATATTTAGCACTCCAATAAACACAACCCGTCCTCCTGTTTAGATAGTACTTATTCTAACTATGTGCGCCATAGTACAAACATTGACGTAATAAGGAATTCGATAGAATTTTGTATTTTTTCACTTTATAGTCCGAAAAAAATGAAGCTACGAAGCAAATTTAAATTGCTCTAACTAGATTAATCGTTATAATACTGGTGGGATTAAAGTTATTAATATCGTTTCTAATTGTATTTAATTACACAAATTTTATCGCTTTAACTATAAACAATATTTTTGTTAATTAATCAAGATTCTCGAATGGTAATTTAATTCAGTAATGATTACTGACACCTCAAAAGCCATACAAAGACAACTTCTGTGACCTCTGGTATATTTGGCTATTTGCCCCGCTCCTGTGCCAGGTAAGTTACGGGTTCACCATAGCCCGTGCTACTTGGAACTTGTTCCGTGTAGCTGAATCTATAATAACAACAACCATCTCTGGGATAGACGAGCCACGTGACCTCTCCACCGCACTCGTTGGTAATATTAATTAATTATATTTTGCCCTGGGGGCCTCCTAGGCAATATTATTACGGGCTCACCATAGCCCGTGCTACATGGACACTTCGTTCTGAGTAGCTAAATCTGAAACAACAAGCCCCGAGGGGCATATATGTTTTACAGCCCTGCTCCTGTGCCAGGCAAGTCCACTACGGGCTCACCATAGTCCGTGCTACTTGGAACTTTTTGTTCCCAGTAGCTGAATCTTAAAACAACAACAACAGTAGCCCCGAGGGGCGAGTTTATTGGGCAGCGCCACTCATCCTGTGAGTGGACATACCGCCATAGTGACCGTATTGGGCAGCGTCACTCATCCTGTGAGTGGACACACCGCCATAGTGACAGTATTGGGCAGCGCCACTCATCCTGTGAGTGGACACACCGCCATAGTGACCGTATTGGGCAGCGTCACTCATCCTGTGAGTGGACACACCGCCATAGTGACAGTATTGGGCAGCGCCACTCATCCTGTGAGTGGACACACCGCCATAGTGACAGTATTGGGCAGCGTCACTCATCCTGTGAGTGGACACACCGCCATAGTGACAGTATTGGGCAGCGCCACTCATCCTGTGAGTGGACACACCGCCATAGTGACAATATTGGGCAACGCCACTCATCCTGTGAGTGGACACACCGCCATAGTGACAGTATTGGGCAACGCCACTCATCCTGTGAGTGGACACACCGCCATAGTGACAGTATTGGGCAGCGCCACTCATCCTGTGAGTGGACATATCGCCATAGTGACAGTATTGGGCAGCGCCACTCATCCTGTGAGTGGACATACCGCCATAGTGACAGTACTGGGCAGCGCCACTCATCCTGTGAGTGGACACACCGCCATAGCAGCATGTACAACACCCCCCCAGTAGGAAATGTTGTCGTTGTCGTCGCCGCAGCATTAAGGCTCATCGGAGGGTTGTCGCCATCGGGAGGGCGTGACGAGACCTCCATCCTTAGAGGCAGAAGTCCTAGTGGATCACAGTGAGGATGCTGCTCCGCCACCAACAACACCCCCTGATCGGTACGGGGCTGGGTGGGCCGAGTGGACTGCGCTCTAGACTCGTGGACCTAGAGACCGGGGTTCGATCCCAGCACCCAGCGGAGACAGATGGGCAGGGTTTCCTTAATCCTAATGCTCCTATTACCTAACAGTAAATAGGTACCTGGGAGTGCCGAAAGAGCAGAGCTCAACCCCCGCAAGCACAAATAGGTGAATACGTAAGTCGTCTACGAGCGATTCGGTACAGCACATTAGCATTAGAGATCGCCTTATTTTCGATGGAGGCGCCTGCACAATTTGGCGCCACTCCCCCGGGTTACCCTTACACGGGTCCATTCCATGCACCATCCCTCACTTCCCCCCTCCCCCCTCTCCCTCTCTCTCGAAAGACCCGTGCCGTTCCGGCCGTTCTCCTTTAGACTCCAGTCTTATGACCATCCCAATGCCAGCCGTACACGATGTTGTTGCTTCTCAAGCCGGGATTCTGCCTTAGCGGCTTTCCGGCATAATCCCACGGACGTAGCCTCGCTCCACTGGCCGATCGACCAAGAACGGAACCATTTGTCCAGACCTGTCGTTCCTCTCGTACTGAGCAGGATTATTGTCGCAACTGCACAGTTTAACAGTAGAGTAAAACTAACCTGTCTCACGACGGTCTAAAACCAGCACACGTTCCCTATTGATGGGTGAACAATCCAACGCTTGGTGAAGTCTGCTTCACATTGATAGGAGGTACTGAGAACTATGTCTCTTCAACGCAAGCAAACTGCCACTGTTATGGCGTTAAGATTCCTTAAACCCAACACTAACGGTGCACTGATTCACAAGCAGCAGCACTACAAAGCCTTAATAAAAATCGGGCAGAAAATCTTGCGATAGTCGCTGAAATCAAGAGAACAATGAGAGTACTAACCAATCAGGGAAGAGTCGTCAAATTTATGTGGATCCCCTCCCATGTTGGGGAGCCTCCTCCCATGTTGGAATATGTGGGCATGAACGAGCAGATGTGCTGGCTGCTGAAGGTGACCATATTGAATACTTCATACCCAAGACTCTTCTACAAATTAGAGGTATTATCAGGGAACATCTCCGTAACAAGGTAACTGAGGAGAGGAGGATAGAACAAACCAGTGAATCTGTACGCTGGTACAATGTGGTTGCAGCTGGCAATCCTAATCAATATGGACGAAGAGGAGGTGGCCGCGGGAGAGAATCAGTAATAGCGAGAATCCATCTTGGATACAAATATCCAAGAAGATTCGGAATGGAAACAACAGTTGAGTAGAGCGGTTGCAGAATCTGTGGTTAGAGTGACGGACACCGCCTTGACCACTACCTGAGAGTGTGGACACCGAAGAGTCATTAGAAATGTGTTGAATAATAAACTCCACATTGTTTGAGTTAGGAAAATATTATTTGTCAAATATTGATACTGTTCTTGAAAGATTCCCCCACTTTGTATCCGCAAGATAACGTAAGATTTTAAGGGTTGACGAATGTTAATCTTTTTGTTTGAGGAGCCATTCACTTGAGACAGTTAAGCAAGTCCCAGCCGTGTCTGATTACAAGTGACAGGATGAACAACCCAGCGGGTTTTCTTCCTATCGGGGGGTGTTGTACATGCTGCTATGGTGATATGTCCACCCACAGGATGAGTGGCGCTGCACAATAAACTCGCCCCTCGGGGCAAAATTGAAAATTGAAATTAATAGGAAGAGCCGACATGGAAGGATGACCCGCATCACTAACAAGTACTCTCCCTGCAAGTTGATAGTGATCTGAAGCAGGTTATCTTCTTGAGGTTATCTTGAGATGATTTCGGGGCTTTAGTGTCCCCGCGGCCCGGTCCTCGACCAGGCCTCCACCCCCAGGAAGCAGCCCGTGACAGCTGACTAATACCCAGGTACCTATTTTACTACTAGGTAACAGGGGCATAGGGTGAAAGAAACTCTGCCCATTGTTTCTCGCCGGCGCCCGGGATCGAACCTGGGACCACAGGATCACAAGTGTAGCGTGCTGTCCGCTCGGCCGACCGGCTCCCCTATTGGGGGATGTTAGTAGAACATTTAGAACAGATAAATTTTGTCTCAAGGCACCAGCATGGTTTTAGTAAAAGAAAACCTTGCTTCACAAACTTGCTGGAGTTCTACAAGATGACAGAAAT